CGAACGACAATGATGACCCGTTGAAGAATGAAGCATCCACCATGCTAGTGAGGATGCTGGACGGGAAGGCATAGCTATCCACGTCTCCGCAATTCTCCGCTACTAAAATCTCATCTATCTGCGCGTCGTAGCCCACGAAATCCACAGTGAGGTTGAAGCGGTCCTTCGCACTAACAGTTGCTAGCCCCAGAGTGTCGTCTCGGGTTCCGAAGGTATCAGAAGTGATGTCACGCGTTTTGCTAGACGGACCTGGTGTCGAAGATGATGATCCGCCTGCCGTTGAAGAAACATTGCTGCAATTTGACGAAGCCGTCATATTTGCCGGCGACGATCCTCCGTTCTGTAAAGTATAATTTCCAGTTTGTCCTTCGTAGTCAGTGCAATTCTCGTTATCCGCTCCTTGCGCAGTCGATGCAGTTGAGGTCGACAGAAACCCATCGTAAGACAGCTTCACAGTCAGTGGACCTCGAACCGTGAAAGTGAGTAGGGTCTCCACGTTTGCTGATACAGTATCGTTCGTACCGTGTGATGAACTTGACTCGCTCGGACCCGATGAGCCTGCTGAAGCTCCCCCAGTTGATTGTATAACGCGTAGCTCCATAGCGTGAATCCTCAAACCCGCAAGTGGCGTCGTAGAAGTACTCTGCAGCTCAAACAAATTGCGACTGCCTCCGTTTGCATCGCTGCCAGGCACAAAAACCCAGTCCGTCCGATTTGTGGTGTAATTTGACGAACCCGAAGACATGGCGTTTCCTGCTGGAGAGGGCGCGAAGAACGGAACGGTTACAGCCTTATTGGCCATCGCGGTGTTGTTCAACGGAAAACCGTTGACATAAAGGCGTGCGTTGTAGTCACTCGTTCCTGGTGATAGGACATTAGTTCCGTTAAACGAATAGACAAATCTCACTTCTGCATCTTGATACGGCACACACTTGCCAAACAGAAAGCGGGTTGTTCCATGCTCCTCACCGGGCAGAAACTCTGCGTACCAGGCATGCTCACTTTCCGCACTGGTTGCCGTAGAAGTGCTAGAATGTTCAGCTGAAGCTCCCGCCCCAGACCTTGAAATGCGAACGCCATTTGTTGTAGCCTCAAATCGCGTAGAGTATACGTCTACCGTGGCAGAACAGTTTTTTTCCTCACGAGCCGAGCCCGAAGATGAGTACGCGAGAGAAGTAGGACTCAGAGGATTATGGAAGCAGACAGCGTAGTTGCCAGCGTGCTGCAGCGACAGTCCACTGAAAACAATGTCGGTTTCATTCGCGCTCGTCATACCAGAGGACGCTGATCCTGGACTGCGTGAAGCTAAAAGCACATCGCGGCCAACGATATTGCTGCGCGCTTCATCCTCAGTGTCCAAGGTCAGTTGCACGGTGGTATTCTCGTGACAAGGAGTGTTCGCGCTCTGAATCCAAAAGAGGGATGAAGCCTGATCCACACTAGCAGTGATCCCCGTTGTCACGAGACCACGTCCCTTGATCCGCACAGCAAAGTCTTGTCCGCGGTCGACGGCTATTCTCGTACCTGATAATGAGCGCACGCCAGTCGCCATCGATGTTTCCAACACAGCCTCTGTTGCGCCTTGCAACTCCAAGCGCGCTACGGGATAGTCCTGTAGTGAGTTTCCCGTCGCACAAATGCTATACTCGCCTGCTCCAAGGAGATTCGATGAAATCTCTAATGGCGGCAAAAAAACGTCGACTAGATAGCTCTCCTGATGTCGGTCTATTCTATCCGCAACCACGACGGCCCTGCTAAAATCCCCTGACGCTACGAAATCGGCTGTGTTCGCTATGCTAAGATTGGCCTGAACGAAGTCCCAAGCAGGTGTGAGGGCTTGTGGCGGTCCTCCAGCATTACAAAGGGCCACGCCCATTCGCCGATTCAAATAGAACGACTCAGTCGCTTGCCGAGCGTAAAACGGGTTTCCAGTCGAGCAAGTGGTGCCGCGAGATATACTCAGCTCTCGGTGGCCTTCGCTCGGAATAGACGCTGTTGCAAGCGACTGCCAGCCAAGAGAGCGGAGAGTCGATACTTTGCCTGTGAGTTTATGGTTTTTTATTGTTTACGTCGTAATCCACAGGGTACAGTTCGCTTTGCCTACTTTCACCAAGCATAAAGACAGACCCACTGGTTAAAACGACAGCGGGACGAGTACCTAACCAAACAACATGCCTCTTGCGCTAGTACCTGAATCAGTATTATACGGCAGCAAACGCGATGGGAAGCGTCCTGCCGGCGATGTCACATTATCTCCAGTGTAGAGCAGATTTGACCCTTCAAAGCTTTCTTCTATCTTCACCACTGTGCACCCTGCCGAATGCGTCGCGTTACACGTGACCACTGGAAGGCTACCTCCGCTGTCCACTGCAACGGGTCCTTCGAACTGCAGATACCCAACAAACGTGTCAAACCTTCTATCCACTGTACTTGCACAGGTATCTCCGCATGTGCACACTGTGAAAATGTCGCCCGGCTTCACCTTGGCTTTGTCGTAGCTGAAAACGCCACAGTCAGATATGTTCTGCGCAAACGTTACCGGCGGTAATTTTAGATTGTCGCGCTGTGCGTTTGTCGTGGCTTGCATCATTGGCGCTGTGTCCGCGCAGCCTGTCTGCGGATCCCGTACTCTATCAAGAAAGTGCAAGAGAACGTTTTTCCCCGGCTCAAACCCAGTCAAAGTACAGTCACTCTCTAGAGCGGAGCACGTGAATACGATTGCGTCAATCAGCGGGTTTTGATCCGCACCCTCGTTACCTTCACCAAGCAACACCCCGTCCTCGAGGGCTGCCACACCAAGGAATGGCCAGAACCAAAATGACGATAGTGGCACCGTGCCATCAGTGTTACCGTACATTTTGGGAGACCTTCTTCTTTTTCTTTTTCCTACTCGTTTTTGCGCTCCAAAGCGCAGGTGGGAAAATCCACGATCAATTCCTGGCGCAACTTGAAGCTTAGCCTCTTTCTGGCATGATATTCTTCTTTCTTCCTTCTGGAGGTCACAAGCGCCTCTGGCAGTCATATTCCTATCCTGGTCGCCCATCGATTCCCTTCCCCATAATGTGGGAAAAGTTTGCCACGAAAATTGATCCCAACATGTCTGCAGAAAAAGCAAACACAGAGACAAAACTAAGCGACCATTGCACAACTTTTGCCTCCAACGACCTTTGGACCACAGAAATCGGCGGATGCAGTCTGAGCTGGCTGTACCCGCGCGGGAAGAACAGTGACTTTCCCGCAGCTCCGATGCTATGGCATGGGAAGCGTACCGCTTTTCGGCTCTTCTTCGCCCGCGAGAGCGTCGCCATCGGGATCCAGGAACTTCGCCCGCGTCGGTCTGTGTGTTTGTATCATGGCCCGTCCCCTCCGTGTCCGTCCTTTCATAATCGTCTCCTGCGTCCCAATCGTCTTCATCAAAAGCCGGATCAGCAGAGCGCTCACCATGAACAGGAAAGTAATGCACTCTAGGCTGACAATCATGTCGCGAGGGTGATAGTATCGCTCTAGAATCAATGCCCACGACAGTGCCCCATTCACCTTTTATCCTGTATTTTTTTCTAGTTCGTGTGCGTCTACGACCAAAAACCCGTCTAGAACCACGACTAGCTCTGTGTCCTGCATCTGCTGACTCTGAGCCAGGATTCCACTGCTTATATCCCTCGGGCTCATCCAGTATAAATAATAATGAAGCAGCGCTGTCCTCTTCTCGCTCTGTCTTAAATGCTTCGTCCCATTTCCTGCCATCCTCTATTCCTGCGTCTGCAACTCGTGCATCAATCCGTCTCTTCCACCTCCACCGCGTGAAAGCCGCCTTTTGTAACGAATGCCAGTACCTCTGAGCAGCAAGTGCTTCTGCTGTTAATCCGTTTTCAGTCGTGGTTCGTCTTATGCTCCGTCCTCCCCTCCTGCCAGCCTTCGCCCTAGCTTCCACTGGATCTTGCTTGTTTTTATCAGCATAGCCTCGCCAACAGTTTCTTCTCCTTGATCCATCTGCTCTCGCGGTAATCATCCTCTGCATTGTAACAGTCCTATCGTGATCATCATCCCATGCAGCTTCATCTTCAGGTGCTTCGCCGATGCGAGCACCATGCTCTAGTACGTAAGACCCGACGGGCGAGCGTAGCCCATTTTTTGATTTCTCAGGCTTCTGACGCGGCGACGACGACGACGACGAGGATGCCGGTGACCAACCGAGCATTGTTCCTCTGCTCGAGCTGCCTGAGCAGCCGTCTCTATCTTCTCCAAACCCGAGCATGCGGCTGAGTGGCTCATCGTCTTCTTCAAGAAACTACTTCTCGCATCCGTCTTTCACATTGCAGAGCTTTATGTTGTAATCCATGTTGATATGTTGTTTACATATTTCCATGCTTCAATATTTACCAAGTTAGCATACAGGGTATGATGTTCGTGTTCATGACTCTTTTTATGATACTTTTACATTCATAGGATCATGAATTTTATGCACAAAGAAAAATTCTGAATATGACAAATAGAAATGATGATGGACAAAGAGAAAAGTAGCCAAGAAGCACGCTCCAAAACCACCTTCGCAGCTCTTCTCCATTTATGCCTATATTTTTATTGGGACTATCTCATTTTCAATGGCGAAATTAGAAAGAGAAGATAATTGAGAAATTCGACGAATCGCGATAAGAATATCACAGTAGCGTCGCCACACGCACACATGCATATTCGAGTATATTCTACTGTGCCATGGTGCGCTACAGTACTCACAAGTTCTCATCAGTATGATCATCATCTTCAAACAAGTCACAGTCGCTCTTTCTCTCGGCATAGTTCTCTCTATGTTTCTCGCTTGTGGTCAGTCTCTGCCACTCGTCGCTACCCTCGCATCAATTTCCTGGACGTACTTCCCATTCATTTAGAAGATACAATCTTGTACCCAAAATAGCCGGCTGTTCGTCCCAAGTCAATCCAGAACTACTTCCACGGCAAGGAGCTTGTCCTGCAGCCGCGGTTTTGGTTCCACGCGTGATGCGATACGACCCCTTCAACTTCTTCCCTGCATCATCACATGTTGAGGTAGACAAAATCAATTCATAAGATCCAGATCCACAGGAAAGTTGTTCGTCTTATGCTGAGAGTGGCGTAGTTCACAAGATAGGCACACACACACGACAGTGGAAATCAGCTGACTTGTCTGACCCTGGAATGCTTGCCCTTCTACAAACCCCACATAAATTAACGAAATAATAGATAAATTTGTAGTCCTGCACTCAATATGTCGTCAACGAGCAAAGACAGAAGCACAAACACACATCAATCTCATTTTACTGTAGTTTTATTTTGTTTAGTTTTTGGATACACAGGAAAAACAAGGTGGCATTCAAACCAAGCTTAGTCAGCTCAGAGGGCCTCTGCCGCGTCCAATCACATATTAATGTGGGGGTGATGTTGCAACGCCGGTCGGTCTTACGACCTGACAATGTGAGTGTCTACACGGAAGTTAATTTTGGTCCTTCATTGGGACCTGCTTATGCGAGCATGTTTCTTTGCATGTCACAAATTAGTCGTCCAGCTCAGACCGAAAAGCTCACTTAAACATATTGGATAAGGATTGCTGTAACCAAGAATTGCACCACCAAACCCCTGATTTTCATTTTGCAGAAAGGATCAAACGAAGCACCTGAGATGCCAAAAGACATCATTAGAGCGCTCTGTAGTATCTCACTTGTTTACTCCAATACAAAAGTAGGTACCCATAATGATTTTCTACTTTAGACAGGCCATATCTCGCCAAAAGAACAGTGGATTACTTAGTGGAGTTGCAGAATCTTCAAAACGAAAAAGTAAAACATCGGAAAATAGCGGGCTCACGTAAGAATCAATAAGAAAGAGGACATGTTTGTTGGGAAAATAATACCGCTTCTCATACATATTTTATATTACAGATGTTGGATGACGACCTTGGTGGACTTTGTAACTACGCGCTGCGCTTCGTCAAGCACCCTGGTCGAAACCTCCTCTCGAAGCACATCATTTGTTTTCGTTTGTTGGAAAAAATTGAATAGAACTAACCTAATGACAATCTTTTCTGGTGGGAAAAGTACTCCTGCAACGAGCGGTCCGGACTGCTCCTTCTCAATATTTTTCACTCTGCTCCTGATAGCCTCTGATATAGTCTTTTGTTCCATTGAAACTGCAAAACGAACCTTGTGGAGGTCGCACTTCTATCTTTCGTTTCGCGCAAGACTAATCAATGCGCATGCGGACTCCAGCATGCAGAACTTCTCTAGCTTTTTTCGTTAGGTATGAAGATCTTCGATGCGATGAATTTATCTGAAGAAGGCGAGAGGCAGGAGATTACATGTTGATACTTTTAGTCATGTCTATGATCTATGTGTCATCCAATATTTATGTAGCTAGAAGTATCCTATTGTCTGCGGAATTCTGAGGACGAAGTTGGAAGTATTATCACAAAAATGGCTGGTGAGGCTTCGCAACCCCTGCGAAATTTTTTGCGAGGGATATTTCGTCATGTGTACATTGCGCTTCAGGATTCTTCGGAACACGTTGTCGATTAATCCCTGCTTAAGCTTTTCCCGAAGATGTGAAACCGTCCTTGTTGATATCGCAGTTTAAAATGACAAATCACATCCTGTACATGTTATAGGCCAATTACTGCAAAGTAAGAATCAAGGTTATGAGAACAACTATCTAGGCGAACTCTGCTCATCCTGAGCCTCAAACCTCAGCATACTAGGTATCAATACTCTAGGGTGCGGAGTTCGCCTGCTGCAACAACCGTAAGGCGCCAGCAGCGCCCATCAAACCCGTCAGCAGAACGCTTGGATGCTGCCGCAAGAGACCTCCAATGCCCCCATTTTGTCTCACGGCGAGTGCAGGCAAATCGAAATTTTCATCAACTACCTGTGGTTTTGCTTTTTCCATTCTTGTACCAATTTGTTTTTGGTTTCGAAACTTTTACTTCACACCCGAGTCCACGCGCGCGACCTCGATTCACAAAAATAAAAATGGACTTGTGATGCAAATCATTTTTCACTGTGGCAATATAATCGACAGAAAGTTTAAGAATACCGTTGCCTCCTCCGATGCGTTGTCGATGGAACTACGTTTACCACAATGAAGTCTCGAATCCTTTGAAACGCGATCGGTTTCCTGTGACGATGTGATAATCAGCATAAATCTCTATTTTAATTTCTTACATGAACTTGAACAGTAGGACTTCATGTTCATTCCCATTTACCATTTGCGTCGGAGATCAACAGAGCGCCAAATCGGACTTAGTAGTACCTTGATGGCGTTTGTCGAAACTTGCAGTCCAACACGACAGTCGGGACACGCAGTCTCCACGCTAGAAGGGTAGGGCATGCTGCTCTGGAGGCATTTGCTGTGTTCCTCGATCTCGTCTGCGTGTAGCTGGAGAAACGCAAGAAAATCTTGCGTATTGCAGCCGTTCGAACCAGAACGATACCTTGAAGAAGAGGCGTTCCCAAATGCCGGATCGAGCAAGATATTAGACTCTGATCTGGTCATTGTGTGACCACGACTGAGAAGAAAGCTTGATTTCGCAGGTCTGTCATCAGGAAAATTCGAAGCTAGCAACAGCATTCGTTTATTTCGTTTCTCCGCACTCCTCACCAAAATCGTTGCACTACTCCCTGAGAAACTTCCACTTGACGTAGAAGTAGAACAAAAATTCTCTTCTTGTTGATGATCTCCCCCTTGAGCATGTTCCGCCTGAAAGTGACGTAAAAAAGAATACACATCATTTGCAGCGTCTGCATCGCCATGCGCACCCCCGTTCACAGCGGAGGGGGAGGCGGGACACATATGGCGACACCTATTCCATTCCTCATAGGCAGCCGCAAAAATCAACATGAATGTCCACATCTTAGGCTGCATCTTCCCCTTCAAAAATCGGCTGGCTCTGTGGATAGGGCACTTCGAGAGTGCGCTCGCGGCTGCGACAGCAGATAACTCTTCCTGGTGTGCAGTTGTGCTAGTAGTTGTAGCAGACGCATCTGACTGCTTTGTAATCCCATACTCGTCGTCAACATTCACAACCTCCTCCTCTTCAGATAGACTACGCTCATGTTCATCATTTCCAGCACTAGATGCGTCGTCTTCGCAAGACTCGCCCGCATTTGTATGATCGCCGTCATCCTGCAAGTTGCGGACTTCCGATTCCGGCCCGTTTCGTGCTGAGCGATATTCATTCCACTTCTTACCCAAGTATTTATAGAGCAAGCCCCAGGTTTCTGCGAACGCACAGCCAGAGCATCCTTCGGTAGGGGGCACAGCAACAATAGCACGGGTAGACGCGCTATCCGCATCGTCGGCCCCTTCGGTTGTGCAACTTCGCTCGAGCGCACTCGTTAGTGCGGTCATATCGATTTCTTGGCGCTCGTTCTTTTCGTGTGGAAATGCACTAGGATGTGCGTCTAGTTGTCGTGCATTCTCGCTAGCGTTACCTTCCCCAATGTTGGTCTCGTCGTTGTTGCCTTCGCCTGCCCCAAGATCTGGTTGAACTCCAGGAGAAGGCTCATTCGCTACTTCTGGTGTATCGGGGGATAATTCCAAATCGCGTCTTCGGAGATTCACTGCACCGGCTGCACTTCTACCTTGGGTAGGTTGCCTGCTGAAGGGTGCCCCAAACTCATGCTGGAATAGCGCATTGAGATCTGGCGTCGCCGACGCTAAGCGCGTTGGTGAATTAGTAGTATAAATCATACTGATCGGGGTAGTCTGCTTCGTGAGTTCAAGTGTACCCTCCTCGTCTGATACTGCTTTATTTCCCGAGCTACTTCCATGCTTGCCTAGTCGTACCTCCCCGCGGCATTCATTTTTGTCGCCTGTACTGCCATTGTGCCTTCTCTGTAGCTCCTCGTGTTGTTGGTGATTTGGCGGAGGAGAGTCTCCGTCGGAAGATGAAGGAGACCGCAGTGCGGTATCACCCTGCATGAAAAACTTGGCCTCCTCGGCCGAACGCCCGTGCTTGCTCCCAGAACGACCGGTCGTGCTCGACGAAGGCGCAGTCGCTGTACTGGGTGTCGCCGTAGATACCACGTTTCTCTGCCTGGAACCGAGAAGGAGAGAACCACCCGCTGGAGCCTCTCCTTCAAATACCGCAGAGACAACAAAAGGCAAGCAAAAAAAGACTATCCAGATATTCTCCGCAGTGCAGGAACGAGACACCTTTGCCTTCTTGAGAACCGGCGCGCGGACAGAGGACCCCATATTGTTGCTTCCTTGCTTAGGATATAGAACAAAACGATACTTTTTGTTTCTTGTCGAGTGAAAGATATTTGCAACTAAAAAGTTCAATAACGCGTCTAGGTGAACAAGCAGGAGCACGCCGCAGATTGATAAAATGTAAGGCAACTCCTGGAACAAAAAGTCTGAAAGTACTCGATCTCGAACTAACTGCAACTGCAACTTTACTAATTTCAGAGCCAGCCGCGTTGGTTAATGATATTCACAGTCCTCATATCCAAAATACCAATATATAATGATCTGAAAACGCGCAAAAACATCTCAATCGTGGAGCGCTAGTACTAAAGCAAAATCTTCTTCTTGACAAATACTTATGTGCCTAACCTCTGCACCGATGCCTGAAGCACGGTTGCTCCATCACAATCTTTTCCTTCAAACATCAATGAATCCTGAATAACGCTGTAGCTGCCATGTTGAACACGTAGCACAGCGAATCTCAACACAAAAGAGGACGGCGACGCTGCGATCACCTTCGTCGCAAGTCGTAGAATGGACGGAATATGTTTTCTGATAAAAACAAAACTACGACGACAATCATCATTTGACATCATTTTCTATACTCCTAACAAATTTCCGTGTTCATCACTTGTTTTCTTACTCTGTTCGTTGTAGTTCAATGATAGACTCCCGCCGTGATTTCTTCTAAATGCTACATAGCCTGCCAATTCATACTAGTAAATATCTTTACGCTAGAATCAGCATTGTACAACAAGCACATCATAGAATAATACCACAACAGGGCCCATTTCTTACATTATCCTTCCAATCACGAACCAATCAAGTTATAGTTCTAGTTGAAGAAAATGCTCTCATATTGTAGAAGTTGTTACCAGCGGTATCGACAATAACCGTTGTTTTCCCTGCAAAGTGTCGACTCTCAAGCCACATGAGCGAGAGCGCAACACCCGTGTGCATGAGCATGCAAGCCATTTGCTAGTTTCTGGAGCACTCGTGCTAGTAAAGGCGTGCAGACCTACTAACTGTGAGCCCGATGAAGCACCACCGCCGCTTCGTTGTATTACAGAAGGAATATTGAAGATGCTCGTTGTACTAGCGTCTTCGATTCTTCACATATTTCTGCTCCGTATTTTTCATCATCAGCTGAAAGAATTCAGTGGAAAACTTCAAATCTGTGTCATATAAATCAAGGGACCGAAAAAGCGTACTCCATCAGTCAAACTCCAATAGCTCTCAGCCATCGTCTCTTTCTGCAGTCCCTTCATGGTCACAGAAACCACCTCGGAGGGATTTACCTGTTTTGGATGCGAAGAAAAATATCTTTCTATTGCGCTGTGTAAAGGGGCCGAGGATCAGACCACCAATTATATTCTTCTTACAAGTGACCACTCAACAGCATCTTCAGTCATTTTTCATTCAAATAATTAGCAAAAAAGTACGCTATCAAGTTCGACTGCGGGCACGCCAAAGCCCGAACCCGAGACACAGGCCAGACAGGTGTTTGCGGGCCAAGCTTCCTTACCCTTGTTCTGCAGGAGCAGCTCAACGTCGACGGGAGCCTCCGCCTTTAAGACGCCAGCACAGTACGCTTCCTTGTCACAGACTTTCTCCGTGTCTGGCTGTGGCGTACGCACTAACGCTCCCGACTCGCAGCGTACGTGGCAGCCGAGCACAGTGGCGTCTTTGCGCACGCGCGTGCGCGGGGCGAAAACAGCATTGGACGATGAAGACTGTTGTATGGAAACGATATTTTCGATGTACTACGTACTTAAACTTCAACGAGTCTAAACTTCTATGATCTTGATGCGAAAGCTGAATAGTCAATTGCAATGATCATAAAAAGTAAATAGTACCATCTCATTCTCGTCATCTACAACATCATACTCATCCGCCGTTGCTGCGTCACTATCTCCAGATTCTGAACCCAAAAACGAGTATTCCTCTTCGGTCAAAAAGGCACTCGCATCTGTGACCAGAATGAGCTCACCTGGGTGGGGTTTTTGATGAAGATGATAAAATATTTCTTTGTCATTCTTAATCTTCTCGTTCTTGGCTCTTCTTAGTACAGTGTATTCAAGTCTCGATCGGAAAAAAAGGTGAGATGGGAATTTGTGTTTGTGTTCAGGGCTACGTAGATGAACAGGTTGATAAATCTGGCATCCTAGTGTGTAGTACGCCTCCTGCTGAGCTCTCGTAGTACGCAACAAGAAATCTTAAGAATACCATCTTCAGTTTCCGCAATCGCGAGATCGCGGTTGTACTCCTCAAAACGCGCACCCAGAAGGGCCCGCAAAGCACGGTAGACTTCTTCTACATCCGTGTAGTTTGGCTCGACACGAAATTCGCGCACGCCGTCCGACAGAATCTGCGTCAGATGGTTTAGCGTCACACGTGGCGGACTTTCGAGTACGTAGGACGCCGTGGACCCCTCTACAAGTACCGTGAAGGCGCCGTCGTGGTCCACCGTGAGGAGACATACGTTCCCCTCCGAGTCCTGGAATTCAACACACGACATGTTGTTTCCGTTTTTTAGCAAGCAGTGATGATCTCGTAGTCGTTTGATTTTCTCGATGTTGATCACTAACGACGAATAAAAGTAACGAAAGAAAAGATGATGAAATGATTTCTGGTGAATCCTCGACTTTTACAACTTATTGTTGCTCTCTTTGAATGATCTCTGTAGATTCGTTTGTGGCTCCTTATTTGTTTAGACCCATCGGAATTCTGACGCAATGAACAATGAAGACATTGCAATTAACACTACGATGAAACAAACTAGGAAAAAATACATGAAATTACGATAAGAATAAATCACTATCGATAATTATCAAGCAGACGACTCCTAGTGCAGTTTTCACTATCGACGAGTCATGTGTCCCCTCCAAGATTTCAAAAAGCAGAGAGGTAACCAATCAGTTCTAAGTGGGTCGGGCAGAGTGTCCGGAGTTAACACCCACTCCCTGGACGAAGTGTTGTAAGGGTTTTGGAAGATGATACGACGGAAGAACAGATGGACGATAACTATTCGACGCCAGTTTTCGTTACCAAAGTGTGTGCTCTATTGCTCGACGCAAGTAACCAAGATGAATGAAAGTATGTGCTCTAACTATATGATCCAGGGCTCAGGGCTGCGGTGCCCCCCTAGCGCAGGGCGGGGCACCGGTAGCCCCGGACCCTTGCGGGAGCCGTCTGCCGGGGGTGAAAGGCCTGAAAAGGGGCCCAGGGGGGCCTTCTCCGCTCTCTTCCAGCAGCCTGGCGGCACCCTACAGACCTCCGAGGAAGATGGAAGGCTCCAAAAGGGGCCCAAGGGACCGCCTCCGCCCCCTTCCAGCTGCCTGCCTGCGCCCTACATGCGCCGGATGCGGAAGGCCTCCGAAGGCGGCAAAAGGCGAGAGGCTGGACCCCCTGAGCCGTGCGGCCTGCACCCTCCAGACCCTTGGGCATCGGCTTGCTTGCTCTTGGAACGAACCGTGGCCGCCTTCGGCGGCCTTTTAACCCGCAGGCCTCCAGCCTGCGAGGGTCAGCCGAGGCCAGGAGGTCCCTGAAGAACCGGCAGAGAGGCGCAAGGGAACGCCCGCGCCCAGTTTTGACGCCTTCCACCACTAGAATCCGCGAAAATCAGCGCGGAAAAGAGCGCGCGAGCGCCACCACAGACCATACCACAGGGGGGGTACCGTGCAACCCTAAAACATATATACTATAAGATGCCGACACCTCTCTCAAGCTCAACAACTCACCACTCGCAAACAAAAACTCACAACCTCGGAAAGATTCGCTCGTCCTACAAGTGATCTGAACACAAGAAATACAACGACAAGAGATAAACTAACACCGATGTTCGTACTTGACAGATTCAGCGCCACCTCCACTGGATCTCTCGTTTTCAATACCAAGTGAACGCAAAAATTTTGTGCTTAAAGACGAGGAAGGCTCTCTAGCTCTACTATCGAGTTCGACAGAGCTGCTGAAAACGCCAGGAACCCTTGACCACTCCGTGGTGCATATACCGTTTCACCAAAATCTTCGACAACACATCTTCCCAAAATTTAACAAAAATATACGTATGGAAGAGAATTCCTTGGAATTTGCAACCTTCCGTAGTTCTGCATGTGCCTGCAATGTGCTGCAAGAAGAATCGATGCATTGCGAGTGGGTTCTATCTAGAAAGATCTTATCAACCTTTGCTTTTGTTAGTTTCTGAGATCGAGAAGAACGATCAACGTCTTATCAAAATTACAACACTTCATCGCCACACTCCGCGATTCTGATTGTAAAAAAATCTGTACTAACTTGAGTATCTCTGCTAGCTCCTTTCAGAACTTTCTTGGAAAATATTTTGAATCGCCGGATCCCACTCTTTGTGAAGCATGAGTGTGAAGCGTCCTACTCGTGTAGACTGACGCAGCGTTCCGGCAACACACTCCAAAAAGTTGTTTCGCTCGCTTGTCTCCTGCATCCGAGCGACACCAGGTAAGTGATGATGCGTTCTGCTCTTGTTCACCGAGGAAGAGGAGGCCACTGAACCACTCGCGCTGCTCTGGAAAGCATCGCTGATAAGCGTTTGGGAAATAGGAATTCTACTAGTAGACGATGAATCTCATATTACGAACTTAATAAATAAGAGACTATACCACGACACAAACACAAGCCACAAGGAATAAGAGCAGAAACTCATCCATGTGTTCTTTTATCACCCAATTTAGAAAGTAGTACTTTTGAATATGGCTCCCATGGTGCAGCAACGAGTATTTTCCGAGCGGATTTCCGGGGCACGAGTCTACACAAGGAAATTTCTCCTCTCCGAAAACTACGTGAGCTGCGTCTGCCAGCATCAAAGGTACTAGATCCCTTGTCGTCGACGTAGAATAACTCAAATCGGGGTTGGAATTCACTTCTATCAACCACACTTTTCCCTTCTCGTCCACCATGAAGTCGTAGCCAAAGATTTCGAAGCTATTTTTTCGGTCTCGGATTAGTCGTCGCTTGGCTGCAGCACGAAGTGAAATCCACACAAGGCGCTTCATTTGCCACTTGATGGAACGCCACGTGAGTGGCGGAGCTTCGCTCGCGTTTGCGCTGCTGACGTTAGCGTCGTGATTGTAGGAGCTGGCCCGTTGCGCGTGGTCGTGTCTGCCATCCGACCTCCGTGTGGGGGAGCATGGCTGGAACCCCATGCTGGAGTAAAATTCATTCGAAGTACCCGCGTCACCCATTTCGTCTTCCGAACCAGCGTCCCCGTGGTCTTTCGCAGCCGTGTCACCGCCGTCCGACCTGCACCGGCGTCGCCGCGGAGACGAGCAGTTGCGTCGGACCTCAGTGTTCGTTTGGTGAAACTCTAGCCAATTAGCAAAGCGATCCGAATGCCACATCGTCTTATCCACGTCGAAATCTTTGATGTCATTGGTGTTTTTCACCACGGCATTGTTCGTTAAATGCATGAATTGATCCGCATCCGCCTCTTTCGTCACATGCTGCCGACCCGCCTTGCTCGCTACTCTAGCTGAGGCAGAGGGGCCACTCGACGCTGTCGCACTTACGGCTACTACAGCAGCTGACTTCCCGGTAGGCGATTTCGCTACTTTCGCCGCGCCGCTCGGTGGCACTGCTGCACTCACGATCCCGGAGTCACTCTCCGCGCACGCAAAGGAGTCGTGCCCGGCCCCAGGATGCATGGAATTATTCACTATAACATTGGTGGAAGCAGCTTGGTCATGTTGGTCATGAGTACCTGCAGGATCACCAAAGAGGTTTGAAACAAGCGCTTCAGGAAGATCTTCGCCCGCCTGCTCAGCCTGGTAAGGGTGCGTCGCAAACCGCAGATAGCAATCCTCGTAGTACCACACGCGCAGGTGCGGTTCGTTCCATCCGGTCACCAGCACCCACTGGCGGATGTCGAATTTGTAGTTTTCCATCCGCTGCGGCTCGTCTAATCGGCCTGTGCTTTGTGCTTTCCGAGTAAACGGCGAGGCGTAGCAAGAAGAGTAATTCGACGTAGAGAAACCTTCGTGCGCAATAAGGAGCGGGTGCTCAAGATACTTCTGTGCAAGATATCGCCAATTGCCGATGTCCGAGGCCAACAGGTTCTTTTTCACGAAGGGATTTTGCAAAATGCGATTGATTGCTGTGCTACGCCACATACCGCGCACACGCCGTTCAGCGCGATCGTCGACGCGCGCAAGCCATTTAGTCACGGAATTCTCAGATACCTCATTGTACTCAGAAAAGCTCGCAGGACTCGCACGTGGCAGCGCGCCGGACGAAAAACCCGCTACCTTGTCGCTTTCCTCGTGCTGTTCGTTGCGCTGCGATGTTGAAGAAATGTTCTTGGTGTAGCTGGCAAAACGATTGTACTGCGGGCTACTCCGATCCCCCACCGCTCCTGGCGACCCCGCGCCTTGTGCAGAACTACCTGATGTGCCAACAGTTCCTTTGCCTCCACGCTCTCCCGGAGAACGATTGTCTGGCGAATTCGAAGTTGTTGCTCTGTCTTCATGACCGCTGGCACCTCCCCCGTCACCTCTACTCGTCGTGACCGTCCTCATGCCTGACTTTTTTCGCTGCTCCTTTTGCGAAGGCGGACCACGATTGGTGCCTATAAGATACGCTCGGGAGGGGGAATCTGCTATCTCTCGACCTAAGTGGTCGAGTTGTAGGTAGTTACCGCTACTAGCGGCGTCCTTGTTACACTGCCGGGCAGCTGCTTCGTCGTCGTTGTCGCCATCGTCCGCGTCAGACACAGGGGCGCTACTGCTACTGCTGGAGGACGATTCCTTGACACCGACAGAACGCGCGTAAGCTGCGGAGCGTGTGCAATTCTTCTTTGCGCTCAGTAAGCTAACCGCCGCGACCTTCTGGAAAACATTCTTCGCTGCCGAGGCTTTCCCCAAGCTAGTGAGCTTTGGTAACGAGGAGAGGCTCACTCCACTCTTCGACTTGGATCCGAGTGACTTGGACGCGCCAGGCATGCGACTGGAAGGCGATTTGTCGTCGGCTGTACCCAGTAGAACCCTAAGCGCATCCTCCGGTGAGTGCATCGGGGGTGATCCAATCGGAGATGCTTGTGATTCCGGGCCCACGATGTAATCTCGGTACCCACGGGACCGCGGACTGCCGCCACCCTGCGAAGAAGGCTGTTGTGTTTTGGCGAATAACAGCATCTGGCGGAAATCTCGAAGGACACGAATCCCAGTTCCTCGACAGGTGTCGACAGGCTTCACGAGCCACAAATTCTGCTTGCCATCAAGGCAGGAAAAGTCACACAATCGATGCTGTCGCAGGCGCGCTCCCGTACTTCGTCTGAAGAAGGTCGGGGGTGTACTAGAAGAAACTGCACCACCACCGCCACTCGACGCAGAGGAAGATGAATTACATGCTTCCACAACCGAGCGATCTTCATTCCTCCCTACTGGCGAGAGTCGTGATTGACGTCTCGGACTTTCTGGGCTCTTCGACTTTGCATCCGGAGCCTGTGTCGGAGCCATAAGCGGCGCTTCTTCTGTCTCCCCAAAACGCACTTGTCTAACGCCGTCCGGTGACGCTTTCTTTGATGCGCGCTCCGGGCTTGTGCTTCCGTGTCGCAAGACAGACGGGCCTGGAGACGGAGAAGCAAACGCACCTCGTCTTTCTTTTGGCGACGACGAGTATCCCCGCTTCGTTAAGTCGCTTGCTGCACTCAATGCCGAACCTGAATTCGAAGCTGCACTAGATGACACGGGTAGACCCCAACGCAAGCGCCTAACGACATCCTGAGCCTTGTCATTATCCAACACATCGTCGCTTGAAGACGCACTCGATGACGCGCGCGTGCTACTGGACGCACCTTCCATATCGTTCTCTGCCTTGTTAACTTGCTCGTCTTGAGCACCAGAGCTAGAACGTCGTGGACTAATTTTTACTACGCCGACCACTGCTTTCACACCGTTTTGCATACGCTTACGCGGCCCTTTACTGCTCCCGTTTTCAAGTGCATCAGGTGACAGCGTAGTTGTATCTAATATCGCTGAAGGCACTTCTCCGTCAAGGCCACGCGTCGCTAAACGTCGTCCAACCTGTTCTACTACATCCCACATGTCTAGTGACATTTCCACACCTTCTTTCTTCTTCAGAGTCGCCCGCAAAGGTTCCCAGTCTTCTAACGATGTAACGCACATCACCTCATCCACCTTATGGTCGCCTGACATACCGCTCGTTGCGAGAAACGACGAAGAGCCCGCTCCGAAAGTGAAACCTGACTCCTTGTTCGAAGACATTGGCGCATTTGTCGCAGTTGCAGTGACCGCTCCGCCACCACTGGGAGACACGCGATGCTTCATGACAACGACATCATCTGGTCCCCTCAGAAAACTCCAAACCAGCGTGCGCGAAATCAGATTGTCCAACTTCGCCAAATGGGCTATCGCTGCTGCGTATCCCTCCGCGTTCTGGACTATACCGGTCCGCTTCGAATACGTCGATCCTGGCGGCGCTTGGACAGGCGACCCGGCTTGCTGCATGAGCGCCGCCACCAGAGGATGCTCCAATGGGCTATGCAGCGATGACGACAAGCTAAGGCTGCTTCCATGTAGCGAGCGCTTTCCCTTAGCACGCCTTTTTCCTTCGCTTGAGTTAGAGGTGAAAGACTGGCTGAGGTCAAGTAGCTGCCTTACGATTCTTTGGTGTTTCGATCATTGATTCTATTTCCAACCTCTGTTTATCAATCCAATGAGTATCAATCCCGAGAGGATTCTCGTGCATAGGGCGCGAATTGAACTGATGTCGTGAGTAGTTCTACAATAATTGCTAAGCACTGCACTGCAATCTTTAAGTGCGATATTTTACGCCTTAGCTGGGCTGTTCACTGCGACTCCGTCCGAGTCGCTCTGCGACTTCGCTCGTCGAGCCTGCTCATCAGCTTTTAATTGGGCAACCTCCGCAATATTCGCCTGCACCAAGGCCGCTGGAGGCGCCCACGAGCGCGTGGTTACGTCTCTTGAGGAGACAGCAAACGAATCGTCGTCACTTCCATCATCAGTGCCACTCGAGCTGCAAGACGAACTATTGTTGAGAGAGGCTGTCCCGCTGCTATTGTAGAGGTCTCCCTTCTGGACGAATTCGGAGGCTTTCGCGTTGAGGTAAGTGAAATTATTTTGACTCATTGTGGCACGCAAAAAGCCGCTGCTGGCACTCATTTGATGTTCTGCTCCATCATGAAAATCCTTGAGGTCGCGTAGCTGGCCGCGTTTATCAAAACCCAGTGAGGAAGACGCGGACATGATATTTGATCGCTTGTGTTTTTGATGCTTCACGATCAAGGCGAGTAGTGCGGTCGCGCGATCCATTTCCCAGTCTCGCCACAGCAGCAGTCGTCGACTCTCCTGTACCTGGTAATAGAGCGCAAACTGCTCCAACTCACTGGGAGAGGACAGATTGAACGTCGGGGGAACGCCGCTCAACATCAGCACCTCATGCAACGCAACGTCCTCCAGCGGCGAAAAGGCCAATCCTTCCAGCAAACGCCGGCAAATCTGCGGTCGGTTTTTCTCCTCATCCTTGGCAGCCTTGCTGTTGGGGGAGGGCGACTTCTTGCTACTCCCTTGTGGACTCTCGTCAGAACTCGACAACCCGTCGTTAGCAGCAAGCACTCGACCTGATATCATGCTCGGGCTATTCGATGGTTAGTTTTTACCTCCTGCAATGAATATCGGAATGTGTTGGACCACAAGAACACAGGCCTCCGCGCCTTGGTTCGTTTCTCAGTGGAAACACAAAGCCAGGATCTTGAATGCAAGCAAATCTTGATACTCCTGCCTGAGACTTGCGTTCTCTGGCTGGTGTAGTCCCTGTTTGGTTCATTGGGTGAGATGAGTCATACATCAGCAGCATAAGCATGTCAGAAGGGATCGGACTGAACATGCATCATATGACTAGGATCAGTACAACCGTACCTAGTCTACACCTTGATCATTATGATTATGCATTGAATGTGCATTGAGTGCGCATTGGAAGTAGCATCCATGATCATCGACATTCATGTCTTGTGAGATCATCCCGATGACAGTCGAGCGCGAGGCTTTGTGTGAGCCACTGAGAACAGAACACCACGACATCCGAGAGGCTTGAACCATACATGACCAACACCCCTCCTCAATCGATGCGGGTTGAAGTCCGTCTCACGTGACCGCCTCACTGTGTGTTGAGTCACGGTAATCACATCTCTTGTTTAGTGTATGTAACCTGGCTACGGTGGTTTAGAAACCAAAATAAACCGAATATATTATACTATAGTAAGCTAAATCATCCTCTTCCGTTTCATCGTCAGAGGAATCACAGTCATCTACGTTACTTGTAGTTATCGGGTTATCTACGTGGTGTAGGATAAGTCTACGCTGAGTGGCACTGCAGGTTAGTTTCGAAAGTGGGTCTGCCTTCATCAGGTTGGTAGGACAGAACACGATCTTACTAGCAGCGTCGCGCACTCTTAGAGAACGTAAAGCATAGTGCCTACTTTTAGGACGAGCGTCTGTTGCTTTGGCTGTTGTGGTCGCAGACTGGTTGTCTATCCACAATGCAGCACTGTCTAAGGAGGGAGACAAGCCGTTCTGTGTGTGTACCAACTGGGTTGGAAGAGGCTTATAGAAGTCTGTGAAGTCATGCATCTCACTGAGCACTATCGTGTCAGAAGCTGCAATATACTCACTTTCAGCCGTTGAGTAGGCTCTAGCCGTTTGTCGGTTACTCCTCCACGCTATGGGTGTACCTTTGTAATACATTATGGAGCCACTTGTGCTTCTCATTGTTTTGATGCAGTTGGCGAAACCAGCATCACTGAATATGTTTACTTCTGGCATGTCTCTGCCTTCTGGTAGAAGTTTCTCGTATATTTTGTTGAATTCTTCTTCCTTTTCTGGTGAGTATTCTACTCCTTGGTCTTTTGTTGACACCAGGCATTTTAGGACTTTCTTGGCTGCTTTGGCCATTCTTGTTGACGTGGGTTTACTGACATGTCTAGCCAACGCAGCTACCGGAGCAGAGATATCCGGGCGCGCGGTTACAGCTACCCATAGTAAGGCACCAACTACCTCACGAAAGGGATACCCATCAACTATCTTGATCCCGTCTTCAAGAAAAGTTGTTTCGTCAAAATTGGGCGAGTAAACCGGTTTCCCTAGTTGAACTTCATACTTCTTAGCAATTTTATCGATGTACTGCTCCATGCACAGTCTGAACGACTTAGCTTCACGGCCATAGTACACGATCGCACCTAAGAAGTCGAACTTTAGCCATTCGAGACCCCAGGGGGTTAGAATTGACTCGACTTCAATCGCACGGCCTGGAGCACGTGTGAAAATGAGGTCTAGTTCGGTCTTGAGCTCATCTTGGTCAGGACCTGTAGCAAGATTGTCATCTACATAGACAGACATCTTCAGGAACTTCCCCGGTGCTTTGCTGCTCGGTTTGCGCCACAATCCAGGCGCAGAAGTACACGGCTCCCAACCAAGACTGGCTAGAGTCTCGCGATACCTCTTGAACCATGCTCGTGGTGCGTCCTTCAAGCCGTATAGAGCTTTCTTGAGCTTCACGATCTCGTATCCATGCTGTTTCGCCCAGATGGGTGGAAGACGGCAGTAGACATCTCGATCGAGTTCGGCATTGAGGAACGCTGAATCTAAATCGAACGGGATCACATAGTCCCCCTCTGACGCAGCAGAAGTGAGGAGCAACCTATTAGCGGCATGTGATACCACGGGAGCAAAGGTGTTTAGCTCTCCCGAACGATCTAAATTACCGAGTACACAGGCTCTTGCCTTGTATTTTCCACATCTCTTTCTTGTTAGTATGATGGCAATTGGTAGAGCCCGTAACGCGGTTGCTAGCTGCTCGTCAGTAGCTTCTTCCCACGTTTTAAAGGCTAGTAGTCTCGCATGCTCAATGTCAATGACTTCCTTCCACTTTTCAGCTTCAGGACTCTTTAATGCATTGGCAACGGACAGCATCACATGTGATTCGACGATTTCCTCATCTTCGTCTATCTCACACGTGCCACCAATAGCACTTGCGAACAGCGCCAAACTCTTTCTGAGTTCTTCCATCTGTTTCTTTGTTCTACGAATCCTTCCTCCAGCCTTGTCCTTGGCTCCTTTCGGTCGGCCACGCTTCTTGCCGTGTGTATGGCGTTCGCCTGCCACAACACGTGCGGGATCGATCTAGTCGGACTAGGTGAGTCAGAGACTCGATCCTTCGTTTCAACTTTCCCCTCCTCAAGTGAAACACCTTCAGAAGAGTCAGCCACGTCGGATTCAGCCTTCTTGTCTAAGGTTTCAACATATAGTTCTTCGGGAATGCCGGTCGGTCCACCTGAGGCGCGCTCCGTGCCAGAGAACCCCGATTGCTGATCCAGCCTTTGCACTGACTGCCCAATCAAGGGGGAGCCCAGCGACGACGCTCCACGCTGCAAGTTTTCCAGTTCATCGCACTCATAGTAAAAGCCCTTTCTATCTGGCGTTAGCCAGTCTATGTCCTTTATTAGATAATCCTCTCTGAACTTGACATCTAGGGTAGAGTATTCCGCCCATCGATATCCAAGCTTGCAACGATCGTCATGAGCGAAAGTAGCAACCAACCAACCAGACGACTTCGGACAGAGTCCAAGGAAGACGCCACGGCGATATTTGGCCGAGAGCTTGGGTTCAGGAGTGTTGGCTTGGATTTGTTCACGAAAGTAAACAAGACAACCAAATCGGCGGAGCATGCCGATTTTGCTTTTGGAAGAATTTCTACCAGTTCTTTCTTCTAGAGTCTCTATTGGACTCTTTCCATCGTGTTCTGGCATTTTAGCGTAATTATGCGGAAGACGATCCCAGCAGTCACCAGCGTACTCAACACAGTAACACCAGAGACGTCGGCCAACCCTCGTTAGCATTGTTCGCACGCTGCCAAACAAGGCCCGCATAAAACGTTCAACAGTCCCACTCATTTCCGGATTATAAGGAACAGCCGGACTGTCTGAGACCCGCAGCGATTGCATGAGTTTGGTCATGTCATCACTACCGAGGACTGGTTCTCCATCCCTCCGGATGAACCATACTTCCTTGTCATCTAGCGATAATGAGTAGTCCTGTCGAATGCCTTTTATGACTTGTTCTATTTCCTCCACGCAGTCACTCTTAAGCTTCAGCGGTCGACAAAGCGCCTTCTTAATTACGTCACATATGACGACTAGAACACATCGCATAGATCTTACTGAAACAGGTTTTATTCCTACAGCAAAGTCTAACGCAAGTAGTTTGAGGGGTTCGGGTTTGTAGGTAGTCACTTCTCTAGATTTTGCATGGGATTTTCGTTGTCCTTTAGCTTTATGTAGGTCACATTCTGGGCAACTAACTTGTAGCCCATCTATGTGAAAGTGGCCACATCTCCTGTGTAGTTCTAGTCGCGTAAGATAGCAACTAGAGACCCCTTCTTCTATTGATGTACAAGTGAAACCACTTCCATGTTTGTTTTCAAAGAAACTACACGCGAGTGCGGGTAGCTGCAAGCGTGGGCGAGCTCTGATGGGTAGCATCTGGCCGGTGTCCGTGTGCACGATACAACCACCAGTGCCTTTGAAGTTGAACTCCCACCCTAATTGCGAGCAGTTTCCGTCTCCTAACCATGGTAATATGCGATCTATGTTTCCAGGTAGAGAATCATAGTAAGCTCCATTCTTTAGTCCAAGTACGTTGTTCTTGAGTTTTCCGACTTTTCCGTCTTTAGTACCTGCACTACCTGCTATTCTACAAATGTTGTTACCAATTTCATCGAAATCATCTCTGTGTCGTGAGAGATATTTGTTTGCACAGCTATCAACTAGCGCTGCGTCTTCTGATGTTCTAGTATTCAAGGCTGTGAAACTATATCCATCTTTATTGTAGCTATCAGCATGATTATCAACATTTGTCATTATTTCATCTTCTTCGAAATTCAGCGAACACTTCCCAAATTCGTACGGTTCCGTCGCTCAGCTTCGATTGTGCGAGTTCATGACGTTGAGCATCTCCGCAACCTGCGACATGTGGATCATGCCACTGCTATTACCCTTTCCACCTTTGCCTCTAGAACTACTAGATGAGGCTCCGGTAGTCCAACTTCCCTGTCCCTGTTGAAGGGCTTGTGTGTTATGCCAGCACTCGGAGGACTTGTGTCCGACCTTGTGGCAGCAAGCACAGCGGGGTGGATGGGTATTCTTTCCTTTTCCTTTATCTTTCTTCGGCTTTTGTCCGCCGTTCTTTCCTCCTTTGGGTTGGTACCCGTAGGAGTTGTAGACCTCGGCGATTGCCTTCTTCTTTTCTTTCTGCTTGAAACGCTTGAGGGCGTTAGCGGAAACGAAGGTCTTACCATCTGCCTTATTGGCCTCTACCTCGTCACCATCGATCCTCATTCTTATCATCACGAGGACGCTTGTTCGAGGTTTCCTGAACATTGACCGGAAACGCTTTCCCGAAGGAGTCGCTCTCAATTTTGTAGGTTCCCTCCTCGATCAACGTTGTAAGACGTTTCTCAAGTCGGTCTCCAATTTGGTCAAATGTCAGGCCATCTTCTTCTTGCATCCGCTCGATAGTCGCTTTGAAGTTCTTGCAGAACAACTCGGGCAACTTCAGCAGGATCGCTCCGCTCTGTTGATCAGCTTCGGGCAGATCTGCATCCGGCGGGAAGACGGTGGGCGATTGGTTCATGATGTCGCGGATCTTTGAGAGGAACTCCTTGACATCTGCAGGCTGGTCGCTGTTGTGGAACTTCGTCAGTCCCTCCGACAACGGCCCGACCTTCATGCGCTGCTCCTGGCGATTATTCGCGTTGAAGTTCCCTTGGTCACGAAGTAGAACAACAACTTCACCAGCATCCATTTCGTCCACCGCGCCATCGTTATTCCGATTGTCGACAAACGACTTGGCCGCACCTTTCAGACTTCGCATGATTACGTCTTTCAGGTTGCGCCACTTCTGGCGGGTCACGTCTTCGCGACTGGTATTACCTTGCGGCACACCATGTGGAACGGCCGGCACGTTGACTACATTCGTGTAGTTCTCAAGTAAGCCTAGGCGACTAGCTTCTTGACGTACGGCTCGCTGCCACTCGCGCCAGTCGGACTTCTGTCCCAACTTCTTGAGGATCTCCTTGGCCTCGCAGGACATTTTGATGGATTTGTTTATTTTACTACACTACTTCCAGTTTTATTTTACTTTTGCCGCTCAAGGGTTAGACCAGTGCTGGACCACAAGAACACAGGCCTCCGCGCCTTGGTTCGTTTCTCAGTGGAAAAACAAAGTCAGAGTCTTGAATGCAAGCAAATCCTGACGCTCCTGCCTGAGACTTGCGATCTCTGGCTGGTGTAGTCCCTGTTTGGTTCATTGGGTGAGATGAATCATACATCAGCAGCATAAGCATTTCAGAAGGGATCGGACTGAACATGCATCATATGACTAGGATCAGCACAACCGTGCCTAGTCTACACCTTGATCATTATGATTATGCATTGAATGCGCATTGAGTGTTCATTGGAAGTAGCATTCATGATCATCGACATTCATGTCTTGTGAGATCATCCCGATGACAGTCGAGCGCGAGGCTTTGTGTGAGCCACTGAGAACAGAACGCCACGACATCCGAGAGGCTTGAACCATACATGACCAACAGAATGAAAGCAATTTTCTAGCACCAGCACGATGGGTTACGACGAACCAACCCAGAGAAAATACGGATGACTTATATATAATATAATAAGACGCACACTGAGCAGCGTGATTATCTAAATCAGCATCAAGACGAAAAATACCGTTGCTTTGCCCTGCGACCAACGCTTTGTTACGATACCGTGACCACTTCGGGGGACGAGGCGAGTTTTGCGGCACCACGTCGAGGAATTCATGCTCGATTCGACTACGAATAATGTCGCGAAAGAACAAGTCCAGCGTCTTATGCAAACCATCCTTAGTACAGAGACTCTGCACATTCCCGAACGCGTTCGTAGAGACGTTTTCAGGCAGGAAAGCATGCCGATTCTGTCGGCACCACTCTCCCACAAGCTCCCGCTTCACGTACAGCATGATGAGAGATAGGGAAGTAGTGGCTAGTTAAAAAATTCGATTTTCAATGATGATGAAGATAAACATGCGCTTGATCCATTTACATACCTCCAAAATTACACCGAATTACATGGATATTTGTTGTGACAAATTCGCTTTCTAGCAGAAATTGATGAGATTATTGAACATCACTTCAAGAAGTTCGCTTCTCAACTTTGATTGGGCAAAAATGCAACCAAGAAAGGAACGTCGATTGATTGCACGTCGTTCAGAATATCCAGGGACAGACTACTCCGATTATACGGTTAACCGATGCGGCCCCCTTGCGAGCCGCCTTTGTGACCGAGTTAACGGAGCTTCCTTGAACATTAGCATCACCGACGGCCACACATATACTGACTTCACCGATTATATTTTCTGACAGAACTTTTCACCGATATTACAAACCGATAATTTTCAAGTGCACCTGCTGAAACACGCTTTACTCTATAATACAATGAGAAAGCGAAGCCGTCTTCTCACTTCCACTCTTCGGCCTCGTCTACGCAATCAATTCAATGATTATAACTTCGCTTCCTCCGACCAGATGCGTATGTCATGCACTTGCGGTACACGAGTCAACCACGACCACAAAAAGCAACAGGTGACAACTACTATCTATTCACTTCATCTCGGAGCCTTCTGCATTTTCAGGAGGTCTTCCTGACTAGCCACAGCATGCGTTCTTCGTGAGGAGCTAGTCATCTCCAGGTATTTCTGCAGGCCCTGATTGAGTTCCTTCTGCGTCATCTTACTGTCTACACCGTATTCCTCTATGGCTGACGCAGCGGCTTTGTGATGCAAGATCGAATTCTTTCGCTTGGGAGCGTTTTTCGTCTTGGCTACAAGCCAAACCAACTCATCGCGGTTCCGCAACCACCACTGGACGAACTCGCTAGTATGAGAGCTGCAACAGGGATGCCAGCAAAAGTCCTACTCTACGCGTTCCTTCGCAGGAAGTTAATTAGCGGTGTAGTCAATGTTATATATAAAGTGTTCGACTGAAACTGACATCAAGTTCTTCAGCTAATTTTCGTGTTAACTTCAACATCATGTTCCACTTACATCAACATCAAGGTCTTTAGGAGCCACAATTTTCTCAACATAAGGAAAGGTAACTGCGTTCCGTCCTCGATAGTCCAACTCGATCCAGAACGAGCGTAGTCGCGGCTCCGGTAAGTCGTACAGCTCTTTCCCCTTCGCTAGTTCGTACATCAGCTTTCGAAATGACTCAAATTGCAACACACCTGAGGGTTTCCTTGAGTTTTAGTGTTTTTTGTCTCAAGGTGCATGTGTCGGACGAAGGAAGTAAGACGAGTGAAAATTAACCGGCTCTGTTCTTTATGTGCTTTGAGCGTTGCTGGATTTAAGCTTGTGCAAATTCGATAATAAGGTGCATGTGCAAATTCAATCACAAATTTCTTTCTGTGAGATCAAGAAAAAGAACGAAGGGTGAAATTGAAGAAGTAGACGTAACATTAACATACCCATCATCGGCTTCTGCTTTTTCTTCTCGGCATCTGCTGTGTTTTTCTTGCTTTGCTTGTTTCGTGCCGCTGACAAAGGCGTGAGACCAGCTGGACTTTTGGGCTGCCTGTCTGGCTGCGACAGTTGACTTGAGCCTAAATCATCGACTCTGTTTCTCCTTCCGTCTGGATCAGCGCGACTATTCGGCGTTTCGCTTGTCTCTCTCGTCCCTTCCTTATCTATGTTTCCTCGAGGCGTTGGATTTTCCGAAGCAACAGAATTACCCACGATGTTGCCTCCAGTGGGGGTGTCGACATCAATCATCTCCCTATCAGGCCGCTTTGTTTTCTTCGCGACAGCAACACCGGCATCATCCAAGTCATTGTCATCCACCTCCTGCAGCAGGGTTACAAGAGGACCATCGTCTACAGCGATCTGTTGCATCGTTCCATTTCCTGCACCCACTTTCTTCTGCCGCTCTTCCTCTTGAAAGACTCGAAACCAGCAATCTCTCATCTTTTCCAGGTAAAGAATATCCCCCTTCTCAGCCAATAGGTCATCGCGTGCAACCCTTCGCAGAAAGTTTTCGTCTTCATCCGTTGTTGCGCCGTCAAAAATGCGCACAAGGTGATCCAGATGGCCACTACTTCTGGTCTCGGTGGTAAAGCCACAGAAAGTCCCACGAACAGAAGTCGGATCAAATGGCTCTGATTCAACCGATGACTCCTCAAAAAATGAACTGGACAACGTTGAATTCGACATAGGGCTTGCTGCTGCGACAGGGACTGCTCCAGGTGAAGGCCCACCTCCACTTCTAGGTAAGGATGAACTGGCTCCTGTACCAGAGTTGTAAGCAGTAGCCCCAGCAGCTCCTCGATCCAATATGTTTGGAGGGCCACCCTCTGGAGTGCGTGCGCGACCGTTTAAAGGCGAGGTCTGTTTGAGAACTGTTCCAGACGATGTGGTGACGATGGTCAGTGGCTCTGGCTCTGGGCTCTGAACAAATATGCTTGCTGTATTTCCCTGTCGTCCTCTGTTCGGTGACCATAGAGAACGCGGCGAAGACATAGTTGGGCTCGACGTACTGGCTCCCAACTTCCTTGCTCCTGGATCCTTGTTCGCACCCGTTGAAGTAGGCGTGTTGCGACCTGCTTTAGACAACGACGCGCTTCCACCATTCAGCACTTGCTGATTGCTGCTACTGCTTGTGCTTGTTTGTACCTTATCTGACGACACAGTGACTGGGATATTTGCACGCCGGTCACGATCCCTGCCTCGCCCTTCGCGTGCAGTGCCTGCTCTCGAGTTGGCTGCCGATCCTGAGCCGGTCCCTGCTGGCCCACCAGTAGCATTCTTGGGTGATTTCGAACGTTTTCTTTCTTGACGTTTTCGCCACTCTTGTTGGTGCTCCACAAGCGACTGCAAATTTTTCAATATGCGAACTTCGTCGTCTGATCCGCGCCCTGACACGGAAGAACTGCGACTTCGCGGAGTTTGACCGCCACGATTTTTGCTCTCTTTCTTTACCATATCCTTTCCCGTTCCGGGATCGTCGCCACGGAAGATGACAGGTAAGCCGCCGTAGTCGCGCCGAAGCCAGGCATCTATACGCGCTTCTCGAGTACGGTCCGATTTTGGCTGGTCTCCACCCCCACCTTGATGGTGTCTGTCGTGGCCACCATGCTCACCAGCGCCTCCAGTCTGCGTCGCTCCTTTAGTCTTACTACGAACTGAACGCCGCCGCCGCTGACTCCCCGCCAATGGCGACGAGCGAAATAAGAATTGAGAGGGCGTTCCAAACTGCGAATCCGTTCCCGCATTCGTCTTGCTGTGGCCACTCGTCGTGGCCCATGTGCTACTGCTTCCACCTTTCTCCTCTCCGACTCGTCGCGGGCTCGGCTGCATCAAGAAGTCCCTCGGACTTTTGCGGCCCACAGCCGAAGCTAATGCCGCACTTCGCACACCGCCGCTCTGTTGACCAAGAGGCAAAGAACTCAGCTTACTGGAGCCCGCACTAGGCGATAGAGAAGTAGCACGTCCACATCCGGATCCATCAGCAGGGACATACGAGGTCTGATGTGCGCACAAACCAGCAAGTACTTGAGCTGCATTGAGACGGTCAGCGGAACCCGTGGGTGAGTTAGCGGCCGGGGTTCTGGGTGAATTCAAAATGTGCAACTGCGGTGGTCTTTTTCTGGGCGAGCGTTGGAAATGCTTCAAGACAAAAGAGCTCTTCTTACTTCGTCCACCACGCGGTGACACCTGCTCGCTCGATTGCTGATGGTGAGAACCGCCTGCAGGTTCCATTTTGTCTCCACACTCAGATTCCAAAAATAATGAGCATGCACCTATCGAGAACCAACAAAAATGACAAGAAACAAATATGTCTCACACGATAAACCCGGACGAAAATAGGCGAGTCCTCCCGACAATCAATGAGGAATGTAGTACAATAGAAATATGAATTCTTAGAATATCACATACGTGTCAACCGAGGAAAATGATCAGAGAAAAATGACACATGCAAAACTAGAAACAATAACTCTTGGAGCTTGAGATATAATAGATACATTCATAGATAACAATACAAGAGCAATCAAGCCAGACGCGATCATCGGGGCGCGGTGGCATGCACGGGTACTGGAATTTACCACCTACTTATAAATAGATCGGAACCTGTGGTTGTGTTGATCGCCTCTTTTTAGATGAACTTTACTGCAAGAGTGGCTGACTTTCACTATGGAAGGATAGCGATATGAAAGTCGCCTACACAGAAGCAAAAGCGCATCAACCGAGTCTCCGTATATTAAAAGCACACTTTCAAAAAAGTAAGATTCACATCAACAAAAGACAAATTAATAGTACTATGGTATAATGAGAAAGCTTTCCTCCTCGTTATCTCTCTTGACAGCCCCGGGCTTGGATATCGACGGATAACAACACAAACCTTACCGAAAAACTCAGCCCATGACCGATTTTTCCAGACCGGGCGGACCAAAACAAAGTGAGTGGACCGAGCCAGCGAATATCAATAAGAAAACACCCGAGTGAAGTAAGAATGTCTGATGCGAACACCTTCGACACATGATTATCACCAGCAAGAACGGCGGGCTGTGCCACAATGTATCTGTCCCATTACCGACATGACTTTTGAAAACTATGCACTTAGTATTTGTCCTGTACATTCCTGATCACTTTTTGTGGAAACCCCTTGATTTTCAGAAGTTCGAGTTCATCTAAGAGCTCCAGCTTACTAGTATCGCTATTTCTTCATTTTCCCGGGAGACCTGGTACACCCAGCGAGACTCGGCAGAATATGTAAGTCCAGAGTGCGACTGCGTGCTCTTCCTCTGGCATCATAGTATGTAGTACGAATTCAGAGAACCGCTCCGCATCGTCCAAAAGTAGAATTGCATAGGCCGCGTCACAGGCGTCCCACAATGTGAACACGCCTAAATCAAACTGGTAATTCAGTTTTCGCTCTAAAGCCGGATCCTCTGGCATATCCTGCCTGGTCCATTCGGAGGCGGGTACTATTCCTTCGGGAGCTGCGTTGGCATCAGCATCCTCTAGCCTCGCAGGCGCCGCAAACAAAGAGGCCATAGAGCTGTGTTCCCGTAGAGCGTCCAGATTCGGCGCACCAGTCGTTTCTGTTGATGGCAGCACGCCCGCCGTGCGCCGGCCCTCCAGCCGCAGCGTGGCTGCCGCCTGAGAAAGGGGCATAGGATCCGGCCTTAATCTCGGGTCAGCCAAAGCCCCTGCAAAGGCGCGTGCGCGGTTGATCACGTCGTGAATGGTGAACCCTGGCGCAAAGAATTTGTGCGTGTTCGCAATGATCCATTTGTGATATTTCAATTGCAGCATCATTTTTTCCAGTGCAAGATCAAAACTGCTCACACAGGCGAGACGTATCAATGTCAATGTGTCGATGGGCGCATCCTCCGCCCCGAAGGCCGGCTGCCAGGCAAAGGCTCGTAGGACCAGGGCACGATACGTGTCGACGTTTTCACGCATGTCCGCTGGCGTGTTTTCACTGTTGCGGCGAACGATCAATTCAATGAAGTCCCTATCTAACATAACGTTCTTAGGAATCGGGTTTGAGCTGTCCTTCTGTGCTCCAGCATTCAATTGCTTTAAGCACTGGTACAACGACCTTATCTGGTCTCTGTAGAGAGGATGCGCCTCCTTCTGAAAGAGCTGCTCTTCTGTTCTCGGGCTAAAGAGTTCCCAAGCTTCGAGCAACGTACGCGCCACCCACTGTTCCACCTCGAAGAGGTCAGGCTCACTCCCGTTCGTCCCACACATACATAGGTGCGCTCCCCCAGGACCCGCTCCGGCGGATCGCGCTTGTGTCATTTTCGCTTTCATTGCCGCGCCACCCAGCTTTAACAGGCCCATGGCCCCCCGTGCTTTCTTCTTCAGCAGGTCCCCTGCTTTCTTTCCCTTCAATGCGCCTTTCTTCCTCATTCCCTTGCCCGCCAGCTTCCGTCCTTCCCCGTCCACTTCGTCATCTGCCGAAATCCGCTGCGTTAGCCCTGGGTTCTCATCGACTACGCCGGAGTACAGGGCCCCAGGGTCCGCGGCGTACTTCGTTACTTCGATAGGGTGGTAATAATACCGAGTAGACTTCCAGTAAGTTGCAAGGAACTCGACGAAAGCCATTCGAGGCGTCACAACAATGATCCACTCGTACTCCGTCGTGTCCTTCGGATCTTTTTGAAAATTAAAGTTGAGTTCTCTACTTTCGAAATATGATCGGCTGAAATCGGATTGCCAACATAGACATCAACACCGTGACTAACTTATTAGGAAGAGAAGATCAACTTACTGAACTATGAGATGAAGGGGCATCACTATCGTGCGTACTAGTAGATAAGTACTCAAAAGGCACCACCGCTCTAAGTCCTGGTGGTCTCCAATTCCGTTGTTGGCAGCCAATTCTGACCACGCACGACCGATTTTTCTCAGGTTCAGTTCTAACAACGGCCCGACGATTGGATGCTTCAATGCAGCGCGTACGTAAAGCGATCGGCTGGCTGCAAAGGGTGCTTTTGCCAATTCGGCTTCGTCCGCTGCAGTCGAAGCCTCGCTTGGCGGTTTTTCCACGATGACGACCACCTCCTCCACTACTTCTTCCACGGCTTCCACCTCGGGCTCCGGCTCCACCTCTGGCGCCACCTCCAGCTCCACAGGCTTCTTGCTTGCACCACAACCCATCTTGAGGAAATCGTTCGAAAGCCAATTTCGAGTTTTCCACTGAATGAACGTCGGAACGAGGAGAGCGAGAAAACTTCGCAGCTCAGACAATAACGGTCATTCTTTGCAAGAACTCTAAAGCATCGATAAAACACAAGAAAGCACAGAACAGAAAATAGCAGAGATCAAATTGTAGCTTCTTGAACAAATAAACGTGACGGTGACAGGTGTGCCCGTCACTCATGAATTATCTACTTATGCTTATCTGAATGAATCAAAAATCGTTAATTATCCTTACGACCAGAGGTGTCAAGTTATCACCCCGTCCTCCTTACTCTGGCTGGAATCTAGGTAGTTCTGTGTGAAAATACAACCTCTTGTGTAAGTGTAGGCTGGGACAAAAACGATAAATAGCCGGCACTCATCACACTTTAAAGCACATAAATAGACACGGGAGCACCTACGAAAATCTTTTACTGCCTGACAAGTGTGACGGACATTTTCAAGATTGATGATCTCCATCGATCTGACTCATGCTCTCGACTTGCAGTACCTCAACATGTGAAACCGCTCGACGGCAGAACGAACCTATCTATCAACAGATACAAAACATAATACTGACATTATTGATTCTTGTACAGAGAGTTTTTATGACAAGTCTTTCTTCTCCTGACAGATTGATGCACCTCATCTTTCCCTCGGTAAATCCGTATCAGATTAGATTTATTAAGAACGAAACCTTGTTGAAGCCCTCTTCTTACACATTTGTGCTATCTCGGAACAGAGTTGCTCATTTTTCACAGATGCTTGATTGAGAATTCTAGTTAAATGCAGTTCTGATAAATGAGAGGCTTATTCCAGCTCGCTTTAGACGGCTGCTATTTCCTCGACAATGTAGTTACAGATTTTGAAATCACCCTCTCTGCTTTCAGATATTCAAAAAAATAGGAAAATGGATGTGTTCTCGATTAAAAACAAGAGACTGACAGCAAAATCGTCCTCAAAGCACTCCCCCGAGCTGGCGAATCACGCAACCAACAAATATATCTAGAACTAAATTCGACAAAACGACAGATGAGTATTCGAAGCCGCCCTAAAGAAATCATCAAACCATGGTACTACCTTTCAGAAATTCCTTCCGTCGACGAAGCTATCATATGAACGTAGGTTACAGAAGTATTGAGTAAGTGTGTCGCACATTGGTACTTCAACGCAGCATATCGTAGTCACGAGTCTCTGGCCTCTACTCCTGTAAAGGAGGACCACTCGCATTGTAGGCCCTAGCTCCAAAAAATGTTAGTAGCTAGTTAAATTTCTGGAATGTAATAGGTTGTAGATATGCTGATTCATCATTGTGGTAAAAATTACATTGATTTCTACCAATTCTAGCGTAGCACGCCTCAATTCGCAATTGAGCGAAGAGGCACCTTAATGAAGATCAACATTATCACATGCAGAAATCACCACCGCATTAATCAGCTTCATCTGCATGATGATGGTCCTAACCACTTTCTACCCGTTTCGCCGAGCTATTCCCAGCAGGTTATTCCACAGCGCCGCGCTTTTCCTCTGCCTGTTCTAGCAGTCGCGCGCGTTTCACAGGCATCCACGAAATGTCGCCGTCTTTTAGTAGCCGTGCGACATAGCTCTCTGGTCCCGAGTAAGATTCCTTGTCCTTTCGGAAGAGGTAGAAGATGTAGTTCAAGTAGTTCCACTTGTTCTGTTTGGTATCCTCGATGTAACGGAATCCGGACCGAATCTCCGGGTTCTCGACCACGCTGGCCGCTTTGTCGATCTCTGATCGGTCCAGACAACTGATGAAGGACACATTTTTCATGTACTCCTCACGCTGTTGCGTCTCGTCACGCAATGACCCGAAGGTGTCCAAAATGATACCGAAAATAACATTCATCAGCACGGTTGTAAAGATGATGAAGTACGTGAGGTCGTAGAACACGCGCTGGTACCAGTTCGGCACCGCTGGTGACACGCCCTGTAATGCGCTTCCGATATCCTGCCGCATGCCTTGATAGATCGTTGTGATGGTGCAGTCCGCGATGTTGGTGCAGGCACCCTCAAAATCAGGTCGGAAGTAGTAGAATCCCACAAAGGCGTAGGTATACATTATGATCAGACCAAGAAGCAAGGTAAGACCAAGCGACTTGATAGGGATCATAACCGCTTTTAGCACGTTCTCGAGCATCGGATACTGAAACATTGTGTCCAGCAACAGGAAGGAGAAGAAGTACCTTGGTTATGGAGACCATCAAGAGGGAATGACTGTAGCCAGCGCATAAGATCTTTGAATTTCAATATTCTGCGAACTAAGGCATGGCTGGATATCAAGAAAATCTGGCGTCGTTCCTTTCCAACAACGAGATCAAAGTCAATCATGACACAGGGACGCACGCCCCCCCCCCTGCGGATGGCCCTGGCGCGCTCTTTTCCGCGCTGCTTTTCGCGGACTCTCCGGGTGGAAGGCGTCAAAACTGGGAGCGGGCGTCCCCTTGCGCCTCTTTGCATGTTCCCGACTGACGTCCCGGCCTCTGCCGACCTTCCCACCCCGGAGGTCTTCGGAGTAGAAGGCCGCCGAAGGCGGCCACGATCTCGAGGCCTGGCCTCTTTGGCTGGGTTGCCCTCATCAAAGGCGCGGCAAGAGCCAGCAGGCCGATGACCAAGGGCCCGGAGCGTACAAGCCACACGGCGCAAGGGGTCCAGCCTTGCGCTCTTTGCTGCCTTCGGAGGCCTTCCACGCCCGGCGCCGTGCTGCTGCGGCGAAAGGCCAGCACCTACGAAGTCGGTAGGGTACATGCAGGCAGCTGGAAGAGAGTGGAGGCGGCCCCTTGGACCCCTTTGGAAGTCTTCCATTCCCGGCAGACGCCTCCAAACGGGGGGATCGGCCAAGTGGAACATAACTAAGAATCAATGAGCTCATCTGCAAAGTACCATGCGTCGAATATTCCGAGCCAGCACAGAATCGTTAGCCCTGCCCGCCGCCAAATCGGTCTTCGCTCTAGAGCTTTCGCTATTGTTCGAATCAGGTGTGCCCAGTAGTTGTTGGGGCATCGGTGGTTCCGCTTGTGGCCTTCCGGCTTGGTCCACGTCCCGTCCCATAAAATGCACATCAGCAAAGCCGAAGCCATCCCGATGCACCAGTGAAAATCGTGCATCACGGAGAGAACGTAAGCAGAGCCGCAGATGGAAAGAAGCGCAACTGTAGTTTCTAATGGTCCTGTGGATTTCACGTAGGTGAGCCAGCTCGAGTTCGCCGGGATCTGCGTCTCGCTTTCCATGACCAGGAAATCCAGTGGAGAATAGAGGCAGACACTGATCACGAACGTGATCAGCATGAAAAACCAGTAGACCCAAGCGATGGCCATCACAGCGGGATAGGAATCGTGGTGCAAGATCGGATAGATGGGATGCTTCAGGTCACCCTGCACATCGTTCACATCGGCTAAATACATGTTGTTCGCAAGTATCATATTGAGCACGACGGCGACGTAGAGGGTGTACTCGCTGATGCGCATCAAGTTCTGACTGTCGTTCTTCAGGAAAAAGTTGAAGGGACGCTTCAAACTCGAAGGCACCATGTGGTTGCCGCGGAATTGAGGCCATTCCTGAAAGTGAATGGTGGAACAAATCTAGATATGGCAAGCATATAAAGACAGAAAATTGTGACTAGTCAAACTAGCAGCATCACAAAAAAGAGGATTTTGGATTAAATTATCTTCTGAGAAGAGCGACGCTGACAATCAGTACCCATTTGCTGAGGTTTCTCGTGTGTTCTGTCTGCGCGAAGATGTACTCGCTCATCTCCATGAACCCCTGGGCTTTTTCTTCGGGTGAGCTAAAAGAGATGTTGTTCACGATGTCCCGCTTCGCGCTGCCGAGCACAAAGTCACACATCACCGGCATGCGATACCAGACGTCATAGATACGACCGTCGACTACTACCTCAATAGATTTAAGCCACCGCGAGAAGAAATCGTAGCCCAATACGAACTTCTTTGCGTAGGTTTTTTGCGCTTCGGCCCGTGTACGCTCAGCTTCATTGGCGAAATCCAAGGGCCCGAACTCCCGATCTGCCAGATGCCGGTTTGGCCGACTCTGCTTCTTGAAGTCGTCGTCCACCTCTGCAAGCTGATTCATAACCATCAGAAGCTCCCAGGCCTCGCCGAAGAAATCCTGTAATACGTCGTTTGTGAAATCTTCGACCAATAGCTCGGGCGATTCGCTGGGGATTCGCAAACTCTTGTCCGCCTCCTCGAGTGTCTCAAGCTCTGCGTGTCCTGCTCCCAGGATACGCGACAGAAAGTAGCGATGCACGAAGATGACGCGGTCTTGCATCGTGGAAACGTCGACACGATGCAAGATGTTTTTGTGCACTTCCGAATCTTTCCGCAGTTCCAACATGGAGTTTAGACAGAGGCACAGTTTCTGCTTGAGTTCCCGCACGGATGAAGGGTAGGGGTCGTCGTCTTCTAGTTCGCAGAGGTTGGCGAAGGGCCAACGCAGAATCTTGTTGATCTGTTCGACTAGGCCGCCGACTGAACAGTAGAGCTGGTTGCGTTCACATGGACCCTGGAGGACCTCGATTATGAGATCTACACCTGCCGAAAGCAGATCCATCTCCTCTTCATCGAGATTATCAGCTGCATCTCGATTCTTCACCAGGGCAATCACAAGCTCCACTGTTCTTTCCACAAAATTCACACTTACGCTGTTGTCTTGCTGCAGGTACAGGTAGTCCTGAGAGATTAGACCATGAAAAAACTGTTGACAAAGCAAAACAAATCCGCTTCGGCGTGCTCAGCTTCTGCTTCACTTACGTCAATGTCAGTCGTCAAACGGTATTAATCCCTGCCGCATTACATCTAGTATTATGATGCTAAAACAGGGTCTGCATTCACGCTAATTTTGTACATCTCATTTCTAATCTACCACCTATTCGTCCATAACATGAGAAGATTGTGACCCTCGCAGAGTTTTTGTTGAAACTCTATGCATTTGCAGCAATTTTGCACTGCTGCGGACCACAATTTGAGATAGTCCTGTTCTTCTGGTGTTAGTGCCGAGTCCATGTCTTCGGCCGCAAGCGCAGAGGCCAGGTCCGGCCTTTCCTTCTGTATTTCCTCTCGCTGTCGCTCGAACGTCCGCTGCACCTGGGTTTGCTGTATTATCATCATTGGACAGTACCAAGAAGCTGAGAGAGGATATTATATCAACCAGTATTACGCAACGAGTTTACGCGACTCTGTTTCTCACTTTCAGACTCAGGCTCAGGCATACTCAACCTTAACACATTCACAGAATAAGTCCATTAGCACCTCTTTCAGCGCTCGCACTGGCCTTAGGTTGACCATGATTGCATCGTAGATTTCTGAGAAAACCTGCCACAGACCGCTATCGTCTGTTGTGTAGAAGACGTCCATAAATGCGATTTGCACGTCTTCGTTATTGGGTTTCAGCATAGCAATGCCCAAGCTAAGGGCTAACTGTGCGATTTCGGCATCGGGCTTGATCATCAGAGTTTCCACCACCATACGTACAACACCAGCTTTCGCGAATAGTGTCTGACACTCTTGCAACGTAAAAGGACTTCCAGGTTTGTCCTCGCAGAACGAGATGATCAGATTTAACAATCTGTACGCGCGCGTGATTGTTGGCAGAGCCTCAAACTCACCCATACAGTCCATGCAATGGCGAACAAAGCGATCCACCAGATCGTCCAACTTTATCTTCACACGCGTTTTTTAGAAAAGGCACGCAAAAACCACAGACATGAAGGAGTTAATTGAATAAGAGGGTGCCACAATTGCGCTCCCCAATGGATAATGCTCAACCCAGCCAGTATGAAAGAGCGCTCATCCTGCAAGAAGCAAAAGACTCCTGCAAGACTAATTCTTCAAATTCTTCTTCATCTCTCACCCATAACTGTAGTCAGCATTCAGCTTCTGCCCGTTCGCTGCACAAACGCGCTTGGCGGTCTGAAAATCAGCGTCCGTCGGGTCTGTTAGTTGATCGATTGCCACGAGCTTAGCGATCAACTTGTCACTTTCTTCCTTGGAAGCATTTTCGAAGGTCTCCAGCCCTTTCAGTGCGTGGACAAACCACTCGTAGCGGTCTCGTGAGTGCTTCCCACGATTGCTTTGGCTGTCTTTGCTCGGCGAGCGAGTCAGCACTCCACCAGACGGGATACGCAGCTGCGTCTTGCCTGTCACTTAGACGAGGAAGTGCATCGAAAAATGGTCCTGGCCACTCTATTGTGGTTGCCAACTGTGCCTGTGTAGTCGGTTTTCTTTCAATCAGAATAGTTGTAGCTAGTTGATTAATACCATCAAGAAATTTCATAAAAGTTTCTGCCTTAATCTTGGTTTTCAATCCACGCGATGAGCCTCTTCACCTCGACAGCAAACGCAGTTTGGTCGATTGGAACCTCCTTACCCTGCAGTCCTTTTAGCAAACCTACCAGACGCGTGCAGAAGTCCCGCATCATCGGGTTCGTGCTGCCTCGTCGATCCGTTGTGGTCAACCCAAATTCGATGTAATTGTTCATGGCACGGAAAACCTTATGGGTGAAAATCTCCTCAACCTCCGTGATGGGCCTTGAACGAGCGGATACATTGAAAATCTTGTCCACATCGGAAGTCAGCAGCTCCAGCAAATAGAAAGACTTAGAGTTTGCCATGCATCCGTGGTGTTGATATCAAAGATTAACAGCTAGCGGGCCGTCGTTTCGCTTGTGTTGTAAACCTTGACCTTCCGTCATTGATAGGTCGATCATCAGGGAGAGGAGCAAGCAACAGCGACTACTTACGCCTATGAAAATGAAATAAAGATAACCATCGCGCGTAGCACGTAGGCAGCCTGGCTGGGAGAGCTAGGGCACGGAAACCAGCGAACTACATCTAGAACGCAGACACCTACCCCCCCCCCGCACACGGTGGCGGCTGCAGGAGCGGGGCACGCTCCAGCCCCACCAATCAAAAGAAGCAAAAGAAAGACAACAGAAAAAGCAAAAACCTAAGACACAGCCCGGCCAGGGGGGAACGGGGACCGCGCTGCGCCACAAGGCTGGCCGGCCGCGGCAGCGCTCGGGGACCACCTGTGCCAGTCTGTCACGCTTCGGAGGTTCTGGGACCGCTATACTTTTCGGAATCCCTGGGGTCGCCTTACGGCACGGCGGACCTATAATCCGCGCGCTTTGCCAATTTCCAAGAGACACGCGCCGGCGAAATCTTGTGAGACCATTTACACTCCAGAGAACTGCCTGGGGATCGACTACTTCTCTGAGCGATCGACACCTGGACCGGCTGGGCGGTATCAATTAAATGAGGGGGAAACCCCAAAAGATACCCCACCGGAAAAGACTCCGGAAGAAAGCGCGCGGGGGGTTAGATGTAGAAGAAGCGGCCTGCCAAGCCTTTTGATCTGCACTCTGCTCGTGCAACGTCTGCATCCCCGCCCCGCCGGCTTCCCTATTGTGGAGCGTCTGCCCCTTATGCAATAGGTCAGTTTGCGCGTAGCATGTGACGATAGAAAAAGAAAAGAAGCACAGCCAACGGAGCGCTGAGAAGTCTATGAACTAGGAGCAGTCACCCTAGTTATCTTAGTGAGGCTGAGAAATTTATTATTATACATAGTGGCAGTACCAACTTGATGCTCAGTATGTCAGTAATAGGTTACGATTTGTCTAAGTACTAGAAGAGAGAGTGCATCCTTGAGACGGGGCGGCGTCAAACGCAAATCCATGTTAGTAAATGATAAAGATACATGCCCAACGCCATAATATGGAAGTCGCTGTTCCAGAACCGCTCGTCCTTGAGGTCTGTCTCGTAGTAGCAGAAATTCAGGAGGTCAAGCATGGCGCCTTGCATCACACGCGCGATATCTTGTGAAGCTCTGGTGACTTGTGGAGCTTTTGCGCTATCTGTTGTGTTAACTGTGTACACTGTCTCATGCACCTCCATGTACTGCACGAGAAATTAGAAAATGCAGTATAGTAGTGCAAAAAGGCTAACAAACTTTGTCGTGAAGACCACTCAAACTCACGTGTCGAAATGATGGAAAAAAATCACTTTGCTCCATAAGTTAGCTGGTCCGGCGATATCATGTTCACGATGAAGGAGCTCGCCCCAGGATCGCCCTGACCCAGACAGAGGAGAGAGCAGAGCTCGATACTCTTGATACTGTACATCAACTCCGCATCGTCGCCATTCCATTTCCTGAAAGCCTCTGGCCTTGCCAGCTCGGCCAACGAATCAAACTTGCGGAGCATCGAACGTCGCTTCTTTCGCCCCTCGGCATCGAACATGCAGTGCAGGACCTTGTCGAAGCGGGGTTTGCTCAAAATATCGCACAGCAGATCGGCGTTCCGCAGGATTTTCCGGTCGCCAACGACGACAATAGACTGCAAAAACGACAGCTGATGCGGAAGAAATCCGCGCGTACGGCCCTGCAGGGCAAAGGCGAAATCGTACACTAGGGCTTCGGGAACCTTCTCGCACAGTTCCCTGTTGTTCAAAAAGATAGCGGCGAGCGCATTCGCCATGCCGACGCCGTAATTGAACCAAGTGCGCAACGTGGTGAGGAGTTTGAAAGCGGCAGCCTGATTTCGCTTATTCTCGTAGACGAACATCGTGAGCAAACCGCATACCTCTTTCATCAGCTCCTTTAACACGCTCAAACCCTCGCCACTGAATTCAGCGATTGGCACTCCGATAGCAGCAGAAATGGCACGCTAGATTAGAGGACGCGCATCCTTAGCAACATAATATAACACGCAGGTTATTCCAAGATTCCAGATCCGGTTAAAGTCGTCACAAGAACCTGTACTTGCTTCACTACCTATGCAGCAGAAGCTGTGATCCTACGCAATAAAGCATTGCATGCTAGGCATCATGCGCCGCACAGCCATAACAAAAGACCAAGATCCATCATGTTTCGCTGAACTGTCTCATCTGGAACCGACTGGTCACCTGTCTCCACGCCTCCTGCACTGCACATGTACCGCAACCGCTTGCAAATGTCCTTCATTTGCGTGAACTTTGTAGCATCATGATTGGAAAAGCTGTCGCTGACGCCCCAAGATTCGAATGTGTGAAAGCCATTGGTTAATGTGACGATGTCTTCGCGCATTCGCGAGATCCGCGTCTGCTCCTCGCTATTCAGCACTAGAAAAACGCTCTCCATGTGCTTTAATGCTGCAGTTGTGCGGAACCCAGTCTTGAACAATAGCTCTAAGGCTAGATTGAAGACATTAGCATTCTCGTACATGAGCAGATCTAAGAGCATGATAATGAAGTCGCCGCCTTGCATGTAAGAGTCGAACTTCAAGTGCTCCATTCCGATGACGTGCAGCACGGATTCTCCGACTTCTTCGGTGACTAACTGCTTTAACCGATGCTGCGGCGCGCCCGCAGTAGGCTGTTCCGGGGCCACGCACGAAGTTGCCGCGGCAACCTCCTCCAACATGCGCGCGCCCGTGTAGCCTTGCCGTCCGCCAGCCAGTTGTGCCTCAATGCCTCGGAATATGGGCACGATGCGTCCGATTATCTGGTCAATCGCAAATTGATCCACGTAGAGACACAATTCGCACATGTACGCCTTGCATTGCATCATCTCGGTATTTTCCGGAGAATCAGCCCACCGCAATAGCTCATCCTCGGGATTCGCGGCCAGAGGTGGAAAAATCCGATCACCAATGTCTTTCGGAGTATAGATTGCCCGTCGCTTCTTCGATACAGTGAACTCGCCGATATCCTTCTTACTGCCCGAGCAAAACGCAAGTTTGGAAGTGAAGGAACTCGTTGTCGAATCACTCAACAACGGCTCGCGCGCCGTCAGATCTCCCTTAGACGCCGACGTCGCGGTAGGCGAAACCACGGTACTGTCCACGCTTTGAAGGCCACCCACATCTAGCACAAAAGCGCTCCGTGGAGTTAGTTTTGACGAGGCTGTTGTGAGCTTAGAAGTTATGTGCCCTGTGCGATCGAGCGGGTCGCTACAAAATACAAGATCATGATTTTGATTGCCAGTCAGCCTCTAGTCGTGATGTAGTAAGTCACTAGTCAAAAACTAATTGATAGATAATCTTTCATCCGGAAACAGTGGAGAATACCTTGTTTTAGCCAGTCAGTTCTCCCGTCCATGCACATCAGGACGGGTTCGAGCACGTCGGAGAGATGGTCCCAGCTGGTTAGAAAACCGAAGCGGAACAAGTGCAGCGCCATTTCCATCAACGCACCCGTATATTGAGACAAGCCCTTCTGTGTGTGGCACATTTTTCCTTCCATCTTCTCGACGTGGTACTGGATGTAGCCAAGCAGCAGCTCAAACTTATCGCTTGACGAAACGGTGTAAAAAGGCTTACTCTTCTCTTCTGCGCCGGTTGGCGGCACGAGGAGTTCGAAGCGCGGCACGTTGAAAAGCATGTCCTGCGTGTTGTTGCCGTAGTACCGTCTCACGTAGTTCGGGACCTCCATCTCGTAGTGTGGATGCCGGTCGATCCACAGGTTGTCCGTCAGCGCCGCGAAGCGTGAACGCACCTGTTCCGGGAGCGTCGGATGCCAAACGCCGCAGACGACTAGCTCGTAAAAATACTCCTTCTCAATTGCGCCAATGGCGTTCACTTGTCGATCCAGAGTCATCTCAGCGTACATTTCTAACTGAGCCAGGAAAAAATTCGCGAGGACTTTCAGCGCGAACATTAGAGCAAAATACAAAACACTTCTCGGAAAATAGCGTGCACGATAGATGCTTTCTCAAAAACTCAATCCATCATCCATGTTCATGCAGAAGCGGATGAAACTTACCACAAAAGATAAAAATTCATTTGCATAAGTTAAATCGTGCCTTCTCCACCTTGCCCATTTTCTTTTGACGCTCGGCCCAGCTCTCCTGCTTGTTGTGCACCACTTGGTAGCACGCGTCCGGATCCAGGACCCAGGCGATGTGGCTCAAGTTAACCCAGGTACGCTTCTGCGGGTCGTCAGCCCAAGTGTAACTCTTCAAATGGTATGAAGGCGTTCAAGGATGATTAAACACGAGAAGCCAGATTTGGTTCTCCCGTTGTACAAAACTAACCGTAGCATCATTCAATGATTTCTTAATGTAGGTGCAAAGGAATGAATGAAGTTGTCATTTCAGAAGTTTAAACTACTTATTCATTCTTCAATCGAAACGTGAACAGACGGCTAAATGTTCTTCCCCTGCTACAACAAAATTGCTTAAAAAAAGCATAGGACGAGGTTATCCATTATCGTCCACTCATAAGCCTAACCGCTTTGGCGAAAAATACAAACCGTATCGTTGTGTGTCGCCAAGAACCCACTCCTCATTATCTTGCGAGTGCCAGCTCACATGGACATCCTGAATACCGTCTCTGAGCAAGCTGTGTCCGAGGATAGTCTGTTGATTCCCATACCCGTTTCGTAGCTGCTCTGGGAAGTCGCACAAGCGAGGACCAAGTCGGACCTGCACAATTGAGAAGGTGAACGTTTTCAATGTTATGCATAGCCCTCATATTGCATCTTTGAAATATTGTTCCTCATGATAGATAGAAACATGCTATACCTGCAGCCGATCGAGTTAGCGTGTAAGGAATACCGACATAAGCAGCTTGTCCTTGTTTCCGACCCAAGCTGGGTTGGGTTTCAGCACGCCCGGCGAGTAGGTAGCTGATAGTACTAGTTGCTGTTGCAGTTGGATTGGTGTCTCCCGAACGGCACAAAAACCTTTCTTAAAGGTCGGAAGCCATTAGTAACTGATTCTGACAGAAAAGGGACCCACGCCGCTCCTCTTGTTTTCCCTTAGTTTTCCCCTGTTCTCTCACGGGGGCCCCTTTTCGAGCTCAGTGACCACTCTCAGTGACCAATGAAGTCTGTGCCTTAACTTTCAGGAGCTGCAGCCAGACATGATCTGGACCCAGTCTCTGCAAAAACTCCACAAATTGCAAAACAACGTGAGGCTGGACGTTACGAACCAAATCTATGTTGTTGCGCATCAAAGCACCCAAAACAGCGGCTGCACCAAGTCCGAGCCCGTTGAGGCTATTGACCAGTTCTAGCCAGTCGTTTTTCACAAAGTAATCCTCAACTCCCGTGTTCTCCTCGAAGCATTTCTGCCATAAAACTAGGACCAATTTCATACAATCCACTTTCTCGCTTGATGGCCGATTCGCTAAATCCACACCTTCGAATTTCTGATGTATAATGAGAGAGTCGTTGTCGTGTCTAGAATATCTCGGTTAAGATATTCGAACCTTTTTTTCTCACGGATGAATCTTCAAGCTGTAGGTTACTACAACATGCATGGGGACTGGAGTTAGTACCTCCGAAAGCCGCCTGGGCGTGTGCATGTCTACCGCTGTCTGGACGCCTTGTGGAGCAGGATTCAAATCGATCGCGGTACGGGATACTGGGCTCATATTCCGACAGCCGCCAAGAATCCAGATCGCCTCCTGGAGCGCGACTGAGGCATCCAAACATTTTAGTTCCTTCGAGATTCTCTGTCGAACTGTGTTGCTCTTTCTTCGCACATCTATTCCCATACTGAGCGCCGAAAAACTGTCAATGTTAATTTGGTCGAAGTTTCATGGAGAACGATCAATAGGAAAGCCGCATCGATAGTAGTTGCGGCTTCTATGCACTTTGCTTACTAAAAAACTACATAGTCAAATGAATGACGCATGCTGCAAACTGCCAGAGCAAGGTGCATTGAAAATCAGAAATACTTCTTCTTGAGTGGCGGCGCATCTCCCCCTAACAACAGGAACTTGACGAATTCGTTTAGAACGCGGGCGATGTTCTGGTAGCACTGCGTCTCGCGATGACTAACAGTCGCAAAATCTACCGCCAGTTCAGCTTCGCCTGAAAGCGCTCTGCTGTATTTACGACTCGGTGCGTTTCCGCCATTTGCGGCTGCTGGACTATACTCATCCCCTGCCCGAGTACTGCCTCTGCTTCTCCACTCTTGCAATTCCGATCGCAGAAATTCTATTTTTCGCGACATGGACTGAAAAAATAGCTTTGTGCCGTACACCACGTTGATATCGGTCACATAGGTAAGCGCCTCCTTTGGAGTGATCGATTCGCCATTGTCACCCATGTTAGCTTTGATGCTCTCCGCGTCCATGCATTCTATCTGCACGACATCGCGAATCCTGCGACTGTTCATGAAAATGATTTCTTTGGAAACTTGCCCTCCTTCACCCTCGGTGACTTTCTGCTGACTTCGTCCTGCATTCCTTTGACGCTTCGCAAGCGTTGCGGCTGCAGACATTCTGTGCGCCTTCGCGCCGCCCGCCGTCAGATACCACGCGCTGCCCTTGTCGTCCCGCCAGCCAACGAGTGCCCGCACACGACCAGAGGACACAGCGGGCCTCTCCGGTGGTTCAATCGGATCCAGAAAAAAGTGGCAACTCGCGTCGGCTGCCGCCTGCATGCAGGCGCTGCGTGAGAAAGTTATCGAACCAAGCTAGAATCCTATCAAGTGGAGAAGGGCGCTTCTTTGGAGTACGTACTGCCTAGATACCGTGACAAAAATTGTAGGGAGGCAAATAGGATCAACAAATATCAACGTAACATTCACAAATAAAAGTGTGTTTACCTCATATTGCCGTCCGGGTTCTTGAATCTGCTGGCCACAGCTAGATATCGGCCTGAGCCGAGATGTCGGAAGCATATTGGCTTTGACCACTCTACTGCGCCACCACCTAAGCGATTGCCCGTCTGTTCAATGAGCCAGCACCCCTTACTCCACAAATTTTCAGCACTGTCATAGGACGGGTGCCGCATAGAGCGCAAGTAGGGCGCTTTGAGATTTTCCTCCCACTTGAACAGGACATCTGCTGGCATCACCGCTTTCGTGATGTCGCTCAATTTGCGAGTTGTTCTAGCTCCTGCGGGAACGATCTTCCCCTTTTGACGAACCTCTTGCGATAGGACGCCAGTGGTCGTGCAGGCATGTGTCAGAGACTTTAAATCCTTTTCGTCGGAAACTGTGAGAGTGCGTTGCGAGTTCGCGTTGTGGCAGCTGGCGCCAACGAAAGCCCCGTTTGCACAGAAAAAAAGCCGTACCACACTCGCGAAATTGAGCGTGTCGGTCGATCGTGCATACAACATTGGAAAAAAGCCGTTCACCTGTGTTGCTCTTCAGGTGCTGACAAAGAGGATGATTGAAAACCGACCTCCAGTGTCCTTCTATATAAGATCTAAGTACTTCTTCCAATGAAGAGGCAAGTGCTGTTCAGAATCGAGAAACATCACCAAAATGTAAGTACTTGGTCTGTGCATGCGCAGTTGACTTCGTAATACGGAATGCCGGTTGGCGATTTCATCTGTTGCGCAGATGTTCGCAAAGTCCAATGCTTGCCGAGCCGGTTGCAGTAAAACACCACCTGTTCATTAAATCGTACTTTTTCGCCTTGGTACTTGTGTTTGTAGAACGAATTAACCCTGAACGTCGCATATTGGTCGCCGTCACTGACTACCGCTTGTCGATTGTGACGCTCCACTGTGGCGGTATTTTTCGCACTGATCGTGACGTATTTTCCACTTTTTATGTGGAACAGCTGCACCATGTCGCCATAGCGGATAGGTCCCGTGAATTTCTCCTTTTCTCGGTTAGTCAGCGTCTCCAACTCCACCTTGTCGCGAGCCTTGCGGATGTCCGCGTCCAAATTTTTGAGTTTTGCGCTGCCGGCGGCATTGGTGAGCATCGCGGAGCCGCCACCGCCTGCACCGGAGGCATCCAACTGCCGCTTCTCAGCTTCTAAACGCGAAAGCTCCTTTTGCGCCGTGTAGTCCAGTTTCTCGACGACCCGAAAAAGGCAATCGCGAATGTCCTCCACCTCGCTCATACTGGCAGGACTCAGCACGTTCATCTCCAAATTCGTGATACCATCACAAGAGGCATACCCCATCTGCTTCTCCGTGATTTTCACACGGAGCAGCACGATATCGCCCTTGTTTACAATGCCTAGGTCCTGCGCCGACATGTCGGGAATTTTTGAACTCGAACGAGCAAGCGACATCCTTATCCCCTCACACCTCCTCTTGTTTCGATTTTCTACTCAAAGTAGATCAATGAACATGTAAAAAGTAGGCTTTCGATTGATCTACTCGTACTGACACAAGTAAAAATAAAGGTTTGAAGGTCGGGCTCACGGAGTTAAAGCGTCCGCTGTCCCCGCATGCCCGCCTCACCCAAATTCAAGTTATATGCCAGGCCACTCGCCTTCCGTGCGTGCACCACCGCAAATGGCCTCGAGACGAGTCAAGTTCTCGGAACTTAGGACATCGGCTTCTTTTATTCTGCCATCCTCTTCATCAGTTCTATTTTTCTTAGAACGTGCACATTCATAGTATTCGATACACCATGACAGACTACTTCACCCATAGAATGTGAATGCATCACGTTTTTAACGTAGCTCTATTGCTTCGAGCACTCTTCTGCTTGTCACTGTTATAAGAAATGCTTCACGCTCTCGGAACAGACTCTGCCTCTCGGATAAACACTCCCAATCTCGGATACCTCGAAGCACCAGCATAGCACTTCTCAAACAGAGCTCGCTATCAAAAATAAGTCTTCCACTGAGTCTAAGGGCTGAGAGTCGGCCCCTCCCATCATGAGTGGCGACACTCTTCTCCGGGCTCGCGCTCCTACGATGAAGCGGCTCTGTCTATCCACTCGAATCTGTCTCAGCGAACTTTCTGCTTGTGACGGTGCACATCTTTCTGAAACCCGCAAATTTTTTCTGAAAAGCCTCACTATGACAAGTGTGTTTGCAGCAAACAATGGCTCAGAAACAAGCCAAGGTAAATAGTTAGCTGAAGTCACAACAATTTCAGTTGAGTACACAGTGCGCGAAGGAAAGAAGCAAAAACTTGTTCGCTTTTTCACAAAGAAATCTCTTTTTAGGGCAGCTCCTTGATGTAGTTCTCCTGCATGAAACATCATGAGATAAAATCCTGACAGATCATGTCACCAAAGCCACACATCTCGACCCTAAAGGGGGTCCTCCACGAGCTCCTATCGGTTTTAATTGTTGTCGGGAAAAGCAACACGGTCATCATAAACAACAAGGATAGGTCCAGTACTAGAAGTTTTCATGTACTAGAAGCCATACTTCGTGCTCACTACAACATGTTATTCGACTGGAAAAAACAAAAAGGCAGCCAGGCGCCTCCGACTCACAAATGCAGCCTGCAATGTCACACCTATCGTCCGCATCAACAGAAGAAGGAATGACTGATGGGGTAGAAGCCCCTTACCGGATCGATTTCGATCCCCTGGCGCAAGAGGTACTAGAAGGACACTCTGTCTATGTTCGTTATCCATTCTGACAAGAGAACAAGTTTTCTCGGTGAAAAACTAATTGCCATATCTAATTATCATGCCATGCTTGGTCGTTTGCAAACGTGGCGTTCATTTGATGTCCTTCATCACTCCCTCACAATGGTACTGGCAATCCATACGCTAATCGTCATGTTCCACGTCGAGATGTTCCTGACTCAACATCATCATGATGATACAGACATCAGCATTTACTCCGGAATCTTCGGTCTGTACCTTTCTTCGTCTTTTTCCAATTGATAGAAGGGTGGAATCATTCTCCTCTCGACTTAGAGCTGAAGATATCATATTAGTCGTCATCCATCTCGAGAAACAACATTCTTAAGTTTTTATCACTTCTAATATATAAATAAAATTCGCAACATGCTAGAGAAGATGGATTAGGAGAAGCCTTAATCGAAGGTTACTGGACTGGAATTCCACATCTTCAAGAATCTATCGGGCAAGACATGCAGCACCTCGTCTTGCTTGATTTCTTCGTAGTAAGGGTTTTTCTTGCCGTCCGGCTTCGTCTCTCCCGAATAGTGTTCCGTGTACGCAATCCACTCAGGAACGCCTCGTCCTGCTTTCCCATCTTCCGGGCTCGGTTTGTCGCGTCTGTCGATTTTATCTTTCTGATAGGGAAACGTTCGGCGGAACACCTCAGTCGCTGGCCCCTGCAGCAGCGAGAGTTCGATCGGGTAATTGGCGACGCCAAGCATATCGCCTGCCTCGTCGCGGGCAAGTACGCGGCTTGCAAATAACGCTCGCTGCTGGTTTGGCCACGACTTGTTAAGCATCCACGGCACGCCATCAGTGATTTCATGCGGCCAATTCTTAATCGAAAAATCCAGATACGCAACTCGATCTAAGTTCAGAGTGTAGTCATTGCCACGCCGCTCTCCATATTCGATTCTTAGACGACACTTTCAAATTTCTTAATCTGCAACATAAATACGCCTGAAAATTATAGCTCCCGAATCCCTATGTATCCTTTTACCCTAATTTAACAACTCGAGTATCTTCATCATCGGTCATCTGCATGTTCATTCTTTCTTTGAAAATTCGAAGATTGGAAAATGTCCGTCTTAAGAAGAATTCCAACATGATGCGACCACGGCGCTTCACGAAACGGTATATTCTATCATTGCCGAAACCGTTGTTTTGACGGAAGCGGAATGATTCAAAGCGCTGAAACAGCGTCTCCTGCAGTGAACGCAGTCGCTCGCCATCCTGACCTTACAAGTGACTCCTTCATTGTCTCCCTCATCTAGTGTCCGAGTTATAATATGAATTGACTTTTACTAAAAAGTGAACTTCATTCCTTTCAGGACAATTAATCTTCACAGGATGACGACCAACCAGCCATAACTTCTGTCTTCTTTCGACATCTGACATGCTCCTGTCCATTGTTGCGATGTCAATCACGTGCTGCTGAAACACTGAATGCTCTTTTTCAACCTCCACCCGCTGCTGCAGATTCTCCGTCACCTCAATCGCGCGTCGCACCTCGGCCAGCCCCACCGGATTAGCACGAATGCTGCAGTTACTGCCCAGAGCATTAGCTCCTTGAGACAGCAACGAAGAAGGACGAGAGATTCTCTGCGTTTCTTCGTCTGATGAACTTGATTGTTCTCCGGGTCTATTACGCGGACCACCCAGTAAGAAGACACCCCTCGTATTCTTCTCAACTATCGCCCTTTCCTTGGTCATCAGTGCTCTGATGCTACACATGTGCGTCACTCCAGTATGCTTCATCTGAGGTATCTGCAAGTCCTCCCAAGAAAACTTCTGGCTTTTGAACCACCACACCTTGACCTTCCAGCTGAGAGCCAGGCTGATTTTATCATCTGTCTCCATCTCATTCACAATGAGGCCAACATCGTAAACATCTCGATACCATTCCGGGTGCGCGCGGTCGACGTCCTTTTTGTAAACGGGCGATAGCAGGGGTTCCGTACTACCATCCTCGGCAGCTTGTTCCTGTTCCCCCATCGAAGCGTCCTCATAAAAATCCTCTTGCTCAATATCGCCTCCTGGCCCGCTACCACGTTCCTCCTCGTCATCCGTTCTTTTCAATTGTGTCCGCGGACTAACGATAAAGCGGTTCGTCATCTTGCTGGTTTTTCCTACGTCGCATGCTGAGGAAGATCTGAATAGCTCTGGAGAAAGCACTGCATCCATAGGAATTTTGGTAAGCTCCAGCTTTTTCACATTGTCCGCTTTCACAGAGATGATGCGTTGAGGACTGTCGGTACATTAGAGGTGATCTTTCGACCCCAACCCCGATTCAAATGGTTAGTTTTAGAGCGCTACGAATTTGTCCTCCTAGGAAAGTACTAGTGCAAATACTCTACCTGTAGTTATTACATCCTAGGAGAAGGCAATGAACTGCTCTAGTGCTCTTCGTGAACTTGATGATCTCGACGATGATACAATTGCTAGGGATATTTGTATAGCACGTGTGATGCCAATGAACTAGCCTTAATTGTAGACCAGGACAGCCCACCGTGTTGCTCCGTCGTCTTCCGTAGATGGCGAGCCAGAAGAGAAAAATGCCGCAGCGGCTTTTGGGGCAACAAAACCGCTACTCCGCGCCGTGGAGCTGGCTACTTGGCCGTGAGGATCTTTTTGAGGGGGGTCAATCAGCTTCCGGTTAAAGAGCACCAGTCCCTTTGATCCATTGAGATCCGGCATACCCTTCCAACCAGTGAGTTCGACAAAATCCCCGGGCTCTACCGTACCTGGTTTCGACGTACCTCTCCACAACTGCGTTGAAGAAACAGCAGCGTAGGCTGGGAGCGCCAAGGTGCTCGCGATTACGAGAGACACGAAACGCGACATCCTTTGAATGAAATAAAAGACTTACTAGTTGCAGTCAATGTTTACTTGAGTAGTGAGTTGTAATCGATAATGAAAAATGTGTGTATGAATGCTAGCTTAGGTAGTTCCTATAATCAAAAGTAGCCTTTTTGTGAAGTATCCAAGCTGTTGCGCAAGTTTTTCATCTAGGCTGGACGTTTTTGATGGAAAGCTGAGGTCTTACTCTCTTGAAGTCTTCGAGATTTCTGACAAGCGGATCAGATGTGATCAGAACCTCACGAAACGTGTAAAAATGCAGCAGCAGGAGACCATCAAGATGACATGGCACGCGAGAAACAATGGAGGATCTTCAACTTGGTGTCGCACGCGAGGCGCACGCACACACAGCGTTGACTGTGATACTGTTCGACATCATCGATGAACTAGCATCAACGCGATAGATGATGTGCTGTCAAAAGACCACTGGAAAAACGGAGACAAGCGACACCTGACTGTCTCAACATTGCCATTGGAAAAACGAAAAGTAATGAGGTGGACCGTGGAAGACCAAAGGACATAATATCTTCTCAAACAAATAAAATCTTTCTGAGCCTAGAACTCAGAACTTACTTACAGCAGTAAAACTGCTATCGCAGGGATACGAGTATAGATCACTAATAAGTTTCATCCAACAGACCTGCGCTGCGTGACGCGGCATGCTGTCGTGGTCGTTTTCATCATTTGAGATTTTATGCGCGCACCACGCAAAGATAAGTACAGTCTTTATCACTTTTCAATCAGTAGTGTCAGAAATTCATTCTACACAGTATGCTAACCCCCAAAGCGCGTAAAAAAATATGTTGAGAGGATGAGAAGTTAAACAAACCAAAACCTTTTCTACACATGTGACAACGTGGAGATCATGCGCAGATGGAATAGAAATCTGGAATTCATCACTTTGGTCAGAAGACTTGGATACCTTTATTGATACATAGAGCCTGCTGAAAAATATTCAAAACGATGATTAGCAGCAAACGAACTTGGTGCAGAAAAAAAATCATCTCGAGCAGTTAATTTCTCAGCCTCGGCCAACCTCCTGAGCGAGCCTCCGGAGTTGCTTCACAATGCGAGACAACGCTTTGAGCATGCTCTCACGGTTGCGAGGGTCGTACGAGATAGTGCCGTTTTCTGCAGAGTCCTTTTTTGCCTCTTTCGGACTATCTTCGTCGTACGCTTCTTTTTCCACGTCCCTTTTCTTGTTCTTGGCTGATTATGTTGATACAGGTAGACGCAATACAAGTAGATGCATATTCTGACTCTTTGAATCTTATTCACCAAACCGGTCCAGCCTCGAATAAAAGAGAATATCACAGATGGCAAGGCTCTCAAAGAAGCGCCTCCCCTGGATCTGAGATCCTCTTCCTGATAGATTACTCCAAGATATTTAGGGATAATTTTTCAGCTGTCCCATTTTTGAAAATTTCGAGCGAATTTTTATGAATATTTTTCCAAGAATAATTTTCGATATTTCACATTTTGTGGCTTGAAGTTGAGCGTCAACATGTGAAGACGGTAGCTGGGACGGGTACAAGGCGTTCCCCTTGTTCACGGCCCAAGCAAAGAGAATTTTTGGCCCTTAAAATCAGACTAGCGCAATGTTAGGAGCGCTGCCGCTCCTTACCCGTAGGCTCTACGAGAGAGAGATTCTTGGCGTAGACTGTGCTATGCTGCATATATGCAGAATTTTAGAGCGTAACGCGATGGGAATAAACATCCATCACCGTTTTAGTTGTGTTTATTCCTATCCTGACACCGAGCGACCCCGACGATAGAGAGAAACGCGACGACAGGAATCAACGCCGCCCCGAATTGTGAAAATCGTGCGCAGTTTTGCCTGTTCTGTGCGTTTATTCTTATCCCGAGAAAAGTCCCCTAGCTCGTGTTTTCGTCTATCGTTCTGCAGTCGGTTTAGAGCGAAACTTGTGAAATGGTTCGAAATCGCAAAAGATAGGAAGGTCGTTAGCACAATTTACGCCATAGACAGTCTTTTGCTGGTGTAGTCTGTCGAGCGAGGTGAGAAGATGGCGCAGTCTGTTGAAGGTGTTCGTAGCCCTCTATTCTGCTGGGAGTGTAGCCGGCCGAGAGAGTTGAGAGGATAGCCCGCTGAGAGTATTGCAAGCCTTTCCAGCGTGTTAGTAGGTCGTTGGCACAATTTGCGTCATAGATACTCTGCGCGGAGTGAAATCTGTCGAGCATATTGGGTGGCGAGTCTGTTGAGGGTATTGGGCTGCATGTGGGGAGAAGTTCACACGACGCTGATGCGAGAGAAGTCCACACGGCCCAGCGTCAATCTGTTGGAGCCGTTTGCTTGCGATCTGTTAGGGGTTCTGGTTCGCTGCGCTTTTCAAAGAAAAGGGCCTGGGGGTTGTCTCGTCGAGCTCGAGTGCGGGGCCATGCTGCAGCTGCTGCATTGAGGTGAGAACTGAGAAGCCTGCGCGGCGCTAATCTGTTTGAGCTGTTTGCTGGCTATCTGTTGAGGCTTTAAGCCAGCCCTGCAAATTTTGAGAGTTTAGGCACTCAGAGGGATCCGCACTGCGCCCATCTGTTTGAGTTACTTACTGGACATCTGTGGAGGGTTGAGCCGTGCAAAAGTCTGGGCTTTGGGGTTGTTTTGCTAAGTAATTAAGCGAATAAGGCGCGCCGGACTTGACTCGCAGCGCACTGGCATGGCGATATAGATACTTACTCCATCGCTTCTCATTCAAGTCCATCCATGGCGTTGCTGCCCCCCCCTCCCCGTTTTTTATCGATTTGCTGAACCTGTCCGGCCGCTATTTCCAAACTCCTACATTTTTGACGCAGTCGCTGCGCATCGCTGGACGTGTTTGATTTTCTTGCCTGTTGCGCAAGCGCGTCGAAGCAAACAACTCGCCCGCGAGGGCTAAAGATACTCATGAAGCACGCGCCGCAGTCAAATAATCGCGAACATTCTCGGAGCCGTGAAAATCTGCAACATGCGGCGCATTGCCATCTTGTTCGCCGCCACTGCTCCACGCCGCGCTTCCTAGTTCTGTCGTTTCTCATTGTGTTGGAGCAGAATCTGCCGCGTGAATCTGTGGGCGCTCCTTTAGATTGCTCGCCCAATTGTGCGCAAATGATGCGAGTTCGCCCTTATTTAATTGTATTCGAATTGTATGATTGCGACGCATTTACTCGCGTCGTTCGCTACTGGTTAACGCTCCGATTTATGTTGGGTTCATGTGTTTATTCCTATCGTTTCGTTTCCACCTAAAGTTCTGCATATAAACGTTGTCCATACGATATGAAGCGAAAAAGTGTACTCATCCTCAAGAAAGTAGGCACTTTCTAAGTAGGAAAAAACCTCTTTTCTTGAGTATGAGTACACTTTTTTCTGTCATATACGACTCTAAAGCTACTAGGTGCACGAAAACGCATTTTTCCATCAATTAAACTGATAAGTAGGGCCTCAAGCTAGTGGTTCACAGAAAAGAGGTATGCAAAATGGAAACAAGAAACCAAAATCATTTAGAAAACGAAAAGTACCTGGACTCACAGAGGCGGTCCTATCTTCAGCGCCTGGATGGTCGAAGCGGGACTTGACGAGGTCATACATAGCCCGCATATCCTGAAAGGCTTGCTTCGCTTCATCCGTTCCCCCATTCTTATCCGGATGCATCTCTTTTGCCTTCTTCTTGTACCTATGTGGACGGTCGTGGGCATAAAAAAGTTGCAAATCATCGAGGCATCCACCTGGCACTGATTTGTATTTGAAAAATCAATAAAAAATGTCTAAACAACGTTACCTCTTGTTTCTTTAGAATTAACCTGTGACAACCGAAATATTGTAAAGTATAATAAAAGAAAGTACGCAGCCGAGGCATGCTTCTGTAAAGTATAGTAAAGAAAGTACGCAGCCGAGGCATGCTTCAGGGTGCTGCTATCACCGTCGAGACCAAAAAATTCCAAGGCTTCTTTTTCGGCCTCTTCGTCCCTGACTTTTTGCTGTTCCTTGTAGTCGCCTGACACCTCTAGCATACGCTGTCCGAGGTCTTTTACGAGTGCCTGAAGCTGCAATGCCGTAAGCTGTTCCACAAACTCCCACTGCTCCAGGGTGTAAAGCTTCTCTTGCTCTCCTTGCTTTGTATTTTAGAAATGGTAATGAGTACATGCACAGGAGTACATCAGATGAGTCTCAATTATGCGTCAACTACAAGAAGCTATTCGTGAATTCATTCAGGTCTCCTTCTATTTGTTACATGAAGAAAGTTTTCCCAACTTCTGCTCAAAAATCTAACACCGACTTGAACAAGAACTTCCTCGTCAAGATGGCAATTCTTATTTCCTGAGTCTTCCAGTCGTAATTTTTTCCCCCGCCGACCGCGTCTGCCCCACTGGCATTTGTCGCAGTCGCCGAGGTTTCCCCACCAACAGTAGCGAGAAAGAAATCGGCTGTGTCTCTGTTAACAACAAGTTCGATCTCCTTTGTTTCTCGGTCGCGCACTACGGTTTTCCAACTTCCCGTCTCTTCGTTCATTTGTGTCACAATTTCCTTCTCTATTTCCTCTGCAGTCGCAGTTGAAGCAGGCAGTGCAGTACTGGTTCTGCCAAGATAGGCTCTATGGCTCGGGTTGACTGGATTCAGAGTCTCCGGGTCGACTTCCTGAAAAAATGGAAGGATGCTAGCCTATTCCTCTTCACTTGTGATAAATATTCTACATTGTTTTCCAAAAAAATGACATTGAAAAGAACGGTTTGGTGCGAATACAAGGACGTGCTGTTGTAATAGGTTTTGCAAGCACAAGAATGACAGAACGATCCTGGTCATCTGATAACCTGATCTCCATCCAGAAGCCGCATTGTCACTCGTGGCGGCGCCTTCTGGTCCACCTCATTCTCCTTCATGTATTGCTTGAAGTCCTTTTCTGAATGAAACACGAGCTGGTCTTCCTTCTGGCCTCCTGTTGTGGACGGATCGTAGCGATACGTGGTTTGGCTCACTGTTTTCGCCGCCGGGCCACTTTTCTTGTCGCGCATGTAGGCGTCCATCTCATCTCTGGTCTTAAACATCTTGCCATCCAGTCGAAAGTACGTGCTGCTGCTCCGTCTGGTGTCATCCACGACTTCAGAAAAGAGGACGGTGTCTCCCGCCCGAAGCCCGTGTCTTGCTGCCTCTGTTGCATCTAGTTTTTGGTTCACTAGGTGTGCTAAAGGCGAGCTAACGGCACTTCCGGATCTACGGCCTGACGAAGATGCATTTTGTCCGTCCCCTGCTCGTGACGATAATGTCGAAGACCTCGCATCGGTCTTCGCACCACTTTTATTTGCTGATGATTCTGAAGTATCCACGGCACTTGAGCTTTTTCTCCCTTTATAACCCGCTCCGCTGACTGAAGAACTTGACCCAGAAGATGCCGATCTCGCTTCGTTGCTACTGACACGACCGCTAGTGTTGCTCGTGGAGGAGCTGGACAGGGGTACAGCAGCTAATTTTACAACCGTCGTCGACGCGCTCACTCGTTTCTGTGGAGACAACGTGCCAGTAGTTGATGTCCGCGATTCTGTCGGTCTCGCGCTCGCCGCTGATCCTTCTGATGAGGATGAAGACCGATTCTCAGCTTTCTTTTGCTGAGTGGTGGAATGCTGAGCCGTGTTGTTCTTGTTCACATGATCTGCAGGGACTGAACTATGATGAGCAGACTGCTGCGTAGCAACCTTTGCACTGGGTGCGGCAATAGCGTCAGCAGTTAGCGGCGACGCTGGAGCTCCTCTCGATGTCGTTGTCGGCGATGTTCGTGTTGATACAACGCGCGTGGAAATCACCCTGCTGCCGGGCGTGAGGCCATATGATGCTGGTATTCTTGTCGTGGTCGTCACGCTGGGAGTGCTTGAGGTCGTGCCAACAGAAGTCGCACTAATCCGAGTGATGGAAGGGGCACCGGCAGTCGGGCCAGAAGCGTGCTGGTGGTAAACTACTTGCTGAAGACGACAGCTTGTCGAAGAAACAGCTTCTGTTGTTGCTGCTACCGTAGATGCAGCCGCGTTCAGGTGCCTCGTCGTGTAGCCACTCGTCGAAGACAACTGATGTGCCGCACCGCCTACTTCGGCCGGCGCTCGACTCACTTGCGCACCAGGTACGGAACCGCTGCTCGCATAGGATATCACTTTCGGTGCCAGAGCCGTTGTGACGCCACTTGTCGATAATAGACTCTGACCTGAGGTGGATGATGCGTTGCCAGCGACGACACGAATGCTACTCGAATTCGCGGAGGACGGAACGTGCTCGTAGCGGACCCCGCTACTTGAAACCACAGTTGGCGCAGGACCTGCACTCAACGGTGCGCCGGGTAGCCCGACTCGTGGCGGATTCGCGAGTAGCGGATAACCGCTCTTCGCTTGAAAAACGGGTGCCTGCTGCCTGTATTCCATCCTTACATTCGGAGAGGACACATAAACAGGTCTGTCTCTATAATGAATGCCGAACTAGCTCTCTTTACTCACGTTGCAGCACAAGGGATAGCACTTTAAACTATCGCAATAGGGATTTTACGCCTGTTACCGTGTCTCAAGCCACGCCGTCCAGCTATGGTACCTCCTTTTCATTCTTAAGAACAGGAGACTTTTCAAATATTTCCCTGACAATTCATCTTCGTGGACGCCCTTTCGCAATGCAAAACATCTTTGTGCACGCCCTTCGACTTATTAGGTCCAGGTGAGTTTGGTTCACGACATGCACAAGGTAGCTTTTCATTACCCGTCTACTCTAGTGAAATTCTAGTTGAGGAGAAAATCGTTAAATCCGTTCTCCTCGCGTTGCATTTTATGAATCACATGATTCCGGTTTCAAAATCTTATTGGACCGCAGAAACAGATTTTCTCAGGCAACACAAGAGAAGCACGGGAAACAGCCACTTCCGGAATGAAAGATCAGAATGACACAGATAACAGACTGATCCCAACAGACACAGAAGACAATCGCGTAGGGATATTGCTCCGACGTAAAAGAAGAGTGACGAAAACTAGTCGCTTTCTACAAGTACAACTCCTGGCCCTCCTTTCCTCTGGCGCAAGTACTCCTAGTTGAAAAAGCTTGTTCCTCACTTTATCCACTTAGCTCTTCGTCCATTCACCTCAGAACGAAGAACAAAAACCAATCAAAATAGTGACTTCGCTAGGTAATCCGTCGGTCCGCGCTGTATTTCGCTCCGCAAGAGAGCGCTCGCGAATGCGTCATCCGGTGCATTATCGTTGCATTTACGTTGACGCATTATCAAATCCGCCGTCAAAACCACACATCTACATCAGCAGTCTGGCTGCTCATCAGATTATTTATCCACCTTGGTTACCTATTCACTAGGGAAAACATTGCAATTGCACGTCAAAGACGATAAAATTGAAAGAGGAAAGCAAAGAAAAAGACTTTAGTTACTAAGGGTCGTTCATTACACATCAAACCGCAATTCCTGTGCACGATTCTGTTCACGCGTAATAACTTCAAAGACAGTTCTTCCAAAAAAAACAGAGGCTTCTAGAGATCGGGAAGCTAACGATGTAAGATTCCAAGAATGCGCCTCAGCGTTCATTTCATTAGACACTGGAGACGAAATCTTCCACTTTCTTTGCTAGGCATGATTTTCTCTTCCAGTCCGAAGACCCGAATCTCGACGTCCACTATCCGAAATAGCGTACTGCAAGATCGGGGTAGCAATATGCGGCCACCTTAGGTGATTTCTTTCGACTTCTTCGTAGTCGATATGATGTTTGTAGACGATGGTTCGGTAGACTTCTTCTTAGGCGACGCTCTGTTCGTCGGGGACATGCTCGCTGCGGAATTGTGGAAGCGTCCGGCATGTGGCAGCCACCGAGCCGGTTGTGTCACATCTGCAGCGTGCGTCTTGCCGTCTCTCGAATAAAGCGCACGCCTCGTGTGGTGCAAGTGCTGTTCCGCGTGCAACTGGCTGGTCCGATGATAGTAGTGCCGTTTGCAGTGTCCGTAGCTGACGCCGAGCATGCACGCCACTAGGGAGAAGATGCCGAAGGGCAAAAACGACCAGAACTCGCGGAAGACCGCACCCTCGGCGTAGCCCGTGCGGCAGAAGCGGTGCCCGTGCACAAAATTTTGATCGATCCAGTACTTTTCGCTGTGCATCTCTTCCCATAAGTCTGGCATGTAGATCACATCCGGATCGCGGTAGAGGATGCAGTTGCCGGAAAGATAAGGGCACTTCTCGATCGGCGACCGGCACTCAGTGTACTTCCAGGTGACGCAATCGTTCCACTCCGAGCACAACAGCCAGCAGTCCTCCGCACTGATCACATTGTGATACGCTTGGAAATCTGATGAACACGAATTGGATGTCAGATTAGAACGCAACTATCTTTTTAAATACTAAATACTGCAACAATATTTCCACTTCGAAGATGAAGTCGAAAAGGCAGAATTCTAACGACCACGAGAAAAACTGTTGAAAAACCAAATGAAAATCATCCTCCGCTTAGACCGGCAAAAACAAAAAGTACCATTGATGTCTGAAAGTTCGAAGGTATGCTTTTCCATGAAATCTCGTGTGAGCTTATCCTTCCAATACAGCTTCTCCAAATCATTAAGAGCATCGATTTTCGGGTTAATCAATGCGATGCCTTCGTCGTTGTAGTTCGGTAAAAAATCGTCGTACGTAAAATTGAAAGGATTGCTGTCTAGTAGGTCGTTGCCAGTTGTAGGCGATTGCGGTTTCTCCAGCACCGACGTGCCCTGAATGCCACCGTCTAGGCGCACTCCAGACTTGCCGACGTGTACTGAATGCGATCTCCTACTAGATGGTCGTTGCTTACTTGTGCTGTCATCATCTCGACCTCCCTTCTCTTCTTCCTCCTCTCGAAGCAGGTGTCGACTGCTTGATGTCGTCGTCGTTCCTTCTTCGATGAATGCGGAGGCATACCGTTGGAGAGCCCGCTCACGCCTTCGGCGAAGATTCCTTTCGTGACTGCTGCTTCTCCTTCGATACTCTTCACCGAGCTCCAAAGAGGAAACCGGAGGCGATTTCGAACGAGTTTCGCAGAACGAGGACTGCGCGGGATCAGTTCCCTCTATGCACCACTTCTTCGGGATAAAAGTCGGTCGGGCTGTTAGTAATCAAAATCATCTACTGAATTTTCTGGATTTACTGAATTTTCTGGATTCTAGTCGTACAAAAAGAGATTAAGATACGCCCTTGTGTTTGTAGATCACACTTTTGTAGTCCGTCGTCGTTCTTCACAATACATAGGACGAAAAACGAGTTTAACAGAAACAGTACCAAGAACGAAGTATCGTGCTGGCACAGGGTTTCCTGGCATGATGCATGTCGAAGCCCACGAACCAACTTTCTTTTCTACCGCGAGATCTTTCCGTTGTTGCGTCACGGCTGGCATTGTCGCAGCAGAGTCGTAGTGTGCGGCGCGTAGACTCTGAAACTCTTCATTGTAGCTACGTTTCTGCAACAGATCTTTGATCGAGAGCACCCGTCGGAACGCTGGGTCGTGGTAAATGGAGAAGAGGTGTGATGGCCTACTATCCAGGTTCAGACTCGATAGCGGCGAAAGCGAGCTCACAACGATGGCATCACTACTCGGTGACTCCCAAACCTGATCTTTTGTTAGCGAAGCGTGATCCGCACCCAAGGCGCTGATCGTCACTGTTTGGGAAATCTTCGATGATGTGTCCACCCCAGCACCTGCTGAAGATGCAGTAGCTCCTGCACTTTCCAGAAAACTACTCGAATACAGGTCGTGCCCGAGTCTTGCTAAGCCAGAACGAGAACGCCAGCGTGCGGCAGGAGGATACATGTCCGCATTAGTAATTCCGCGGTCCGACAAATCACCGGCTCCATATTCTACTTCTTTTATACTTCTATCAAGATCAGCAGAACCCCCGGCCGGCTCAGACTCTCCTTGCTCTAGGAAGGACGGCGCCTGCGCTGCTCTGCTCGAAAAGGCAGATGCGCTGGCTAGTCCCCGTTTGCTGTAGCAGATCGAACCTGAAGCACCGTCAGCCCCGCTGATAAAAACACCGTCTTGACCAGCGTCGCTTTCTGGAGCTGCCATGATTACGAAACACGCTGGAAGTAATGTTGACACAACCGCCGCCGCCTCAGCATTAGTTTCGTCAGAGACGCGAATGCCGCTGCTTTGCTTCACAGCTTGTTGCACAAGAGACCCAGCCACTTGTTCCTTAGATACACCTGGATTAGATGTTTTGCCTGAATTTTCGTGCGACAGATCATCCGCGGCCGAAGACGACTTTACAACATTTTTAGAATCAGGCTGCGGCGATTCGATCTGCACTTCTGCATCGTCAGTGAGGACTGCTTCTGCGGAATCTTTTCCTTTGTCAGTCCTCTTGTTGACCTGCGAAAAGGAGGATACCTCACCCCGGGCACGGGCTGCAAACTCAGGATAGAACTGCAAGCCGAGACAACTCTCCCCTCTTTTGTCGCAGGCTTCGCGACACGTCACCTCTTCGATCAGGCCTGGACGCGCCTCCCTGGTGGGGAGCGGGTTTCCCCGGGTCAAGCAATTACCCTCGAATTTCTCGTAACTGCAAGGACCCATTGTCTCTTGCTCACCTTAAAGCAGGGTGTTGAATTTTTATAAGAGCGCACTTCAAGAAAGAATCGACTCGGTTTCGCTCATAGAAAGCAACTCTTGCATGATCTTGATGCATCTAGTCCACTTATCTTTCAGCCAAATGATATTACAGGTCTCCGATCGTTAGGCAGAGCCGGTAAACAGTATCCTTTCTATGGTTGTAGAGTTCTTGAGTTTTTCTAGGCAAGATAAAGTCAGGACAGAGTATTAAAAGATGATAGTACCGTCGGGAAGCGGCTCCTCCTCTGAGACATCCAATATGTGCTGGTCCTCTTTTTGATTCTTTGTTTCAAGCAGTGTTCCGTTTCGGTAGTGCAGTGTTGCCTCCATAATGTACGTATCCGACCCCGTCGCTAGTACACGCATGCAAGCTGGATCGTTCTGGTTTACTTGACACCAGAAACTGGTCGCAATGAACTGTTTGCATCGAATACACCTGTCGGAGTTGTAATCGTCGCAGTCTTTGCCGCAGCCTATTTCCTCCTCCGACCGCCGGCGCCCGGTCACCAAAAAGGAGCTGGTTGCGTCGGGGCCTTTCACAGATGAGTCCTTTTGTTGCTGGGTGCTTTCTTCTCCCGTTAGAGCGGCATGCTGGAAATTCGAAACCGGAAATTTTGCAACGTCAAATAGTGGCTGCGCACCGGCTTCGAGGAGAGAAAAAGTAGACGAATTGCTTGCAGACGCATTTCCGGCAGGGGCGTCTGTGGCCGTAGCTGTGGTGGTAGTCAAAGTAACAGTCGTCGTTGTGGCTGTGCTTGAGGTGCTTGTCGATGTTGTGGTTGTGGTTGTTCCTAGCAAAAGTGCCATTCTCGCTTCGTAGTCCGCTGAGTTGAGACCAGCCCAATCCTGCGTGAACCCCAAGCGCGATTCTAGTGCCTCATTCGCCCTACGCAAGATAGTCATCAGCTCTGCCTCGTCACTCCTCACAGCAGTTTGCGTCTTGGATGCCACGATCTTACCCCCCTGTAAAAGCATCGGAAAGAAGATACTTAATAACGATCTTGAAAATCACTGTTGTAAATAAGTACTCAAGTCGTTGAAGAGATTGACCGAACGATTCCCAGGTCCTACTTCTAGATAAGTATTTCCATCGAAGCACCTACCGAAGCAAATATGAATATACCTCCTCGTGTACCGTCGCATTCTCCTTTTTCCTTTCGATCTTCCGCGGAGAACTACATCCCGGTAGGTCGTACTCGCACTGCAAAGCGGATATCAATGGTACACCAAGGAGTGTGTAATTGTCAAAGGCAGTTGTATTGAACAGGACTGTAACATTCACGCCCTTTGTGACCGTTGCTAATGCTCCAAGAGTTTTCATTTCTTCCCCCTCTGCTTCTGCTACATCCAACAGCGAAAGAGTGGCTCCGTCTTCGACTGCCGTACCGTTTGTGTTGTCGATCACGACTGTTGTACCCAGAAAAGTAGTCGTGTTCTCGTGCGCCACGTTCACAACCACGTAATCGCCACCACTTTTCAAATTCAGACCGGTAATGTTGTGGTCCGTACTCAAGGGTGACAAGTTGTCAATCGTTCCGACAATATCCCCAGACGTGCGACTGACGAGTTTATGGACTACCGTTCCGTCACGTTCCGCGAGCAAGATCGGCAAGTCATGGCCCATCGTTCCTTTTGCTTTTTCTCTCTCACTTCCACCGGGCAGCGCAGTTTTGTTGCCGGCTGCAGTTTCGAGAGACGCGAAACGCGCAAGACGCTTCTCTACTTCGGTCGCAGCATCGTAGATACCGCCTTTAAAAACGAAAGTGGATCGAATAAAGTCACGCAACTCGACATTCCCATACTTCTCACGAATCTGTTCCCACAAGCGGTCCATCCATGGACTCGCCCAATCAACTTCGCCGCCGGGACGAATGTAACCTGCAGTAAACGATGGGAACTACCAAAGTTTGAATCAGACTGTTGTGCGAATGTCATTCGATGCAAGCAGCACTCTCATAAAGACGAAATAACCTCGCAGGCATGTTGAGCAATGATGTCTTAAGAACCGAAAATTACCGGCAAGCGCCTTTTTTGCAGCCTCTTGCAAAGTAGCCGGAAACGTCTCTGCGCCAGCTACCCCGTTGTCATCCTGCAAGAGCCCTCTTGCCGCAGTCTCCTCCTTTAGTGTTTGCCTAAGCACGTGTGATTCTTCCGCAACACTTGTCAGCCTGGAAAGATAAGTGCGACCCCAATCGGCAACAAATTTCTCTGCATCCAGCTTCAACCCGACCGGCGTGGCACCGAAGGTTACCGCCTTGACCTCAATGTCGTGCCTCGGATCGATATCACTCTTAACCAGTATGCGGCCCTTACTACCTGAAACGGACCTTTGCCGCGGGTTGAAAATATTCAACAAATGCCGGATTCGCATCGCAAGGCTGCCCGATCCGAAATCCACGCGCTTTACACGCCTCTTCTTTTTGGTCGTTCCAGAAGTCATGGCAAGTATATTAGTGGTACTAGAAGTTTGTCCGGCAGCATGTTGCGCACGAGAGGCACTTTCGCCTGCTAGCGACGATTGTTCAAGAAACGATGTGGCCGATGACGCTTCTGCTGCTGCCTTTCGCTGGGCCAAGTACTCTAGGGGCGGCAAAGTGAACAATGCCCCTGGAGATTCCCCGGGTGGCGCACTACCAAACAGGATGGCTTCGAGCTCTCGAACTTGCGAGTCGCTTGCGTCGCTCGGCAGTGCAACCGTGTAACCTATGTCGATGGTTACCAAAGAGCGATTCTTGGATGCGATCGTATCATTCATATGCCCCTCGGCTAGCGTGCTAATATCCGCAGCCGACAAACTCGTTCGGTTGCTACTATTGCTATATTTATTCAGCGTCTCGTTTTTTGCCAAAATCAATTTCGCTAGGTCCGTCGCCCACCACGAATCGTAGTCAGGATACTGAACTCCCGCAGTGATGAACGACCCAGTCTTTTTCGAATCAGTAGTCACTCCCGACGGATGCATCCGCAGGCTCTCAGCGATCGCAGCCTCAAAGAGACGACTAGTAACATCACTCGCAATGGATGACGTTGTATTCATCCATAGTGGAAACTCGAAAGTCGCTTCCAAGAATGCGGATACGTTTTTCAGATCTAATGAAATTTTCGCGTCTAATGAATTGGAAGTGGTTGGTCACAGACACAGTCAGTGATTTATAAGCAAGAATATTTCAACGTGAAAATTGTTTTCTATTCTTCCTAATAAATTTTGTTTAGCTAGTGGATACACTAACGGCGAAGTATCGATATGCCCCTCCAACGTCCTCTATTGTTCACACATCAACACTGAAAAAGTAAACGGGTTACCTCCAGACGCAGACGTCTTTCGACGATGCCGCCTCGAGCGATGCTCTCGCTTCCATTCAGCGAATGACTGCAGATAGTGCTTAGTATTGTCGCTTTCGCCATGCTTCGCAAGTTTGTGACCACCTGACTTCGTCGCACCACTAGATATGGAGTCATCCTTTTTCGCTACCAGCGGCTCTTCTCTGAAACGCTCGAAGAGGCTCGACGTCGAGAGGAAACTGGCGGTCTCAGCGCTTGCTGCACTGGACGCAGCACTTGCTTGAGTTCCATTGGTAGCATTCGTCGCCTCGTCCACAACATTGACTAGGAAATTGTCCGAAACCAAAAACCGTCTTTCTCGAGCGTCGAGCGACGCCAGCAGCTCCAGGATCTCTATGCGCTTCGCGTCGTCAGTACCACTTCCAGCAGTCTTCAGGAATGTCTTTTTAGACGACGCTACTTCTATCTCCAAAAGACTATCATCTGGTGCACCTCCAGTCTCATGTGAAGTGGAGACCGCTGCTGGTGTTTTCGCTGCAGCTCTTGCTGTGGCTGCTACAAGAGCGAGGCATCGCAAGAGTGCGAAGCGCCTACCTCCAACAATTAAGGAAGGCACAGCGGTGTGCCAATCTCGTGGACGTCGTTCATTCATCCCACACACGCATCCGTAAAAGGCTCAACCCGGTTGGATTTCCACTGCAAGGCCTCTGTAGTCACAAGGCGGCCCCAAGTCAGACAAGAAGCCAACACCTAACAAGAGCACAAGCATTGTCAATTTTCTTATAATTCATTTGAGTATGCAGCATATCATAACAAAAGGGTGCAACACAACATGGAGTTCAAACCAACCTTTGCTCCTGCTCACAAAAACAGTTCAACATATACGACTACAACTATGTATAATTCACTTTCGCTCTGTTCCACAGTTTGGTTCATTGAGGAAGACTCATAGAAATTTGATGCAAAAGCCAGTGATTGGGGTGGCTTGAACAGGTATGAAGATTGATGGATCGACAAAAAAAATGCATTAACAGGGGAGCGACGGTACTTTACGGTACGGATGGGTCGAGCATCTTTTTTTCAGGGGTCGTCTTTCTCGATAACCGAGGGATACCCTTCTTCAATTTATCATGATCGTGATCCGAAACAATACGACCGAAAAATGCCGTCGCAATACAAAACGTCACACAACCGAATGTCTTTGCTCTTCTTTTTCAGCAAGTCGAACCTACCGATCGAGCTCGATGTGTTTCACCAAGAGCGCATGTCCGGTGTCGATACGATATTCCATGTTTACTTGTGGAACACTTATTGCACATTCTTAAGGAGTGAACGTATGTCTACGCCGAAGCGGCTAACATGCATTCTCCACAGAGCATTGGAGGCTATTTATCTTTAATTTAGATCTTTCTTTTCAACTTAAAACAACTTTGTGGCGTAGGTGTAACAAGAACTTCTTTGGCGAAAAGTTGAAGGGCAACACGGGAAAAAATTTCAGAGTAGTAGCAACGTAAAAAGCTGGAGCAACAGTGGAATTGAGAAGCTGTAGATTTGACTTACCTCAACTCTGCAAGCAATCCGAGCTTACTCGTCCGCAGGTAGAACCCCGAGATCGCAGAGCTGGCCGATGACTCTGTTACATTGGTCAATGTCAAAGACGTCGGTTTTTGCCTCTGGATCAACTCTCCGAAGACTGGACTCCATGTCAATCCAGATTGTCCTCTCCTGCGGCTCCATCTGAGGTAGATCCATGCCATTCGCTAGCGCGTTGATGAACTCACAGCCAGCACCCCTTTGTTGCGAATTCATCACAGCAGTTGTGATTTTGCGGAGCTCGTCTCTAAGATTATGCGGCCCGAGTCCACCAGCATAACCAATGTGAACGCCGGGATGCCCGATTGGCACTGGCCTTCGGGACCTGAGCAAGATTGAATTTTAGCATTTTTCACAAACAAGAAGCCCTCATTATGGCACATCAACAAGAATGAACCAGACTTTTCTTCATCGAGAAAGAAAATTCTTTAGATTATTCCACTTCCTGCTAGAAAGAACTGAGGAATGAAAGGATAAGTACGGCGTTCTGCCACAGCCCATGGAGCTGTCGTAGAGGAACGCCAAATTTGGCAAAGGGTCGTCCATTAGCGGAAAAGCGAGGTCCTTTGTTTGTCGATTTACCTACAAGGTGATGTGTGAGTGGATAGAATTTAGAGAGCAAAGAAGTTGGCAATTCGCGCATTTCTCCGACAACAACAACCAACGGAGACTCAAATACTAGTAGTAGTAAAGACTAGTACAGTATGCTTACTATTGTTCCGTCTCGTCCACAGTAGTTCCAGTTCATCTGAAAATAGAATGCAAATTGTAATTGTCCCGTAAAGCTAAAAGTACCTGCAATATAAATTGTATGTCTGGCATCGAGACTGCGAGTTGCCGAAAACTCTCAAGATATTTTCGTAAGCTCGTCTCTGAGACACCGTTTGGCTTCGTTGGGTTCAGCTGTATTCTCGTAAAACCAAGCTGCTCTACAAGAGTGTTCTTGATGAAACCTCCTTCACCTCTCAGTGCCTGCAGGCAGTAATCGCCTCCTAGATGCGCGGCTAGCCTAATGCTGTAGCTCGTGCTCTTATTCTTCCCGAGCGATGACGACCATGGCCCAGCTGAAAATGAATCAACAAATTTAACGATCTTCAAGAGAGACAACAGCAGCTTTTGGATAAAAGAGCTTCCTAGTATTTACAACCTCTCACATTGATGCTCACGATCAATACATCACGTCCGTAGAGGTAATCATCTAAGTGATTGTATACCCATGTTGCTCCCCCGTGTCGCTACTTGGTCCTTCGATTTAATGCAGAGTGCTTTCTGCTGCCGTCTCTCCACCTCATCTCGTAACCTGTGGAGCCACTGTATGGAGGCATACCGTGGCTTGCCTTGCCTCTCTGGGTGCAGCAACACCCCCCATTCTATGAAACTGTACTCTTGTGACAGCTCGCATACTGTTTGTATGCATACTGAGTCATCTACTCCGCAAAATCCGACCACCTGAACGAGGGTTGAAAATAGGTTGCCATCATACATCATAGTCATTTCAAGTATTTCGATCTCCTAATGAAAGACAACTTCGCAACTACAAGAAACTATGTGATCTCGAGCACTTGTTCTTTGGCATTCGAAGTTATATGAAAAATACCGAGAGCCCTATGCTTGGTGCCGTTGGAAATTTTGATGGGTCCATATCATCCTCAATCGCTATGCCCGGTTCAATTTCTTCTATATGCTGTGGAAGCTGAGGTAGCGCCGGAGTCGGGGCTGCTCCTGCTGCTGCTGCCTTGTTTTTCCCCTTTTTCGAGGGCATTTTGCTAACAGAAGAGGCCAAGGTGGTTCTTCTACAACACCGGCTTATCGCGACGTTCTAAAATAACTTCAACTTCTCCTCGATGGAAGATTCCACAAAGAATCTTGTCTGGTTTCGCTGCGTCGTTTGTCGTTCCAAAAGTCGCAATGTCGCTGGTGGTTTTCCTTGTAGTTCTTCTGTTGTAAGCAGAATGTCGCCGGTAGTCTTGCAGTATACTGAATCCTGTTGAAAAACAAATTCTCTGTGTGGCAGAATGTTCCGTGGACAACCTCCAGCACTATTCTTGCGTCCTGTAATCGGGCAATCGGGCAGCTGCTCTCCGTCCTCGTTTGACGTGAGTCAGCAACATAACACGGCACAGGCTAAACGTGTGAGGACCCAGCGTCAACGCTTGTAGACATGTAGTTATTGACAACCTCGATCTGAGCCTTGTTTGCCGACCAGCATTTCAAAATATGAAACGGGTCTTTGGCCCGGAATCGTATCTACTTTAGCTCCACCTCCTCCTCCTTGTTTAATTATTTCTTGATGCTAGACTTCAACTTATAAGACCACACCATGAAGACTGTCTGCAGAAAAAATATGGTCGGAGAAGACGGTATAGGTGCGATCCAAGTAAATTTCCCTTCGAATTTTCTTCTGAAGATCTCAGCCAGACTCAGACCTTCTTTGGATTCTTTTCTGAACATCGAACAGACTTTCATCTTGAACAAGAAGTAGTTGTATAATTACATCACTTCAGGAACGGAAATTGACCATGAAAATCCGGTTTCCAGGACACGATACGTCCGGCCTCGGCCAACAGGACACCAATTCGATGATGTTGTGAAGTAGAAAGACGGTAGCTCAAGTTTTCATTATTTTTTGATCTTCTTTCTCAAGTGCCATCATTACCAGTTTTTTCATCCGTGCAGACCTCATTCGGATCATCATTTCTGAGACTTTTCAGAGTAGAAACAGTTTCAACCAAGGGATGATCTTCTATATTTTCTTCATCTGCGTCACAATACTGAAGTTGCACATTGTCCATTTCTATTTCATTTATTTTTGAATTCTACGTCTCCCCTTCTTCCTAACCTTCTTACAGCCCACGCATGCCCCTCTCTTATATGCTATCCTAGAAAGCATATACACGCGACGTGCAGACACAAATTTGCGACCAAATAGTCCGCAATCATTCGCTCCGTGGACAATTTGAAGACACTCGGATTCATTAGTTGTACGCGCAAACAAATCGTGATCACACATGTTCCGGTCGATGCTATGAAGCCGGAGAGAAACGAGTTAAATGGGAAGCTGCCCACGAGGATTACGTAGACGAAGAGAAGACCACCTGAGTGGAGCAGTAGCGTTTGCTGTTTGAAAATTTACTTTTCAATGCAATGCGATCTTTTTGTGTCATAAGCAAATCAGTATTGACAGGGCGCTTCAATATCAGCAACTAGAAAGACCAAACATAATGCCGTAAAGCGAAACCTTAGTACCGATTATCGCAAGGAAGAGCGCGTAAAGGTCCAGAAGCTTAACTCGGTCAGGCGTTTCCGCCTTGTACTTCTTGTACAACTTCTGAGCAACCTCCTCCATTTTTGGGCAACTGACAATCTGAAGATTAAATCAGATCGAAATCGTAAAGTAAAGAAATAATTATCGAGTCTGCGCTAGAATCTCACTTGGTTTCTCTCTTCGCCCATTTCCAGGCACAATGGAGAGCTACAGGGTCAAAGATCACATTAGCATGCAGTTTTCAAACCGATGTCCATTAGTGGAATCAGTACATCGGATCCTGACTGCATATGTACGTGACCTGTCGATCCTTTTACCTTAGTCTTACACAAACGGGGTGACCTACCCTTTGACTGCAGCCGAACACACTTAAATTTCTCCGAACAAAGCGTTTTCTTCCTCTTTAAATTAGTATATCTATCCATCTTGCGCCTTCTACAGCTGTTGCATGAGCATAATTCTAGCACTTCTTATTCTGTAAACAGAAAACTACAGAGCAGCGGGCTAATTGCGTTTTATTATCAACGCCGCCGCTTCTGATTTTTACCTCCCTTCTTGAGATTACCTATGTGTTTCCGCAGATTTGCAAGTTTGGCTGTGGCCTTCTGCCCATTGCGCTTCGTACGCACAGACCGACTCTGGATCTGCATCAACATTGGCTTATTTCTTCGCTTTTCCTTGTTCGTGCTGCCTCCTGTTCGGCCTGACTTTCCGCCGCCAAACTTCTCGCGACCCTCCCGTCCCTTCTTCACGGACTGCAGACGAGTGTGCTTGTCGTGTTTCTTTCGCGTAAATCCAGACAGCTTGGAGGGATCGATGAAGTCGATGTCATTGTAGACGCGTTTATTCGCCTTCTTGAGCTCCTTCTGTTTTCGCTCTTCCTCGTCCATATCGCTGTCATCGTCGTCATCCTCGCTCTTGTCTTCGCTATTCTCATCACCCTTGTCCTCGTCCGACTTATCCGAGTCACTGCTATCGGTGAGAGAGTCTTCGTCGCTATCAGCTCCTGCAGCGCGACGTCCCCGGCCGCTCTGCAGCTCGAGTGCCTTCTTGGCCTGGAGTTCGCGCATCTTCTTGAAGTCCTCGGGACCTAGGACACGTTCCGTGAACATCTCTCGCGCGGCGCTCTCAATCTTGTCTCGTCGCTCCTTCTCTGCGGCCGCCTGTTCACGCTGCTCCGCCAGCTTTCGTCGCTTCCGGCGATCTTTACTCTCTTGTGCCAGATTTCTCTTGCTTATCCGGTTCGTCTCTCCACCTTCATCATCTGAGGCACTGCTAGCGTCACTATCCGAATTATCAACGTCGCTGTTCTCCTCGTCGCTGTCATCGTCAACGTCCTCGGCATTGCCGTCAGACGAGCTCTTGTCAGCGTCGCTACCATCGACTTCTGATTTGTTTGCCTTAGCAGATTTATTTGCTTCCTTCTTTTCGGTGGGTGATGCATTCGTTGAGGCTTTCTTCCGCTTTAGTGGACATGTTTCTTGCGGAACTGCTTTTGCCTTCTTCGTCGGTGCTGAGCAGTCTTCTAAATCCAGATCTGAGTCTGATCCTGCTCCCTTATCTCCTCCCTTCTTCTGTGCTTCGGGTTCTTCAACGTCGGACTCTTCTTCCTCTTCATCGTCTTCTTCGAGATCAGATGCCTCTTCCTCTTCCTCAATATCAGAGACCTCCTCCTCTAGGTCTGATCCTTCTTCTTCATCACCGACATCACTTCCTTCTGCGTCGCCGCTAGCGTTTTCATCTTCTTCTTCGTCGTCCGAGTCCGAGTCCGAAGCGTCGCTTCCTTCCTCCTTTGCACGTCGCTTTTCCTCTTTCTTCTCTGCTTTTCTCAGGTTGCGTGCTGCCAAAAGCTCGAGACCCTGACCAAATAGTGTCGCAGTTGTGATGCCGCCCTCCTGCTTGCTACTGTCGAATTCACCTCGTGCAAGTGCTTCCGCTGCGTCTTTACCGCGGAATTGTCGTTGCAGCAGAGCCGGATTTAACTCACGATACATGTTAACAATGCTCTTCACACCTACACGGACACCCTTGTGCTTGTACTTGCGGAAGCCGCACAGATCATGCACCTCTTCCTCCTCCAACGCGAGAGGCACTCGGCACGCGATCTCTCGCAAACTGTTTATGCCGACCGTTATCACCTTGTGGAGAGATGCGAGGAAAAAATTTTGCAAAGAAATTATGATGCGTCCGATATTAGCAAACAGGCTGGAGTAAATAAGGAGCGAATAGGATGAAGACAATGAAGAAGCAAGAAGCTAACCCTTATCGAAAGTATGAAGAAGGGACACTTCGTGCACTGAATGATCATCTTCGTGTACTGTCAAGGATTTCAAGGAAAATACCTCTGGCGCGTTCGTTTCGTTGACAAATGTGTGCAGCAAATGGACCACTGCAGGGCGTACAGTTTCGACCGGCAATGCATCGTGGCACGACTGTGCGAGACACGCCAAGACCGTGGTGACCTCTCGTTGTGTTGGGGTCAGATACTTTTGGATGTATGGGTAGAAGTTGGGAACGACCAAGCGATGACGCCCCATGAGACGACTGCACAGCTGGAGCAACAAAAGGCGGAAGGCATAGGTCTCCGATGCGCGCATCACTCGGAGCAGGAGTCTCTCAGCAAGCTTCTGCGGATCGTGCAGGAGATCAATAGCGGCAAAGCACGTCTTATTTTCCAGTCCGCTTTTCGGGTTATCCTTCTTGCTCATCGCTTTTGCTGCTTTCTTTTTCGCCTTTTCAATCTTCTTCTTTTTCTGCGAGCCCTTCGTAAAACGCTTCAGTCCGAGAACCTGGTTGAATAGTCCACGATAAGAATCAAGAGTTGTGTAAGTCTAAGATGCACGGTGATGAGTAATCGGAAGTTCTACCTCATCACAGGAGCTGTCATCACCCTCCATCTAAGATCGCTTTTTTTCACAAAGAATTTTGCGCAGGTAGTTATAGTGGGCAACGATAAAAATAAGTACCTTCTTGCTGACATCGCCAACAGCTTTCTTGTTTTCTTCATCCTCGCTGTCGTTTTCTTCCTCAGCGATCAAATGAGTATTTCCAAGAAGAAAGTTTACGGCGGCTTTCGCGACGTGAGTATCAGGATGCTCACAACAGCCGGCAATCGCGTTTACAACTGCCGCGCCTGTCCAAATATTCTTTTTGTAAAGACTAATAAGGATAATGAGCGCTTTCCTGGCGGCTTGAGTCTCGTTCACCGCAACATTGCTGTCCTCCAAGAGCAGGGTAGGCGCTGCAAGACTCTCGTTCTTATTTGCGGCTCCCCCGTCTTTTTTGCCACTCTTGCTCGCTGCGGAAGTAGTACCATTGCCGCCGAGTTGCTGGAAAAGGTATGCCTGCAATCGTCTGTTCTCAATTTGGTTCTGGTTATTCTGGTTCATCCGCAGGACATCACGCACGATATGCGTGTGCACTTGCGTACGAATCTGCTTGTCGTCCAGTGCGAGCAGACGAAAATGCAATGGCAGCGCTTCGATCAGCTCGTACTGGTTTCGGTTTCGCAACAAGATCAAGGCCTGAACCAGCACTTTCCGCGTTGCCGGGTGAAGCACGGCGTACTTCTCGTGCAGAAGCTTCAACAGCTTTCTCGGGTAGTCGTCGTAGTTGTAGAACGGGCATGCATGAGCCAGAAACATTACCTGCTCGTCGAACCGACGGTCGGGGTTTTGCGGCTGCAACAACAGCATCTCCAATATGCTCTCGAAATGCCGAACTTGGGCCAGAAATTCACTCCTGTAGGCCTCCGGATCTCGCTTAATCCGGTCCTGAAGCAGTGCTAATGTCAAAGGGATAGCGTTTTCGCCATCCTTCGACGACGGGGGTCCACTCTTCTTTGCACCCGCACCACTTGCACTCCTCCCGGCAGCAACAGCGCCAGCGACAACGCCTGGTCGCCGGTTACGTCGTGATAACCCACCCATCGTTTACAATTTCTAGAACGTAGAAGAAAATACCAAAAAAAAACCTTCAGATGGCAACGGGTCCAGGGTCAGGGAATATGCTACTGAACAAATTACTGTAATTCACCAGATATGTGCGATCACCTTGCACTAGACTGTAGGAACATATCTTGAGTGAACTAGAAAATTTTCCAACAACGAAATCTGCAACGGCAAAGTCAAGTATTCAAGGCTAATGTACTGAGAAGGTTTTCAGAAACAACGAGCTACACTAATCGTCTGTGTCAGTAAAAGAGCATGAATGAAAAACTAAAATTGGCATTGGAGAACGACTGGAACTGTCAGCCTCAGACTGCGTGTTGCCTAGTTCTCAGCTGTACCCATCATAATCACATCTTTTTCGTTGCCTATATACATCCGAAAAAGGCTCTGACCGGATCTCAGACAGCACCCAATTCACATACTAGCCTCAGGGATTTAGAACAGTAGATCCAGACGTTACATTCAGAGTCTTTTGGTGAGCAGATCCATAATTATGATCTTGGAACATCGAAACATAAGGGATCCATTCATTTTTGTACTTAGTTGTGAGCGGATCCGTTTCTACAATAAACAAGGCGTCTTACTTTCCGACGCCCAAATGAGGTATTGATCTTCTTGGTCCCGGAGCACCGGAACAAATGCTGTGCTTTTCGCATATCCTGGAGCAATCAACTTCGAGGACGAGACCTTACGAGCGGGCCTCTGTTCACAACTGCTGCTGCGCAAAGACTTCTACTTTTCATCTTTTTCTCTTCCAATGTTGAAATGATTTTTGTCGAAGATCCTTGCCAAGCGTAGATAGCGAGCACTAATCTTGAAGAATCCGGTGTCGACATCTCCCTAGCAATGAGATACGGACTAGATTTGAAATAGTGGGCATGTATCATTTTCATTTTGTAGTTTCGTCAGTTTAGCTCTTTTGTAGCTTCCTTAATCATCGTTATTTCACCTTCCCAGTAGAGGACATCATTCTCGAGTCGGTTTGCGAACCTTCGGATAGCGAGCAGGTACGTATGTTGAAGCATCGACCCAGTATTACTATCTCGCTAGTGACATTGATATGTAGACCTGAAATGGTTGGGTTAGGTTAGGTTAGGTTAGGGGTACTTCACATTGAGCCCCCCGGATGCGTCGCTCAACTCCAACGATGATATGTAGACCTGAAATACTGGAGTATAGTTGTACATTTTAGCGGTTTCACACATTTTAGTGGCTTCCATATTTTGACCTTTGTGCACCTTCCTTAATAATAATTTTACTTTCCCAATAGGGTAAATCCTCCAATCGACCTCCCATGTATAGAAATTGAAATTCTCATAGTCAATATCCTCGGATACTACCAGCAGAGGGGTTCTCCTCTAGGTGGTTTATCGAGGTGGCCGGCAAGTGGAATTTCTGGAAAGACGCGCTGGCATGTCTCTTCTTGTCTCAGTCTCTAGCGGATTTCATCTTCGCCAGATACATCAACTTGACACCCCAGATTAGGGGGACCCAGAGCAGAAGGCCGAATACCAATACCATGTAGTGCGTGAACTCATCAGACCTATGCCCGCGAAGAAGGTTCACAAGGCTTATACTTCCGGCAACCAGGAATCCTCCACATATATGGAGAATTGACAGCAATACTTCGCACAAGAGGCTTCGGTCGCGTTGCCCGCGACGGGAGCAGCAACCAGTCTTCGTCCCTTTCGCTACTCGGTGATCCAAATTTTTCGACCACTCATTTTTTGAGTCAGCAACGATCTCTCCACCTTGTGGTGCGTCGGCCATTCCGTCCGTGACCTGAGGGAGAAAAGGAGCTTGTTGTTGTTCCACGTCCGCAGACACGTCAGCATCTTCGCCCATGCCAAAGACATCATTTGCGTCAGCGTATTCATCGTCGTCGTCTGAATCAATGTCCTGACGACCCTGGCTCAGGAGACAGCTGATCCCTTTGTTCGCAGACGGTCTGGGATAAAGATAACGAGCCCCAAGACAATAGAATACATCGGCACGAAAAATGAAGTAGAGGCAGAAGAAGACAGGGAACCATTGGTAGATGATTCCACTGGCGCCGCCAGAAAAGGACACCACTCTGGGTGGCTCACCAAAATGAGTGCGCAGTAACGTCTCCGCGTTGTCGCTAGGGTCGGGCACGTCGCCAGCGACCGAACGAAACTCGTGATCAGGCGATGGCCAGACCAAGACCGAGCGTCTTCCCTCTTTTTGTCGTTCGACACTCCAAAAGATAACCAGGCCCGACACGAGCATGCTCAAAATCAAAATGAGCAGAAATAACAAATGTCCAAAGAACCAAGGCCGAAACTGGTACGAAAGTCGCATTTCAATGAACCCACCAGTAATCAGCAACGCGTTCATGTTCAGAAAGTAATGATCCCAGAAGCCATCGTGGACAAGAAACGTCAGCCACCTGCTGCGCCTTAGTATGCCACCCGCAAACTCAGGACAGCTTGACGGCTTCAGATTATATTTGGGCATTTCGATACACATCTGATCCACTTTCACAGGGGAGCCAAATCGACGGCCCGAAGCGGTGAGCGGGTAAGTTAACACTCTGCCGTGTCGGAAGTCAGCCTCCCTCTCGAAGTTGTTTTCCGTCCAGATTTCTGAATCCTTATCGGCATAGAGCCGAAGGAGCACCGAATCGTTACGATCACCCTTTCCTTCCACCACGAGGACGCAACTCGTAGGATCTGCACGATTGCGGACGCAGTCTTTGAACGGGCCCACATGCTCCAGCAGTTCAACAATACTGATAGTCATCACGAGCAAAACTGTCACGTAAGGGAACAGTTGGAGCGCTCTGGCACAGCAGCTAGCGGCACCTTTCTCCAGCCGCCTGCTCCGCTTGCCGTGATTGCCGTACATCTTCTCCGGTGACATTTGTTTTCGCAAAGATTCAGGTAATATGAGATAGATAATTTCTGGTCTCAATCTGGGTTCGATCGGCGTTTCTGTGTAATCAACCAATCTGTCACTCAATCGTGTGCCATCACAACTGAACTAATATTACAAATTGATAAAAGAGCTCTGTTGTAGTGCCTGCTTATCAAAGGAGTAAGTAGCAGATTTACAAATGTCAATGTTTATCACCCTAGTATATTTCTTATGCCACAGCCTTTCTGGCTTTACTCTGATCTTTCCCATACTGTTCGAAGAGGTTGGTGCTATGAAACCCAAAGAAAGTAGAATGAAAGATTTGTGGATCTTCGTTCGTTTGCTGACCTTTTCGACGTGGTCACGTCTTCTCTCTCAACGTTCAGGAGAGCCGAGTTTTGTACAAATTGATCCTATGTAGATTTCAGGTTTCGATCGATCGAAGGCTTCCGTGTCGTGCGCGGATCTTGCCTGCTTATTTTTAGAGTAAGGTATCATCTTCGGGGGCGGAAGTTCCCGGCGCAGATGAATTCTCTCCACGGGAATCAGGACTCTTTAGTCTCAACAGAGGAAGCCTATATATAAGAACCAGAGAGTCTTTCGCTTTAGTCACAAGATGATAGCACAAGCAACACTTACACACACTCCGTATAACGAATCAACTATTACTCACTCCACTCACCTCAACATTAGATCATTGTATATTTTCGAAGCAAGTAGCTCACTCTCATTCACGCAAATGACAGAGAAATCGCACTGGAGATTACCTTTGGGTTCCTATTGGCTCCCGGCATATCTCAGTATCAATGATGGATGACGAATCCAGGTAGGTAGATCATCACCATACATTGATACTTTCACTCAACAGATTTTTTTTTTTTCCATAGGACTACATGCCGCCTCCCATTCAACTACTTAAGGCGCAACGACGTCACGAATCTTCTTTGGTTCAATTTGAGTGCACTCGTGCTTCTGCTGCTGTCACGAAAAAAATTACAAATACATCTTCCAGTCCGTTCTTCTGTCATCGAAACGACAAGTCTATTCTTACTTCTGAAAAAGGTGCATGATCTTGATCACTGATGCTCGTCCCGTGGACGATGTCAGGTTTTGTTCAAAAAATATATTCTGACTGCGTGCTCCCGGTTAAGAGTTATTTACAAATTCGTGTTCGTGTGCAATCTCTTTTTCAGGCGCTAAAAAAATATGCTACTTGTAGATCATGGCTGCTGTCTTCGTGGAGACTGAACATGCAATCTCATCCCTCAATGCTACATCCGGTTATTTCAAAGACAACGAGCCACCAACTAATGGTGATACTAAATCAGTCCTGGACAAAATATGGCGACTCGTGTCTGCTAATTTTGGATTCCGATCGTGTTAAGACGATAGCCTTGCTTGCGTATGAGTACATCAAGATGGACATAGATGAGTGGTTAATGACCATGAGACGAATGGCGTGGAAACATAGTTATATATAGAATCCAACTACTTATTCCAGAACCATTTTTAGTTACGAGAAAGTAAGGCACTCACATTGGAATGAAATACTTACGGTAGGCGTTCGCAATACGTATTTTTGTTGATTTGGTTCAATGGTTCATTGGTTCAATTGAGTGAATGTTGTTGAAGTTGATGAAGTTGAACTTGAAAAGCATGTCAAGAACTTCCGTATAATTGGAGAACTTAAACTGCCACTGAGTTCTTGTGTCATTTTCGATGGTTAGGTCGATTTTCATGCACCATCATTACTACTACAATCACGGCCGATGCTGAGTATTACTATATGTACCATGATGGACGAAGCGGGCACAGCACAATGTAGTAAATGCGTTGAGCAGGAGCGGGCGTCTATCTCGCCCGAGCACAGACGTCCACTCCTGTCTAAAGTAATGCAACACCCTAAATTTATCCACTCTGCACATGATACAAAGAACGGTCTAGCTTTTGTAAAATCTATGAAAAAATTCTCATGCTATATCATGTCCCGCTATTACTAGTACGTAGTAGTGTACGCAATCGCGCTGAAGATGCTAGCTTACGAAAGAAATCCGAGAAATCAGCCCGCATATATATACATGCCCAGAAAGCGGGCCCATCAAGGGCCCGCTGCGCCGGGCATAGGTTAACAACTAGACAGATTGACTACTAAGAGACAGAAAGACAAACGAAAAAAGTCACCAAGTCTGCTCGCCAAGGCTGGGCAGGTGGCCCCCACTGTGTCAAGGAAGGGAAGGCTGGGGAGGTGACATCCTCAACGGCTTCGATTTTCAAGCACGGAGATGGATCTCTTTGGCCTTCTCATGGATATGATGACGCTCACCAGGGTCCACCCTTCAGACATGCAAGCGCTCACGGCTATCATTCTCACAGACATCGACATCCTCAACGGCTTCGACTTTCACGCACAGAGATGTGTATCTTTGGCCTTCTCATGGATATAATGACGCTCACCAGGGTCCACCCTTCAGCCATGCAAGTCCTCACGGCTATCATTCTCACAGACATCGACATCCTCAACGGCTTCGACTTTCACGCACAGGGATGCATATCTTTGCCCTTCTCATGGATATGATGATGCTCACCAGGGTCCACCCTTCAGCCATGCAAGCCCGCACGGCTATCATTCATACATTCTCACAGACATCGACATCCCCAACGGCTTCGCCTTTTCTTTCACACGCAGAGCGGTATATCTTTGGCCTTCTCATGGATGTGATGACGCTCACCAAGGCCCACCCTTCAGACATGCAAGGGCTCACGGCTATCATTCTCACAGGCATCGACTTCCTCAGCCGCTTCAATTTTCAAGCCCAGAGATGTATATCTTTGGCCTTCTCATGGGTATGATGATGCTCACCAGGGTCCACCCTTCAGCTATGCAAGTGCGCACGGCTATCATTCTCACAAGCATCGACGTCCTCAACGGCTTCGATTTTCAAGGGCAGAGCTGTATATCTTTGGCCTTCTCATGGGTCAACACGATGACGCCCGCCAGCCTCTGCCCTTTCAAATGCTCACCCTCTCCCTTAGGAGTCTCCCACTTTTGTGCTGGTTAGAAGTATAATGGTTAACCATCTCCAAGGGCTGCCGCGTGCTCCTGTGGTCGATTGCTGTGTGCGGAAGGTAGTTGCGGAAGGGGAGCGAGCTAACCTTTTCGCAAAAACTTCAGGGAGGTCGTTCCGTTTTCTCTGTATTTGAATGACCTCCCTGAAGTTTTTGAAAAAAAAGCAAAGGCGCTGGGCGATAAATTAAATAACAAGAGTAGCGGCTGGAAGTTCGTTGGGGCGATTCGCTAGGGGTGGGCGCGTAGTGTCCTGCTGCAGATGTGGCTGGGTACGTGAGTAGCCTACAAACTAACAGCCGCGAACGCGTTAACATGTTCGCGGTGCCTTTGAACTCGTAGTACTAGCAGCGCAAGGGCTTTAGAGAGCCCCGCGAGTCCTTGCGAATCCCTTAAGGAGGGGTCTAATATTAGCCAAGGGCTATAACAGCTCTTCCTTAGGGCCCTTCCTTAAGGAAAATTTTCCCTCTTAAGGAACGTTATAATAGCTTTTGGTAATAGGAATCCCTTAAGGAAAACCGTTCTCCTTAAGGAGGCCACTTAAAGGAGTCCCTTAAGGATTTCGCAAACCATCGCTAACCCTATAAGTACTAATATCATGTGTGTGCTCCTGTTGCAATCCTCTCTCGACTATAGATACTAGTAGAACTAGAAGCCAACAAAGCGGCATAGATAACTAGTGCGGTTCATGCTGGGAGCATCGCGATTATAATGTAGAAGATTACCATAGCGAGCGCCATGCCATCGCCCACAGTGAAGATAAAAGATATATAAGAGCCGCCAGGGGGGTCTAGCACGGCGACACTGCTCCACTGCATGCGACTGGGCGGCAGCAAGCTCCGGAATAGTTCCGGCAAAAGCTCGAAACACAAAGGGCCAGCGGGCACGTGTTGCCTGGTAGTCCAGGCCAGCTTTGTTTGGGTTACAGATCAAAACCCACACAAAGAAAGTAGGCGCGGCCTTCCTTCAGGCCGTAGTCCGAACGCGGCACAAAAGGGAGGCGCCAGGCCGTCGGCTTGGCGTGCTTTGGATTCCTCTCCCTGCATAATCCAAAAAGAACCCAGAGCGCAACGCGTGCATCGTCTAGCTTTGACTGTGTGGACCGCGGCAGGAGCACGCCCGCAGACAAAATCCGCGCAAAGTGTGGACCCTGAGCCCCAACCAAAGCCAGGCCCAAGCCTGAGCGAGCTGGGCCGGGACTATTTGGCGCAGCCCTTGCTTCCCCTTCCTCTCTTGCACCCAGACGCAGAAACAGAAGCGGGGCGCAGGTCTTTAAGTAAGAGAGGTCCTGCGTGGCTCGCTTACCACTCGAGGCCAGGCGAGGCCTCCGATACAGTCAAAGGGGGAGCCTTAAGCAATGGCCGCGCGCGGTGTGTCAAGACAGAATGGGCCACAACATGACGAAGCCCGCATGACTTCGGACCGCAGAAGCTTAGGCGCCGCGCTCAGTCACCTGGCCGGGCCCTCTCTCTCTGCATAATCCAACCAAACAAAACCCAAGCGCCAGCGTCTCAGGCGCACAAAGCTGAAAACCCGCACAAAGTGTTGGCCGCAAGCTGTCACCTACGCCTTGCCTTGTGCTTGTCTGGGTTCTTCTCTCTCTCTATCTCACTCGCAACAGTGGCCGGGATGTAGTTGATCCAGCACCGCTCGAAACCCAGCCACACGAGACGGAGGTGGCCAGGCATGCCCAGGCGGCTTTAGTTCGGGCCGCGGCCATTGTTTTCTCCTTCTGGTTACTCTGCCGCACTAACGCAGCGCATCGCCTTGAAGCTGTTCACCGTCCAACCCCAAAGCCAGCCCCCCACTGCATCACCCAAGCAAAACCAAAACGGCAGACCGACAGACGGCCCTGCGGTTGCGGAGGGGTTTAGACAACCGCACGAAACCCGCGCCCCGCTGTGTCCCCCGCCAGCTTGAGGCCCACCCCCTGGAACATCACCACGCGCAACGCTTTGGCGGCAGTTCCGTCCGCGCTTACTCCAGCCGACCCCTAAGGGTATTATAAGGACGCCATAGGGGTACTCAAAGGGTGCGCAGAGGGTTTCCACAGGGTACCCAAAGGGTGCTCAAAGGTCTCACAAGGGTAAGGCCACGGCTTGGGCCCTCGAGTATACAGGAGCGGGCCGAGCTCCATTTTGGGGCCACTTTCTTGCGGCTTTTCTTTCAGTTTTTAGGAAAAAAGACAGGAAAAAGCGCCCGCAAGAGGGTCGCAAAGGGGTCAGCAAATCATAAGGGGTCAGGAGCTGCCTAAGGGGGGGCTGTAAGGGTGTCGGAAGGGTCTCAAAAGGGAATCGCAAAGGGGGCGCGTAAGGATCATAAGGGTCTGCGTAACGGTTCAAAGGGGAGGCTCAAGGGGGGGCAAGGGTATTATCACTTTATTATCAATCAATATCAATATACACAAGAACAGAGAATGCTTGTCGCCAGCATTAGCGTAGTGCCAGCAAGCGTAGTGAGTAGGTTCTTAGTACAGACGTCTAGAAGTAGCGAGGCCCGCGACTTCAGACTAGAACCCCTACCTGAAACCCGCCTTCACGATGCCAGTATTATGCGTTTGACGAGTAGCTCATCCTCATCTTCATTTTGTTCCTGGAAATTATACTAGCTTCATTCGTCCTGGAAATTATACTATATGGACGCTATTCCAATGTCAGGTTGGATTGTTTTGCTACTACTTCTACTAGTAAGAACGCGTGGAAAACAAAAAAATATACATAGGAAGTACTTCCTAGATGCCATGACGCTTGTCTTCACTCAAGTTCGTTAGATTTCGCGACACCCCACCAGTCCGCCCGAATTACATGCAGCAAGCGAACCTTCAGCTCGACGCATAGTATTCAAAAGATATTGATATCTCTCGAGTCTCCATAATCATCATCGTAAATACCATTACCACATTACGATATTTATGTCAGTATAGGGATTGTATGGAAAAAAAGCGATTCGATATTTTTGCGATTATATCGAGGGAAAAAATATGAGAAGATTGCTCGGACGCATATCGTCTATTCTTAATGAGCAGCTCGGAGATGACGCCCTGGACTCCGAAAACATTGACAAGTAATTGGTTGATATACCTGACAAGAGGTGATGCTAATTATCGGCCTGCCCGCATTGGAAGACTACGTTTGACCGTCTCCTTGGGATGCGAGCCGCTGCAAAGGATCGTCACCCCGCAGTTTTGTCCCTCGTATCTGTATTTTATTGATCGACTGATTGAATGATTAGGTGATCAGTTGATGTACCCGCTCAACGACGAAGAGTGCAATACAACCTCCGATAATAATACAACCTCTACAAACTTATACACTTGTCAATATCTTCATTCCATCAACAACATTCAGCTAAATTCTGGGCATATTGACAAAAGTGGGCGCATACGACTAGAATTCAAAACAGTACCAGGCGCTTCTTCCACCAGTCCGACATTGCCATTCTAAACTGCAGATACTCCATTGACATGTCCAACTCATCCTTCGGTATGCTCAGGAATCTGGCACCCAAATCCATCGTCAGGCTTTTGATCCTCGAGTTTGCAGGTGGCATTTGCGCTAAGACCATCATCCACTCTCTCCTCGCAGTTCTCGAATGAAAAAGTTGTGGATCTGTTGTGATTAGTAAAAATTTAATAGAAATGTTTCACACCAGATACTACAGAATGATGCAGCTGCCAGCCGTGAACAGTTCCACGTCCACGAGCTGCTGTTCTTGTTTTACAAAAGCGGAAATTTGCGTTTCATAGGAGTCGCGTTCTTCCACAATGAATATCGATAGCGTAGTAACCGACAAAAACAAGTTATTTCATGGGGATCTGTCTACAGCAAAGATGAAACTCAAAACAAGCTGTTGAACGCTAAAAACTAAAAATTCATCTACTGCAAGGCTGTTGCATTCCAATAGGTACGTTGCTCGATGAGCTCCTCGGCTTCCTGAAGTGCCAGTGGATAGAGTCGGTCGAAAATTTCGCCTCGTGAGTCCTCTTTGTCCTTGAATGAGATACGCCTTGTGCTGCTCGTTGGCGCTATCCGTCTCTCGTGTCCGCCTCCACCACTGGATGTCGGATCACTTCGCGAAGCAAGAGCGTCATCGGACCTAGAAGCTGGAGGTGAGGACGACGAAGACGCTCCTGCGCGCATTGAGCTAGTGCGCTGATCCGAACTTTCCAAAGCGACACCAGTGCCCTCGAGGTCGAGAGGTCGACTACTTCCTGAAGCGTCGTCATCCTGTGAAGAAAAGAACACCGGCGATGCTGGTACCATGCTGGTGTGCGCGTGTCTCAATGCCATATTGTGGGACCCAGCCACGACGGTTCCTGTGGTTGGCGTCGTGAAAAGCCTGGCGGGAGTGCGGTGATAGCATATTTGGCCAAGAGGGCCTGTAGGTCCGGAGGGTGGAGACGGCGTCCTCGAGAAATTCGACGCGGACGAATAATCGCCGTCACGATCCTGGAAAGGACAACTCATATCGCGGACGCTGTTGTTTCTAACCGACAGCGGAGCGCCTCCAAGTCCATGCAACGCTGGAGGGGATGCAGATTCACTGCTCACTTCTAAAGGAACACCAGGCACATGGAAATAATTCTCCTGCCGAAACTCCCCATTCCCAGAAGAGATTGTGGAAGACGATGACGCACTCGCGAAAACACTAGCCTTCATCCCCTTCGCCTCTGGTACCCGGCGCGCTTGCTTGTGGTTCGGCATCAGTGTTGTGTTGTAGGCCTCCTTTACTTGATCTGGATTTATAGCGGCTTTACTGGCCGACAAAGGACTGCCCCACTCGTTGGAACCAGCGCGACCTCTGCTTTTGCTAGGTTTACCATCTTCGGCGTAACCAGTGGTGTTCGGCTGACTTGCAAAAAGTTTATTCTGCTGTACCGTCGCTTCAGGGACATTGTTCGGGATTGACTGATGCACTAAAACACTGGCTGGCGAAGAAGACAACCGTCCTTCGTTCCCCATCATCCACGCATCCAGTTCTTTACCTACTAGCTTCTGCATCTTGCCACTGCAAGTGGTGTCATCTACCAGTCGACTCCCACTCGCTAGTGGTACATTATTCGCAGGCCCCGCTTCGCACAAGCGATAGCCTCTGCTGGGATGCGTTGCGCGTTCGGATGGTGCACCACCACCTATTGTTCCCGAACTAGACGAGGCTTTCTTTCTGTCGCCGTGTAACAGGCTACTTCTCACCTTCACATCGCCTCTACTCCGTTCTGCAGTAATGAATGCTTCTTGTTGACGCCCCTGCGACACTGCAGGACTAGGTTCATCCGCGGGTTCGGAATCTTCACTTGTTGACGGACTACTATCTTGTGGGAGATAGCCGTTGAAGGTCATTCTACGACCACCCAGGTTTATTTCAGGTGGTGTATTAATACTCATCTGCGGCATGAGCTCAAGCCAAGGGTCCAGATCAGACGCTGTTGACGCCGCCGCGCCTTTGCTCCTGCTCTTACCGTCCCTTTTTGGAAAACCTGATATACTCTCGAAGTGGGACGGAGACGCGTCGGCGGCCACGGGATTTCGCAGTTTCCTCGCACTCCGCCGCTGTGGTTCTGATACAGGTGCAGCCTGTTCTGCTGGTGCTGCATGTGCTTGCCGCTGTGAAACGCTTAAGGCTTTAAAGCTTTCTTCTAGACCTCCACTTCGTCCAGACAGCGAATCTCTTGTCAACACGCGCGATACATCTAATACATTATTACTGTGAATACCGATACTAGATTCTATAATTCTATGAGGAGTCCGAGCCGTAGTACTGTCATATTGGCGTCCGGTTGAAGGAGATGTAGAGGACCCCCCGGCAGCCTCCACCTTTGCTCCATGTCTAGTTCTAGTACCTGCTTTTTCCTCCGGACTGCCGCGGTCCTCCTGCATCGAACATGGTCGTGGACGTGGGTGTCTATTCGTGGTAATTGTAACTCCTTCATCTTTAATGGGAAGGTTACCTGATTGCCGCCCCTGGTTAAGAGTTCCTGTTTCTTCCTCTGTCGCATGTTGACAGCTCCTACATTCGACCGGCGAGAACTTCTGATGCGCCTGGTTCTCTAACAATGGTTCACTGCGAGACTCCCGACGACTTGGAGGTGTTCTTAGAAAGGGCACGACTGTCGGGCAACATGGGCTGCCGAGACCGCGCAAGATCCGGCTTAGAAAGCTACCACGTTCATCTTGACGTCCACGATATCTTCCCACATCGACGATCGTCCCGCGGCAGGAAGGCAATAGAAATACCAACCCGGCGGCCAGCCAAGACAACCAAGACACGCCAAGCAGTACTCGGGCGGGGCTGCGCTCCTTGTAACTACACTTCATTTTATTCGGTGTGCCCTGGTGTACACGCTTCATGCATACAATGCCCCAAAACGACCACCAGGGAATACAAACGACACTGATGACGAAAATCGATGTAACTATTGATCAATCTGTTATGCTTAATGTATTGGGGACGAATGATCGCGAAATAGACCTCTTGAAAATTTAACTGATGTTCTTATGTAGAGCAGGGCGAGGGTGAGCAGAAAAATTGTGCGAAACCACGGAAGGGCCACACGCTAACGAAGATCAACAACAGTGTTCTCCTTGGTTCCTTCGTCGTGCAATCAAAATTCACATGATAAAAGTAGATACTTTGTTTAATATATAAAGTAACATACTTACCAAGCAGGAAGAGTTATTGGATTCCCCTCGGCCTCTACGAGTATGTCGCGAAGATATTCAAACAACTTACTCACGAAGACAGGACTTTCAAAGAGCTACGAATGAAAGCCTCAATGAATAATGGAACGGAAAAACTCGAATTCGATTAGGAACTTACATCCAATAAAAATTATTCAAATAGTATCAATCCGTGTGAAATGGACTAGTGTGCTTTCAGACTTCAAAAAATGGCTCCTTCAAAAGAAGCTTTTGAAAGTTCCTCATCTATCAAGTTATCTCATCAGAAACTTAACAGCACAGCTACTCCAAGAATTTCATTCATTCATTTCATTCAGACTTGTTATGGATAAATATACGTTGCCTTGCTACAGAAAAAATTACAAGTTGTTGACAGATTATCTGGTAGTAGTTAACTCAAATGCCCTCAGTAGGATCCTCTCCAACGAGGATGTATTATGATAGGCGCTCGTCTTAAAAAAGCTCCTTCATCTATTTTCGTTCCTTCTCATTCTAGATCTTTTAACCTCGTTTAATGAGTGAAAAAATAATTGAGACGTTCACTCATTCATGAAAATTGCCGACGCGGCTACATCTGAAGACGGAGAATTTGACAATGTGACCATAGATGAGTGACCAAAGTTAAAAGTTTCGCAACGCGAACAAAACAATCGTCCACTCAATATGAGCACAGGTGACTACGAGTTCTAGCACCAGCCAAGTACAACCGTCATGCCAAAAATTAATAGTCGAAATAAAATGTTCCTATTAGAGTATATTCATAATTACCAAAGCTAGTAAATGTATCAGAGCCAATCTCAGTCTCACGCCAAACCACCCACGGCCATGAGACGTTCATTGAGTCAATATTCGATGTTTATGTAGAGTTCGTTTCGTTTAGAAACAATTTATTGGTTGCTTGACAGATGTAAATCTTAAACCCGACTCTTTGTGTTGCTGTAGTATGCGCGTCGTGATATACACTTGAATGAGTGAATGAATGTGCCTAGCGCGAGGTGTTGCATGTAATGTTTTATATCATTTCTGATAAGTTGTTTTATCTTATTCCTGATAAATTGAGAACGCTCTTTCCTTCCCCTTTCATTTTTTCACTCCCTTATTTGTTTTGCCAGTTATACTTTCTAAAAGTACACTATGACTTTTCCGGAACTGTCACCAACACAGTCGGAAAAAACAGCCACCGCCAAAATCAGAACTGTCACAGCCAAGAAGCGCAGACGAATCGCCACGACCAAGATCAGAACTGTCACAAACAAAGCGAGAACCGTCGCCGCGCCTTGTCAGAAAGGTGGCACAACAAGAGCAAGAGCTGCCACGGCGTCCCGTCACAGTGCCATCCACGACCAAGATCAGAACGACCACAGCACCCCGCCACAAAACCACAGACGGCCCGAATTAGAATTGCCGCACCGACCTGCCAGAGCGGCACAGCCAGAAACAGAGCCAGAATCCCCAACGCGCCCCGCCACGGCCACACTGGCACAACGAAAAGCAGAACTGCCGCAGCGCGTCAGCACAGTGGCACGGGCAGCGTCAGAACTGCCACAACGTCCCGCCACAACGTCCACAGCGAACCCGCCCTAGCAGTCGACCACTTTGCTCCAATGTGACAAAAGCGGAAGACTTTGACTCTCGTGGCGCTCTCTCACCCTTTTCTTCATCAGCAAGGTCCAACGCATTTCGATACTGCCAAGCCCCACGCGCTTCCGTGCGCCCTATACATATTCGCCGCCGGGCTGGTTTCAATTTTCTGACAAAAGGCGGGCGCCCCCTTTGGTTCGGCTTCAGTCTGCGCAGCTTTGCTCCATTCATTTCGCCGACCCCAACGAGCCCCGCACAGCTTCAGCTTAGGTCGCTCAGCTTTCCCCCGCGGCCGCTTCAGCTCAAGCACCGCGCAGACTGACTGGCCCCCCACTCTCGCAACCCACCCCAGCCACTTTCGGCGAAAGCCCCATCGGGATCGACCCCACCCGACGGAATCCGGCCCCAGCTCGTTCAAGCTGCAGCGAGCCCGGCTGCGTTGCAGTCCAGTCCAGGCGCAGTTCCTCGCAGCTTCAGCTTGTGCTGCTAAGTTTCAATCGCTCGAGCCCTGGGCCTCAGCCTGGTACAGCACGCAGCAGCCTAGTGCCGCTCACTCTCGGCCCAGTCCAAAAGCGAGCCAGCTGCCTCTCAGCTTCCGCGACGTTTCCCCCCGGCTTGGTTTGGTTTCCTTGCATCGCAGTCCAGTGAAGTCAGATTCTGACCATGAGAAACTCAGTGTCCCTGTCGGTACAGGCGACGGAGAGATTTCCTGCTCCTGCCGCCTTTCGCTCTGGGCTGTGTTCGCCCAGTTGGTTCAGTCGCCGCGGGTTTTCAATCTTGTCGAAGCGCAGCCACAGCCCCCGCGCCTCCCGCTTTACGCCCTCCCCCCCGCGCGGGCGCAGCTCGTGTCCCCAAAGTGTTGCTCGCGTTCCCGTCCCTTCTACTGAATTGATTTCGGCCCACTCTTGCTGCCGCCCTGATTCGGTCCAGCTTCGTCCCAGTGGAATCCCAGCCCCGTCTCGTCATACGGTTCCCGCTCCGCTAGAGCGTCACGCCTGGGGTCTGTGACTAAGCCGTAGGCCGCAGGCTGCCAACCGGTCACCTCCTTCCCTTACCTGGTGGCGCAGCAATTCAAACCTCCCCCCTTTTTTCAAACAGCCCAACATTGGCGCGTCTTCCATCTTTTTGTCTCGTGTTTTTTTGTTCTATGCCTCGTCGATGGGAAACAATACAAAAAACTACAATTCGTAAATTGAATTTTCGAAATCATCACACGAAAACAAGGTATCAATCGTCATGATCTTCCGTCTTGAGAAGAAATTCCTCAATACACGCTTCACAATTTGAGCATGATAAATCCATGATCTTCAGGATCTGAGAGCTGTTGCAGCATCACGCAAGACCAATTTACTCCTCAACAACTGTGCAAACACGAAAGTTGATTTCGCAGAAGATCTTAGTCTGAAAATTGGATTGAGGATCCTATCTTTCAGCAGACAAGTTCTGACGACGGGGCAACTACGCTTCCTGGATTCGGAAATCTTCCAATGACCATACTCATTTTCTTTTTCTACAAGACCTACCAGCCGAAAAGGCGGGCTCGCCCGATCTTGACAATATGAATGAGCTTCTGACAACGCTGCATAGTGTGATCTCAGATCATCCACGTTCGCGCGCATTGTCCGATAGTCTCTTGTGGAAATCCGTATCTTCGGATGCTGGAACAACATCACCTTCCAACAAAGGAGACCGTGGCACGCGGCTTTAAGAGTCGCGGTCCAAGCACGCTGCTGCTCCTGAAAGTCTCGTCTGTATATTTCATTTTTCGCGCCTTCATCGATGGTCATAATCAACAGGTAAATCGCTAGATGACCTTTTGTTGCTTCATTTTCTGTGCATATTCTGTGCAGAAGATGTAGTGGCTGTACGAACCATATCGTGTACTAGTCTGATGTGAGCTTTGTACAACAAAAGATGTCATCCACAACAAAACTTCCTAAAAATTAGAAACATTCATATTGTTCCAATTCATTTTTTATCTACATTTACGTACAGTTAGATGGTATTTTCTGGCGAGCAATATCGTGCATAAATTTGGATTGAAAGAGAGCCCGGAACATGATTATACAGAATGATCGCTTCAACTCCTTGCAGCTCACTGAAACCACCCTGGGTGGTGCGAGGCTCTCGTTTGAACGAACTACACTATATTTTGATTTCTCGAGGAAATTGCTACTCGAAGCTTTTACTTTTCAACGTATGCTGAACTATAATTCCGATAGGTATCTACTTCTTCTATCATGCTTGCTGGAGGTATTATACATGTTATAGCCACTACAAGCAGTGTCAGTATAGTGAGAAAACGTCGTCTATGAGCTAGCTGGTATATGCATTTGATGATGATGGAGCAAAATTGTCTGTAATCTCAAAGAGGTATGCAGTCACGACTTATCCTTGGTTTCACAGTGTTTAACTGCAGGTAAAACTCCTTCCGTTCCTTCTTCTGCCACGAAATACTACACGCGGTGCCGCGACTGCAAAACGCCACTAGTCGGTGCGGGATGGAGGATGCGCTGTGTCTCCGTGCCCTTATTCCATTTCTGCATACCCTTTGGATAACCCCACAGTACCTACGCGAAATTTGTGTGTTTCAATCGTCGTACTCTTACGGAGGTGGCCTTATAATCTAGTACAACAATTTTCTCAACGTACTAATCCGCCACGCATTTCGCGGGTAAAACTAACAGGAAAACAATGTGTCACGCAACAAGTGGATGTCGCCTCTACACATCTTCAGTGGCACATGTCGAAATCTCCTGTGTATAAGTAAGTACATCCACATGGCTCGGTTGCCAACTTGATATTCCACCCGCCTGTCTTGCTGGATTGCGTGTACCGTAGGCGTTGGTTTTCCAGTTGTAGCGCTGCGGAAACTGCGGTGCATCCCTGCGCAAGCCAGCAGGTACACTAGCCGTTCGCGTCTGCAACAATTGCTTAGGGTCCATCGTAGCATTAGCAGTTGCGACCCCTTCGGCAGTGTCTGTGCCACGACTACGGATCGGATGCAATGCCGCGACCGATCGACTACCGCTGCTGGTGCTGCCTCCCGTGAGATGAGAGAACAAGGTTGTCGATTGCGAGGGTATAAATACAGGCTACTTACATACGTAGTACCTCGAGTCAATGTATCAACTAGGTGCATTTCGAACTCCCGATAAACCGTTTGTATCTTTCGGAATACAAGGTGGTAGTCACTTGCAGTATCTACACAGAGGCGGCACGTGCATTGCATCATTCGACAGAAGATTTTCGGGCACCAGAGGTTCTAGAAATCAATCACATCAAGTGTCTGTGCTCATACCCAGTGGAGGTGCCGGTTTGAAGGTAGTCGCTGTCTCCGTAGAAATAGTGATAGTGCAGCCGTTTTCCACTGATCTTAGAAAAGAAAAAATCATCGAAAAATAATTATCATGTGGTATGAGGGATGGATAGGATAGGATAGGATAGGGTGCCTACGTTTCGCGGCCACACAAGGTGACTGCTCCACATCGGCGCATAGCCCCAAAGAGGACTTTTTGGGGGTCGTGGTTATCGCCCGTGAGGGACGTCAAACCAAAATAAAAGAAAATGAAATGGATTGGGGGTGGCCGCCTACTGCGTGCATTTATTCACACAGCTGCACCTGCAAGTTACGAGAAGGGGTTTAGTTCATTAAGTTGGGTGTGATCTTCCTTACTTACTTCGCCTTCTTACTTCGATCTTCATCATTTGCTGATGGGGTACTACCTCCTTGGCAGCGGAGCCTAGTTTTCGCTTGGGATCGGGATCATATATATTCTGTAGATTTTCATTCTCTTTCACGACACTTTCCTGACTTTCTGTTGGAACCACCTAAATTCACGCGCCGCCTGGAGACAATTATTCATTGAAAGGGTAAGGCTTATACTAAGGGATGATTTATCTCTGATCACATACTGACAACATACACACGTCACCACAAAATAATTCCATATCATCGCCCAAATATTAATTCTTGAACAAGCATACGATGATGTATACTTGTCCAGATGCTACAACTAGTACGGGACAACCATTTCCATTCTTAATATTGCTCGGAGGAGGTGGAGCCTGCTCACGCGTACGCCACTCGTCAGCATCTCGGAAGTGCCTCCACCCAAACTGCTGTCCTACAGGCTGAGTCCATTTTTTTAGCCATTCTGTTGCTTCTAATTGCGCTCCCGACCCACAGTTGTTCAACGAATCTTTCATTCCACACTGCGTATCAGCCCTGATCAGAAGCAAAGGGCGAGGTGTAGATTGAGCATTGTGACTTCGTGCCGGAGAGCACAACCCAGGAGAGTACAACACGGAAAGAACACAAACAGCTACAGCAGGCGAAAAATCTTTGTATAAGTCTAAGCCATTTCTACACGAAATCAAGGCATCTTCGTAATTTATTACCATGGTCGATGGCCGTAGGTATTGAATCGATGCTCCAGTGTTCGTGCTGGTCGCATATCGGGCATCCTTCCATCCACCTCACCGAGGTGATTCGTTTCTACGTACTCCCTCGCCATATTTTTCTGCGATATAGTTATATTTATCTATTAATTGCGCTGATGCGGTGATCATGCAAGTGCTATGTAAGTAGCGACTCTCCTTCACATGTTCACTTACCTTGATGTTTTCAGCGTGATTGTGGTAAGTTAGAAGTTTGGTTCTTGCCCGTAATTCATTAGATAGAATTGTAAGGTGCGACTCTCGGTCATGCTCATATGATACAAGTACTAGTGGGTGTTAGCAAGTGGCTCAAAGGGTACGACCTCCATGGAAGCATTGAGTTTCGCAAGAGACCTGATGCAAGAAACCGACGGAGGACCGAGCAGCACCGAAGGAGCACACATGACGACGCGCGTAAAAACCCGGAGGTTCCAAAACCGATGTCTTTAGATGACCGAGATTGGTGGGCATATGAATAGGCTGAAATGCCACTAATTTGAACCGATACGATCCGACAGAAGTATATTTTGGTCCTATAGTACTTCACGCATCATCCAGAGTCAAAAGGACGTGTAGATTAGGGCACTCCCTATCCGCAGCCGCATCGGAGTAAAGACAGAACCGAGTTGAAAGCTATAAACGGCGTGGCCAAGTACCAACGTCGTGCTGATTTCGGAAATTTCATAGAACTTCAAGGGAAACTAGGGGCTCACACGGTATCTTTCAGCAATGGGGAAGTGAAAATCTAAGTATCGGGATTAGTGAGTGGAAATCTCAGTTCGAGGACGAGGGGTTCGACATGTCGATTTAAGCTGGGGAAATCTCGACTCGGGGGAATCGCCAGCAGTAGGCAGGCCAACGAAAGGTTTTCAATCAACAGATATGATTTCTGGAAAGCGTGGGAATATCAAAATGACAACATGGTGCACCCCGCATGACATACTCTTACGCGGTATCCTTTAATGCATGAATCCAAGTTATCAGGTTCGTTAGTCTTAGATCCTCCGAACATATTTAATGCGTCCTCGCTACAGTTTTTGCACTTTTAGTACTTGCATCATACATGATAGCTCTTTGTCAGTAGAATTATGGTTTTCGTGATACTACTCATTTTTGTTGAAGGCAAATAGTGAGTACTGAATGACAGCAGGAGGTTCTTGGAAGAGGCCGGTAGAGGGGATACCATCTGTCCGGTCTACAAAAGGTGAGGAGGGAGTTAATATCTACGAGAGTCAGTTCATGCTTATCGTTCATGGATGCACAAGAGAGAAGATTATTCATGCGTATTGCATGTTTTAGAGCTCTGCATACTCTTACTCCTTGATTGAATGATTTTCAGCAAGGTTGTAATAACCTACAGCTACTTACTCGATTTTGTAAAATGTAACTTTGTGTTTGTGTGGGGTCGATTTTGGGAATACGGGATTATGTTGGTTACAGTCGCGATACAAAGCAGTCAGGTAGATAATGCTTCACTGCGTGGGTCAATCACTACAAAACGTCGCCCTTCCTGCTTTCACCTTCGACATACTGATATGACCACGAAGAACAATGACAGCGAACTTCTCGAGTCAGATAGACATACGTTTATAGAACTAAAATACCTACATATTACAAGCGTTTTGCACAACGAGTAGCAATCAACTAGTATTGCCTTCCTCTCTTCATTCTAGTGATGTTGTACCGGCACGAACAGACAAATTCAAATGATGTTATCTTCACCCATAGGCATAGTGTGAAGTTAATCTTGTTCCACCATATAGGTGTAGAATCATCTAAGAAATTCATTTCTGCGACTTCTAGACTTCTTAGTACTGGCCTCCGGCACCTGACGCATAGTTGCCGGCTGACCCATAGTTGGCATTATTGCTCTGATCCCACTGTTCGTCTGCGCCCTGCTCTCCGCCGAACTCGTCGACCTGGGTATCCGCGTAGCCCTCTTGATACGCTTCTGCTTCGTAGTCCCAGTTGGCGGTCTCGTCCCAGGTTTCACCACCGGCTTCCCACTCGTCACTGCCTTGGCCTTGCGTCAAGCGGCTCTTGCCTTTCGCCCGCATCACGAGAAAGCCAGCAACGCCTGTGACAAGGAGAACGATGATGAAAGCGATGAACAAGCAGCAAGAGCTGCAGCTGCCCCCCTCCTTTGGTGCGTCTTCCGTTCCTGCTTTCCCGTCTGATTAGAAGAGTGAAGTGCACGATCCAAGTCAAAAACCAGTCTCGAGAACTACACGTTTGACGGAGGATTGGTGGTGCACGTGCAAAATGAAGGTATCTATAAAAGATGGCGCTTTTTACGAATCGATTCATCTTTCTCTCGTACATCTTCATATGTACCTCCGCGCTGTCAAGTAGATTTCCCCTTGCAGGTTATTGTGATTGAGTCACGATGTATTGTCTTGAATTGTGATTCAATCGGTATTTTGGATAACATCAAAAAGGGCGCCTTAAGTTTGATCCGTGTCGTCATCATCCTCGCCATCTTTGGCCTTTTTGTCCTCGCCTTCTTCGCCCTCATCTTCGTCATCTCCCTCTTTCTTCTCCGATTTCTCACCATCCTTCTTTCCAGATTCTGCTGGCGGCACCGCGTCCCCACCGCAGCATGATGCTGATGAGTCATCACCGGTCTTCGCAGCCGGTGCACCCCCGTCGGCTTTCTTCCCGTCATCCGCCTCTTCACCCTCTTTGTCATCGACATCCTCAGCCTTCTTCTCCTCTTTCTTCTTCTCCTCTTTCTTCTTCTCCTCTTTCTTCTTCTCCTCTTTTTGATCATCTTCATCGTCATCACCTGGTGTTCGTAATCGTAAATCATGAGCGATATAACAGACGGACGTAAAAAAATATTTTCGACATGAGTTTCAAATGTCACAGCCTATCATGGTAACCTACCTACACCACAAAACTTCTGCATAGGAGGATCATGATGGAACAACCATATCAGAAATGATCAGCAAGATTCATCAAGAGTCCTTTGTATTTTATTAAAGGAGCTAAGCTCGTATTTTATTAAAGGAGCTAAGCGTGAGAACTATGCTCATTACCCGTAGCAGCGGCGACTCTGCCCTCCTCAAGTTTCCGATTTTCATGAACGATTTCAAGAAAAGCGTTGTTTGACGCACGTCTGCTTTGCCTCGTCTCGACACTCGCGCGACCATTCGAGAAGGCGAAGGAGAGGTAGTCGTGATTTACCTGTGACAAGGACCAGTTGAATCACGACCATCCATGCCCGACTTCACAATTCTGTGAAGCTTAAAACTCTTAAGAAAAACGATGACCTCCTAAAGCCTCCACATAGAGAAGATGAAGTTGCACTGCTTCAGTTTTAGACCAAGGGCCCCGATGTTTAATATGTTCGGAAAAGGTACTACGGATTTTAGACGAATATCATGTGGGACGCAGTTCTATCTGAGCTTTTCATCCGAGTACGCTCAGCGCGCTAATGTTTCTGGTATCCTGTCAAATCTGCCTGCACTGATTAGGATTTCTTCTTCTATTATGCTAGTCCACTACGTAGTACCGAAAAGGAGATCGTAGCGAAGCTCAGAATGGCGAGCAGGATCAGCTTCGACCAGCCGCTGGTGGTGCGGGAACGGATCAGCACAGCGTCCACACTGGAAGGATAGACCCGATCTTCATGGTCGTCCACCAAACTTCGCATTTCGAGCGCATCGACATTTGGATTACGTCGCGCCATCTTATCTGTTTTTTCGATGATGTCGTAGACCTACTGCGATGTCGAGGTCTCAGCAACCGAGCTAGTGACGTTGATGAAGACGAGATGCAGTCAGCGATTGCTCTGGAGAAGCGTTGATTTACCGTGTGGTGACTTAACGGAGCATGCTGCTATTCTCGGACGGACCAATGCAACAGCGGTGCTTAAAAATCTTGTATCGATCTCCGTCTACTTCTTTTGCGGTCAGTAGAGCTGTGGATTTTTGAGTGTTTCCGGTCTCTTCTCTGTACTCAAATAGCGCTACAGTAACAAACCGCAAATATCTATAATGAGATGGACCGAGGAATACCAAAGTACTGACATATTCCCTACAACAAACAAAAAACGGTCTGAGCCTAGAACTCAGAACTTGCTGCAGTTTTCGTGGTGTTCGTAGTATCTATAAGTAACATTCTTACTAGTTCTCGTTTCAGCTGGATTCAGCTTGCAAGGACACAGAATGCAAAAGCAAAGACTTCCTACATACTACATCAACCATACGTGTACTATCTCTTCGCTTCATCCGTAAATAACATCTAACAACGCGACATGCTGCGGGGTGAATGAACAGTATATGAGCTTGGGAAGATGTGGAGATCCTTGAACCGACTTGTGAAAATTGACCGAATTCGCTGTGTAGTACTCGCAAAAGCCGAAACTGAGGCTGCAGTCTGTGTGTCACCAATATTCACTGGATTCCGACGTCTCACCGAACCTGATTCCGACGTCTCACCGATCCTGCTCTTTTTCTCCTGCATCGTTGCAATAAGTACTTCTCACAGTTAAGGCACTACTCTAGGTAGTATCGACAATCTATCATCATTCTATCGACTCGTTAGTACAACTCCTGAAAACTTGGACCGATAATGTTGCATGCTCCTACCGATGTCGACAATGAATAGGGTTCGTTGAAAGCGCCAACGCTTGCTACAAATCCGATGATGCTCGACCACGGACCGATCACGTTCATCGATGCGAACACTGAATAGAAGCTTATGAAACTCAAGACATACTTTTCATTAGGTTCAGTCACTCTTGACAAAAAATCTACTCAATGGGCTATCAGAAACGAACGAAAATTAAGATTGTTGAGTTGGTGTGGGGAGAAGTGACTGCAGGCCTGGGTTCGTTGTATAATTTGGAAAAAATGGGAAATCGTGGGGAATCATTAAACTTTGAATCCTCTAGGAGAAGAGATTACCCAGGTGGATATAAGTACTTCAAGCGAATATTTGGGAAGGTGGAGGAAAAATTGATACTCGCTAGATCACTTCAGCACCGGCATATTCATGCCGAACTTTCCATGACTATCACGATCAGTGCTGACGCTACCAGGGTTGCTGGTTGTGGTTTCGTTACTGCTTCGTTATGATTTACTTCATTGTTCACTTGTCGTATCTTGTCCTTCTATGCGGCACCCGACGTATACCGTCTAAGCTATGTTGATCTACTCACGATGGTAAACTTTCTTGAAATTCTTAAACCTGAATCAAACACGAATGTTGCAAAGAAAATGATGACATAGCGATCACAACGAAACCATTCCAACCACTGAGCACCACATAAGGCACGAAGAGATTTATCAATGTGCACTCATTGTAAACGTAGATCATTTTCCAGTTCCAGCTGTGCCGGACTCTGTCTTAACAATCGATGCACAGTCAGAAGCAGGACGATGAAAATTATTTGATAAGTTTCGTCCTCTACGCGCTCGATAATGACGTTCCTGCAAAATCCATCGTACAATGTAATTACGTCCCTTCATCAGCAGATGATCATCCACTGTGTTGTTTTCGTGACCATCGACAAAGAGAAACTCTTTAGTTGAAGTCTTCGGACATGAGTAGCTTTCCCATCATAGCACCCAGACTCATGAGATCTTTACCGGATACCGTAAATGCCCGTGTCTTCGAACTCAGCCGGCGCTTTCTCTCCGCCTGACGCTCTTCATACCTTGCACGCAGCAGATCCCCCCATCGATGGCGTAGTCGGGTCAACTCCAAGAGCTGCAGATTTGTTTTGAAGATTCTACCCTTACATTGGAGGTTTGTCATAAACAACTCTGAATCAATCTCCAAACGCTACCACTGAGAAAGTTGTGGCCATGATCTCTGATCCTCAGTATGGCTCCCAAGTGCTATACATATATGTTCCAATCAGTAGAATCCGCGCCCAGTTTTGACGCCTTCCACCACTAGAATCCGCAAAAATCAGCGCGGAAAAGAGCGCGCGAGCCCCACCACAGGGCCATCCACAGGGGGGGACCGTGCAGCCCCAAATCATATATAATCTAAATCCATCGCTATCCTTATCCAGCAAAAAACTTAGCACATGCATAATTGTACCATGGCTCTTGCGACGCGCTGCACATCGTTCAGTCCGTTGCGTTCACGAGGGTCCGGCTCGTGCTTCGTCCACTGAGATACGAGCTCCAATGGCGTGTCTTCGCTCGCAAGGTGCACGCTATCGCAATAGGCAGCAGTGATAACGCCATTTATCCTATTCGCATAGGTTCTTCCAAGCAGGCGCTTTCGACTCAGCACACCTACCATGCCAACCATTGAGTAGCCCGCTGGCTTTGTAATCCACTCATACGGATCGAAGTGCACCAGACCGGTGTCAAGATGCACACGACCAATCATCCAATATCGGCCATGCGTTCCGCCGTTCCGAGCTACGAATTCTATCTGCACAACAGCCTGAATACAATTTTTTCGACATTCATGAGAGTAGCGTGAACATCAAGTCAAAAAGAGTGAAAATGAGAAACAAGCTGAGTAGAAATGAATGCAGAGAGGACCCTCATCTTGTAGTTCTTCAAATATGTTACTTCTAAGTACCTTCAACTCTCGGACTGGTAGGTTTGGATTGGCCGGCGGGACAGGCAGGATACTTTCGAACCGGACTTTTGTATCTGTGAAGCCCTGGACGCAGAGGTATGTGCCTTCTAGTATGACCCCTTCTTCCAGCCAGAGCAAGGGGTTCGTCTCATCCCGGCCCTCACTTCGGAACGCATCTAGGATCCAGCGCGTCGCATCTCTGTACTTTTGATCCACCACTTCTAAAGCCGCTGATTCTTCTGGACCTACTTGCCTTTCGCAAGAGTTACCGTCGACGTCACATGTGGAGGCTTCACAGCTTGTGGTTTGTGCTGATGCTGATGTCGGCGCACCAGAGGAAGACAGTGGCGTCGGCACCGATGATGCGGGGTCTTCAGCCCTTGCTGCATCGAAAGTCTTTGTAGCAGTACCAGGAGGCGCAGCCTCACGAATACTGGCTGCACACTTCGCACGCTCGACAAAATCGGTCGGCGAAAAAGAGGTAGAGCACTCCGACGCGGAACCCTCGCCTGATACTTTCCTATCATCATGAGGATGAACACTTCTTCTAATGTCGTCTGTAGATGGCACGTGTCTCCCCGCTGCTCCAATGTCTAGAAAGGAATTCTCGAGGCTCACCGCAGGCCGATCAAGCGACTGTACCGTCGGACGCTCCTCCAGGCGTAGGTTGGCACCTACACTATTGACACTGCCTCGCTCGCTGCTATCTGCGCTAGAGTTCCGGAGCACATCGATTCCACGTGCGGCACACGCAGTTACGAGAACGGTATTGTTCATCACGTCCGCTGACAGTCCTCCTAGAGAACCGTCGTCGTGCCTTACCTGAGCACTGCAAGCTCGCTGTAGCTCGGTAGAAGTCATAGCACCCAAGGCCTCGGCTTCATTGTCGCCGAAAATTTTTATCGCAGGGACGTCCTCTTCCCTCGTCCTCGATGCGTCTGCTGACTCTGAGTCCACTATCTGCTCGCCATGGTCTGAAAGTAGTCTAACAGAAGATTCTAATCTTGTTGTATCTGCCTGATCTGGCGATGTCCTTGTCCTCTCCGCTGAAATATTATTGAGGCCCGCATTTGCTGTGGTGGCTGCCGTTTCCTGAAATGCCTTTCCCAGAACAGAATTGCCTTGATGCTGTCCGCCACTGCCCTGTCTTGTCCTTGCAAATCTGTATTGGACTTGCCGGCGCTCGTTCTTCCACACTTTCTGCGCCGTGTCGAGGTACTCTTTCGAGAACGTACCGAAGTTCTTGTAATCTCGGAAAGCATCCATGACCGAAGAAAAAGCGACAGAACGGCGCTCCACCATAGTGCGAAACATGGCCTCAAAATTCTCATAGTCATCCACAAGGCCCTTGCCTTTCCTCAAGAATAACTCACCCAAAAAGCCGAGCAAATAGCCCGCTTGCTCCAGAAAACGCGCTACTGCATTCATATTAGATTTTGTTCTTCCTACAGCCCAGCTCTGCGCGCTGTTGGTGACTGTGGCGACTGCATCAGCATGCGCTTTGCCAGCACCTGCAGTTCTCCTCCGCTGATGCGCTAGTACACTAAATTCTTCGCCCTCTGATAAACTCTTCTCGGGCGAACCTCGTTGCTGACTTTCTGAGTCGCTCTCAGCAGATGACCCCTCCCGAAGGCCGAATTTCCTACTATGGGCTGAAGAGGTAGAGGAAGTACTAGAAGTAGCATCTTCAGCTAATGGTTCGTAGTTGTTGTTCGCCCCGAGAGCAAACCCGCTCTCAAAGTATGCCGGATGCTGGATAAGGTCCTCTAAAATCTGTTGAAGGCGCTCTGAGGTAATCTCTGCTGACGGCACGATCTCCCACCCTTTTGCGGCAGTACGGTCAGTGTTTTTATCCAGCTCATCCCGCACAAGCGCCTCCAAGTTCTGAAATCTAACTTCGCTCTCGATTGCCAAATTCCTGTCTCCGACTTGTTCACCATCGGGGAGCGGACCCATATCACTGTTTCGACTGGGAGTCGGCTCTTCTCCAGTTGCTGCACAAGATGTTGATGTAGTGCCAACTCTAGCTTTTGCCGCTTCCTCCTTTTCCCAAACCGTGGGCTCATTCTGAAAGCGCGCTGCGTACATGCTGTAAGCCATTTTACCGCGCAGCCTTGGGGAGTCCACTGCGCCTACCATGTAATTTCGCAAATGCTGCATCTTTCGCGCCGATGCCGCAGCGCGCGCCGCTTCTTGCTTTTGCTCTTCATCGTCGTCGTCCATGGATTTTTTGGAACTGCTGCTCTTCGATTTTTGGCTGCTCTTCCTAAACCTTGACAACTGCTCACGCTCGCGGTCGGTAATCTTCCGCAATTCCATGCTCGAGTCGGCCAGCAGTTCGTTGGAGTTGTACGCTAGTGCGACGCCCGACAGGTCATTCACGTGGGTGTTCCCGGCACGAACCACCTGCACGACACTGGACCGGGGATCCAAGTCCAGAGGCCGCGGCTCCATAGTTCGGGAAACCAAGAAATCAAGCGTCTTGGGGTACGTCAAAAAAAGATGGGAGCGGGCACTTTCGTGAAGTGGGAACTTTGGGATGTCTTCTACCTCGATTTAGAGCATCCCTGAACTCATCTTTAGAGTCACATTTGACTTGTTTTCTGTTCAGAAAAAAACGAGTCAAAGGAGCAAGCGGCTGCTTTTCAAGATGAATTGGCGCAAAACTTAATCTATGGATAGAAACGGCTCACCCTGGAGGGCAAAGGGCGAATTGTAGGGAAGCCGCCTGGGAGCCATGTCTAACTCCTCCAACGCTGGCAGAACGCTACCCGTATCGCTCTGCTTTCCATGCTTCAGCCTCACCGCTGCTGCGGTAGAGCTGAGGGGAAAGTGATAGTAAAACCCACCGGGAATCATGTAACCAAATTTGCCACCTAAGCCTACGGCCTTATCCGGCTGCACTACAAGAGAGCGCTCAGCTGCTGCCTCACCTTTCCTGCCCAATTGCCGCTCCTTCTGACGAAAGCCCGCCGGCATGAGGTCAGCATAGAGCTTCTCGGCGAGCTCACGGTCTTGATATGCGTACACACGCTCCTCGCGCTTTTTTGGTTTGTCGTCAGATGGACCAAAAATATGCTCTAGCATACTTCCCGCACTTTTCTTCTCTTCTTGCTCCTGTAGCCACTTGGGTGGGATCCATAGCTGCGTGCGCCCTAGAAAGTCGTCGGCGTTGTACGCGCTGAATGCCAGAGAGCCGCTGTTGCCGCCGCAGCGCATGTGGAGCCACGCAGACGAGACACGCTCGCAATAGTGGCGATTCGCCCTCAAGAACGCACCGTACGCGAACCAGATACCCCATCGCACGCCCTCTAATTCATCAGTCACAGCGTCGCCGAGTGACTGTCCGAAGTCCGGCCACATATTGGTGTACTTGCTCTCGTCCTCAAACGAAGGCTCACGCAGAGCGGTGCGAAAAGTATTCCTCTCTGATCCGCTGAAGGACTTCAATATTCCAGCGTTCACCATGAAAAACTTCTCGCCCCAGATCGCACCCTCGGCACGACGCATCATCTCGTTATACCACAATTCCTTGTACGCCGCCGCGTCCCACAACTCGCGCGCGTCCTGCACGTATCCAAGTGTGAAACTGTGCACGCCCCATGCCGGACCCGCTCTCGAAGTTGTTGAATCTTGAGAGCCAGAAGATGAAGAGGACGGTTCCTCCATGATTTGTTGCGAACTGGGTGTCGAGTGCACTTTGGAATTTTCTGGTGCTCGACGCCAGTGAAAGTGAAGAGCATCCACGGTTTCCATCGCGCCCTCGTCGATACGCACAAACCGAAAACCTGTGTGCCGCTTCCGCCGCATGCGGCGCCGCACAAGCGCACGTCGCGCAGCCTCTGACATCTTCTTCTTGTCTGAGCTAGTGCTAGTTCTTGATGGGTCGCGAGCTCGACGACGCGCAGCGGCTTTTTTCGCAGCAGCGTTCTCCTGTGCATGATGACTATGCAGGACCTGATTGCGATTACACCGCACTCCTCGCTCGTTTCTCACTCGTTCTTGTTTTACGTACACCGGGATCACTTTGCGTGGTTGCATACCACGTTCGGAATTCCCCCATTGCTCTGCTTCGCTTCTGCGAGAGTGGCGCTGCGTCTTCTCTCCCTCACTCGCCAGGGAAAAATGATCGTAGGCAGTACGAACGGTAGAGGCTTCGGGCTCAATGTGCAGAAGTGAAAGTCGTGGAAAGTGCCTCAAGACACGACCACGAGCTACGGTACCATCTTCATTATCTCGGTAAAAGACATTCGTCCCGATCGGGCAGGCAACGGAGTCGACCTGCAGATCCAAGGAGACGGACATGGAAGTTCCAATTTCAAATAATACAAGTGCATGCTAAATAAAAGGAACATATCTATCATTACATTTGAATCTAATAAGGCAGACCTTAGATGAGGGACTTGTAGAATCAGTAGCGCATTGACGTACCTCCCCAGATCGACGCTGATGCAGCGTTTTTCGCCACATCTCGACGCCCTGCTTTGTCGCCGAGATCTCAAGTACGCTTGGCGTGTCAACCCTGAAGAAAACAACCAGCTCACGCACAACTGAGTACTGGCGAAAATGCAACGACGGCTGTGCGACACGAGGCACATATCCTTGATGTCCCAGATCCCAGAGGCCTTGCGGATGAAACTTGACGCGAAGTCGTTTCTTCTGCTTCGCTTCTAGAGGAACGTGATTGAACTGCTGGTGGTGTTTCCTCTGGAGATGTGCCTGTTCTGACTGGAGCTTCTTCTCTTGTGCTTCGACGTCAGCGGTGCTCCAAGCAGCTTGTGTCAAACGCGTGAGAGCAGACGACACGACTCCCATCTCGATGTCTTCTTTCACGGCAACCTCACGTGCTGCCTGCACCTTCACTGCGCGATGCCGGCGAAAGACTTGCTTCCCATCGACGACCAGGGCCTGTCGGTTTTTTTGCTGCTCGCGGAAAAACCAGTCCTTGGTGACCGCGGTGATCTCCGTGGATGTGTCATCCGCCGAAAAGATTCCCGGGTCAACCCCAGTGCGCCGGACCACCTCGTCTGTGTACAGGATAGTATCGTTCCTCTGCATCAATGAGTTCAGTGTTGGAATAGTGTGAATGCGCTCACGGTAAACAGCTTCTGAGGCTGCCTCCGTCAAGCGAAAACGGGCCATCTTTTCCTGCGCTCTCTGCTCCGCCTCCTTTGCTCGTCGCTGCTTTCTCGCTGCAGCGTCCTCAGCATCCTCGTCATCATCCAGGCGATCCAGCTCTGCCGCGCTATTCTCTGCTTCCTCATCCGCCGCCTCCTGCTTCGCTCTTTGTCCCGGATTTGGCAGTCGAAAAATGCGCTCGGGGGCTTCAACGCTAGGAAGCATTTTGCTTGACAAAGATGCACCACCAGCAGCGTTCAGCGACGTGGTGGATGACGCTAAGGATGTTGCCTCGGAACTACCTTCGGCTGCAGTCGCTTCAGCCGCAGCAGTACCACTGCCCATTGCGACTGCACTAGAGGAAATCGCTCCGCCTTCGGCTGTCGCCATTGTACTTTCCCCACTGGTAGCACGACTATCCTCCTTCTGGGATATTGTTGCGCCTTCATTGGCGGACAAGCCCTTTGAGCCTGCACTAGCGATAGATGCAATTTCCTCGTCAAACCATTGATCCTTTTTCTGGGTCATACCCAAAGCGAAACTCGCAAAGCGACGCTCTTGATTGTCCAAATCCATAAAAAATTGACGCAGTCGAGTCACATGACGCGCTTTCTCTCGCGCATCGTTGTACTCGGAGCTGACGACTCGCAACAGCAGATCCGAAATGTCCTTTCGCTTTTCGTTCCACCAATCGCGACTTTTGTCAACCACGTTCAATTCCACCACACTTTCCCGGTCCTGGGCAGACAATGTTGGCATAGTCGGGATGTTAGGCAACGACTTAGTTGTTACAGGGCACGACTTTTTATCCAACGTTGTACTTGATGTTTCTTCTATTGCACCCGTAGATGTAGTGTCCGCCTCTCCATTTTCCCTAGCAGTAGTTGTACTTGCATTCTGGTCGAAGATCGCTGCATCAACGATTGTGTTGTTTTTCGAAGTGGCTGCGGTGCTATCATCGTGCTTACAATCGGTAGCATTCGGAAGGAGAGTTAACGCCTTCTCTGTGGCCACCGCGACCACCTCTTTGCGAAACGCTTCGTAAGCCTCCTCTCGTGTTTTTAAGGCAGTCTTAGCGCGCGCAGCAGCCTGCCCACGCCGCAGCTCTTTCATGGGGTTCACGTGCTCGTAGGACGCGCCGTTCGCCATCGGCCACAGCGCAAATGTGCCATCAGTAATGAAACGTGACATTCTTTCGGTAAATTTCAGACCGTGAATGTAGCCCCGGTGCTGCAGCTCCAGGACTGAGTTGTCCCACAGAATCTCGTGCAGCTTGCGGGCCCATTGCGCGTAGCTGTCGGACGCGAGTGCGACATAATTCACCTCTTCATTACTGTACGCAAGTCTTGACAAGCCGTAGTCGCCCCAGACACCGCTGGCTCCAGGGAAATACACGCGGTGTCTCGTACGGGCCACACGTCGCCGTCTCGGATACACAATGTAGTGCTTTTGCGCCCCAAAAAAACGTCGTTGCGCGGAAAGCAGGTGCTTATCCGGAGTAAAGGGTCGCAGATGGCTCTCTCTACTAGCTCTTGTCGGGGAAGAAGCAGCGGTCAAATCCTGGTCCACAGTTTTCTCACTATCGGCCGCCGCTTCGCTCGGTGGAGACGCAGCAACCGTTTCTGCTGCAACATGCTCGACAACCGCTTCGACGCGCGGCAGATCCGCGTTCTCGGAAACACTCTCCCCTTCTGCAAGTCCGACAAGGTGTTTCGCTGCACAATCTTCGTAACAGAAAGGCGTTCCTTCCACCGCAGGCGGGAAGTCGTCCAGTCGACTGAATCGTGACTCGATGATGAAAATCTGTTCACGATCGTCCTGGTCAATCTTTTTGTGGCCTGAGCGTTCAGTTTTAGCGTGCTTCAAGCCCGCCTCTTCGAGGATCTCGCCGACCGGCCGATGTTGCGGCCATACCCAACGAGAATACAAAATATGTTCTGGCGCTTCTTTTCGTCGGGCAACGATTTCTGCATGTATCTAATAAGTAAGTTTGATTGAATGGACTTTAGTTGAGAATTTGAGAAGCAAGAGACTGAGACTGAAACTGAAACTGAGGCGACTTCATCTTTCGGCAAAAGATATAAGTGCAGTTTTTTGTTCTACCTCAGCTTGTTCCGCGTGGAGTAGAAATGATATGCCAGTATGACAGTCGTTTAGAGACATCAAAAACCAAAAGCGCTGATCGATTTGAGCTAACTTCAAAAAAACTAAGTAAGCAAGAAAAGTCACAATGTTGATACATGTTCCGCCGAACGTGCACAGAGCTCTCCTGTTTGAACTAGTGTACGCAGTCGACCGCCTTCCTTTGGAAAAATGTCGGTAAATATGGGCATAGTTTGTTCAGTATACTGCTGACGGTCGTAGAGTGAATTTGTGCCCAACTGCAAGCGCTTCATATACATATCTTTGTCAGAAATCTCTGCGCCCATAAAATTACCAGGAAAGTGGCGTGCCGCGAATTGCGTAAAGACACTAGAGTACTTCTCCGCTCCGGTGTGAATCTCGCTTAAACTTCCGCTTGTCTTTGATGTAGAACTAGTACGTTGTAAGCCACCCTGCTTAAGCCTCTCAGACAAGGTCACGACGAAGTCTTCAGGCAAAAAAGCAAGAGCCGGATTAGGCCCAGTGTCGTCATTGTGTGTCACACGCACCCCGGTCCCAGAGTATTTCGAGGCAGCACCTTCCTGCAAATCCGCATTTCGTGCGTGGATGAAGGAGCCGTACTTTTTCACTTGATTACCACGCCACGTCTTTTCGTTTTCCGTGTAGTAAGGACTCTCGTACAACCGGAAGTGCTCTCCGCGACCTTCCATTCGTTTGATCTCTTTGAAGCGGTCCCGCTGTTGCTCCTCTTCATTCACTTTTGTGGTGGTGGTGGTAGAAGTCGTTGTGGTCTTTGTCGTCGACGCCGTTGTGGTCGTTGATGTTGTCGACGAGGGTGCTTCCGTAGTTGGAGAGTCCTCGTCGAGCGCATCCAACTCCGCATCCTCGTCCACAACCTTTCTCGACGCGCTTGCACCTCCTCCACTGCTCCCGCCAGCAGCCTGCTGCTGCCCTCCTCCACCAGATGGTGTTTGGCCACTACTTCCTGTTGATTGCCCTGATGTGGTACTAGCCGCGCTCTGCGACCCCTCCCGGGCCGTTTGTCCTCCGCTACTGCCCGTCGTTTGTCCTCCACTACTGCCCGTCGTTTGTCCTCCACTACTGCCCGTCTTTTGTCCTCCACTCCCGGTTTCAGAGTTGCTGGCCTTCCGCTCTACATATTTGCTCTTTTCGACTGCCCCACTCTCCCTCTCCGACGCAGTATTGTTTTTCGCGGTAGTGTTCGATTTCGAACTACCGATTGATGAGGATTTCTCATCCTTGCTTCCCTTATCCTTGTCCTTATGTTTTCCAAAGAGACTGGAAAGTTCACCGCCCCCGGCAAATTGTATTTCTACATCCTCCCCTAAATCCGTACCTGAAAGCAGCGACTCCAACGCCTTCCCTAAAGCATCAGCTATCTCATCAGCACCGCCGCCCGCTTCAAGAGCAACATTATTCGCGATAATTCTGCCCACGTATTAGAGAATATGTAAAATGAGATAAGTACAACTTCCGAATGTAGACAACTTACGAGATTGACTCTACCTTTGATTTATGATGTCTAAGTGCTGATAGAACATCACTGAAATCACGAAACTGTCCCACCCGAAAGGATGATGTGTAGACAGATAGAATAAAACGTGATCCGCTACAGGTGACTAGGAATAGAGACAACAAAACAATCTCTTCGGCGTTGGACTATCAAGAAACGAATTTTCTAAATAGTAAACAATCTGTCTGTGTACGAATTCATAAAATTTCGCACCGCTCCCCGTACTAGACTTGGATGTTGAACTCGCATCTTTGCTGGACTCTCTGACTATTGCACTACTTCGTTCCGCGGCATCCGTCGTTGGCAATTCGCTTTCCGCTGTCCCGTCTCGAAGTATGGATGAAGAAGCATGCCTCTCGCGGAACCTGCGAAACAACCCAGAGGAATGCCACTGCAGATACTGGTTCAGTGTCTTCAGCGCATCCTCCGCAGCCTCCGCACCAAACAGCCGACGCGACAAGACCTGATAAAGAGAATTGATGTCCTCTAGTAAGCACTACATTCTGTTTGTTTATTCAAGGTACTCATTCTACTATTTGAGTCGTAAGAAAATTTAAATTTATTGCTTGTAACAGGAGAAGTACTAGTGGTTGTACCGTATCTCCTAGGAAGTTTGGAGAGTCCGAGCTTCTGAGGCAATACGGTCCCTCGGCAGAAGTGCAAGATTGCGGCCCAGTCTCCTTCCGCGCCTTCACGTCTCGCTCCGAGACAACCACGCGTTCTCGAATGTCGCGGATAAGCGATTCATAGCCATTAGGAACCGACAATGCGGCGTGCACCGTCAACCACAAACTGCAACATTGCAGTACTAGGAGCAGCGCACAAGCCGCAAATGAATGGGAGCTGAAGAAGAGGTGCATTTTCGGAGTTCTTCAGCCTTGGCTTTCCCTCCTGTACTCCAGAACAAATGACGCGTCCGTGGAGAGCAGTCGTTTTATACCGAAGACCACAACGTGCCTTACTCTAACGAATTGAGTCCTCGACTCGAGCAACTGCGGGCAAGACACGGAGCTTCGTTTTCACATCACATGTTTATGTACCCGCGTCTTCCTAAAAAATTCCTCACTGTGATGTCTACTCAAATTAGATTAGTAATTTGCTGCAGGTAACCCATGACACCAGGGAAACTGACCAAGAACTCACTTCTAGCATTAATAGTTCTAGTCCACTCGGCTGGGACACAACGTTGAGTGCTGGTGACCCGTATTTACGTATTTCTTTTCCGCACTGTCCGCCAAGAATCGACAATGGCAAACTTCTTTCTCTGACAAATACGCGTTTAGAAATGTACTGGTCCACTTTTTGCACCACAAGAATCAGACCAGCCTTCAGGACCAGAGGAACAGATACAGAAGAACAAATTCTACCTACTTAAGTGACAACTTCAGCGCAAGATCAGGAGACACGAATCGGAATCATTGCAAATTCTTACAGTCTAACACATCAGAACGATCACATTCTTTGCACCACCAGTTGCATCTCTGCGCAGCACCTACAACTAAGTAGATAGTCAAACAATTCAGTCACTTTGCCAAAGGTACAACCCAATCTCATTTCGATGAATTTATTCAGATAGATTAGGATTACCTTACCATTACCAAAACAACGAAGAATAACAAATTTCTCATATACATTTCACGACTGAATTCCGATGACACAAGGAAACAATAAACAGAGAAAAGGGAATCGAGGATCACAAGAAAGGTACACTAATAATTAATGGACTGCACAAATAGTTATTCTATGTATCACACATACCGTACATGGAAAACCATAATGAAAAATTTACGAGTTCTCCAAAGGAAAATGAAATAAACGGTCAACAAAATATGCGAGCAAAGGATGCCACGACCACCTGTAGCTTTTCCGTGATGGAAACTAATTATCTTTATAGTGCTTACTTGTGAGTCAACAGCGAACAGGGAGGAAATATGCAAAAAAAGGAAGTGGTAGAAAGGGATTGGTATAAATTAAGACACTGTTTCACATTGAAGACGCCATCCAGCTTTGGAACATGAAGATCCATGAAACCAAAGGTGCTTCACCTTGGTGGATAACTTATTCCATTGTTTCTATTGGAATACCACCTGAAGACAGGATCTCGTATAGTGAATTTAGTCCACAGAGGACAACTCGATCAACATTGACGTGTTGAGGGAGGATATTTAATATTCTTCAAGACGACCTGACAAGAGATGAACGCGGAACGGAATGAAAAAAAGGGCCTGGTGTAGTCGCGTTAGGTGCTTTGTCTTTCTCGGAGAACACAGGCTAGCGCTCAGATCTAAGGTGCAGTTCTAGCCTCTAAGTGTGAAGTAGATTCTTAAAACCTCGTTTCTTCAACAGGGACATGTAGCCACAGGCCACTCCCTCTTACCAACCAATGCTTATTCAATATGAGTTCTCGCTCGATCTCGCTCAGTTTTCTCATTCTTTCGTGCGCTGATGTTTCCTTTTCCACACACTGTTTAGGATACGATAATTGTTCTTTGGAAGTGGTATCAACTAGATGATTTGGAAGAGGATGAGATCCCTTATTCCTTCGCACTTCGAAGACTTGCACTACTCGGAGACAATCCTGCTCAGCGTTGTAAATGAGATCAGTCCTTGTTGTGCTGCTCTGACGCAAGAGTACCCTAATCGGCTTCGTGCCACAGGCCTCAGCAAACTCCGCAGCCACTGTTTTCTGAAGCGCAGTCGCAGCCTTAGCAGCCGTGTCTTTTGCCCGACCCAGGTCCGACGTGAATCCCAGCGTCGTCCTAGCTTCTCCAATGTCGTTGCGAGTCCGCGATATCGTTTCTTCTAGATGCGATGCCACAAGTGGACGCAAAATCGTCTCGATTTCATTCGCAAAAATTGCACGTAAACCGTGGAATATCCATTTCGAATCCTTCGCTTCTGGGCTGTCGTCGTGCAGTTGCTTCTTCGGTGGCGCGAACGAGCTGAAAACAGCGCGCATCTCTTTAGACCACCTTTCTTATATTTGCTTTGAAAGAGGCGCATCTTCTTTAAAAATGTTTTTTACTTTGAAAGCATTGATTGCCAGTTAAGATGCTTCTCGGGAAAAGTGGATCTGTGTGCCAGGCAAGCCTTAATCTCTCGCTCTAGATCCTCCTCGCTCCCGCTGCTTCGTCCACAAAAGAATAACTTTGTGTTTGTACAAACCATCTGTGTTTCGCTAGCACTCTCCCATGCACCGCCATGAAGTCCCCTACTTTTTCCAGCGTGCAACTCCACCAGCGGTGCCATTTCGAGCCTGCCGGGATAGGGACCAACAGCATCCACGAAGACAGTTGCGGGTAGAAGCAAAGGGAGCAACTTTGTCGATGTAAGTGTCATTTCCGGTTCATGTCCATTCTTTAGCGCGGAAGTAGCGCCAAAACCTGCCGCAGATGCAGATTCACTGTCGTCCACTAAAAACGACAACCAGCCCTGCACGCGGAACAGGTCTCCCTCGCTAAGTAGCGCTAGTAACAATGCAACGTGTCTGTCAAAGTCTAAAACTGTGGAGTCGTCGCCAAAAACGCAACCGGTCTGGAATGTGCGGTCGTGCTCGGCCCTATTGATTTTGAACAGTTGCGGCGTGAAAATGGAACCAGAAAAGAGCTGGCTGGAAAAACATTTTACGTCTGCGCAGTGGAATAACCCGCAGTCCTTACATGCACCAGACGACACCGTGCTCCTGTTGTTGGCGGCTCTCCAATTCCGAAGGTGCAAGACGGACGGATTGTTGTCATCCGCGGGTGCAAAGTGTGCTCGTCGTCCTGCATCTTCGTTATCTTTGGCGTTTGAATCTACTACTTCATCACACGAACCGCTATTTTCAAGGAAGGCTTCCAAATCCGATACATCTACGGTCAACCTCGTCTTGGCAGCCCATTTCACAACGCGACCCTGATCTACTTCATCTCCGTTTCTGCTGAACTTCGCGCTCTTGCATTTGTTCGCAAACCATTGTAACAAGTCGCTGAAGGCGGAGGTGGTGCCTTTCTGTTCAAAGTGATTCACAATGACCAAGTCCGCAACCGCTAGCTGATCCATACCGCGTGCTGGCAGCGATGAAGAATCGGAGGGCGAGGTGGAAGAGTCACAAGGAACGTCAAAATTCATCATCTTCTTTGCTGGGGTATCATCAAGAACCGTGGTCCTGCTTTCCTTTTTCAGAGTCTGTTGCCACCGCAGCGCGTCCACCACGCAGAGGACGCCCCAGAGTTCGAAGTGCGACGTTATTACGTGCTCACTGCAGAACACCCGCAAAAACGGCTTTGGATCCGCTAATCCGGTGGTTTCCATGAACAGAACAAAGTGGTCCAATTCTGCATGATTATTTGACGCAAGTTCAGATCTGCTGAACTCTCCAGCAACCTCCGACAATTGTCGCATAAGGTCGCCATCGGGTGCGCAGCACGCGCAACCAGAGCCAAAGTCGTACACCTCGGAAAAGTGTGCCACGTGATACAGCACGTTTGTTTCCTGCAGCTCTGTAGTTTGTGTAGTTGCCGCGGTGTACTCCTCAGGTGCCGGGAAGGACTCCAGCATAGCGCTCTTCGCATGGCGATGACGGATGAGCAGCGCCTTTGTCTGCTTTGGCAAAGCACGTATCAAATGTGCAATCAGCGCAGACTTCCCGCTGCCGGTCTGGCCCGTCACCAAGAAGACTGGGATTTTTCGGGAAGTAGACACCATTGCTTTTTCACATATTGACTCTAAGAAGCAAATCTTGATAAAACGCTAAGGTACAGATTGCTAACAATCTCGGTATTGCTCACGCCAGCCTCTGCAACACAGTTAGTTTGTAAGAAAGCGCTCTTTGTATCTCCACGTGTTCTTCCTCTCACGGTTGATTTCTACCCAGCCGCCAGCAACGGGTCAATCTCTCCTTCTGGAAAAACAAGAAGCGATGTCGTATAATATCCATCGCTACATACAAATCTATCGAGATCAAGTTGTCGTGGCGCGCACCGTCGCCATTCCCTGTTCGCACGAGTTGTGCGTCTATTCGGCTGGTTTTTGAAAACCGCGCAAGATCAAAAAGACAACTGGAAAATAAGAAGCCTCATAATATCAGTGTCTCTTTAGATACCATGGATTCTCCCAATCGAAGCACTCACATGGATTGTGGCGTCCACATGATCAACAAGTATCGGCCCTTTACAAAACAAAAGAGTGTGGCACTTCAGAGACAGATCCTACGCATGATGGCCCATGAACTGCTCTATCATGAACGAGAACGCCGCGAAGCCCGCGCAACCTGTTAGCATGCCAACGGGCCCACTGCCTATCGCGAGAAAGCCCCCGGTTGCACAACCCGCGTAGACCGCGTTCGCCAGCTCGTGGCAGCCCCGCTCCTTCTCAATCATGCACTCGGTTGCACTGTAAACGAGTCCCACCTTGGAAAAGTTCCTCCCCATTCGTGTGCAGGCAGGACCGAATCCTTTGTAGGAGATCCTAATCTGCTCTTTTGTCGACAAGTGCTGGTACTGTGCCATATCAATCGGCTGCATCGAGTGAAAAAACCCACCGAGCATTAAGCCGAGCCCGTAGCCCATAATGCCAGCGCCAGCACCGCGCAGAAAGCATCCCTCAGCCAGCCTCTGAGGATCGCCCACCCATGCCGGCATGTTTGCCAGCTCTTGCGGCCCGCTGAAGTTGAATCGACGATACCTGTCCGACAAAAACACGCTCCAAATCTGTTCTTCCGCTGGCTTATTGGCATCCGGCCGCGTGGCCGTGAAGGCAGGCAGGTTCCCATCTCCACCTTCAAAATTAAACGAAGTCCTAGCGCCTTCAGCTTGCAAAAGTTCGTCTTGCCCAGGAGATACTAGAGAAGAGCAGGTACTGGAGGGAGGACAGGACGCACACGATGAGGAGGACGAGGAAGGCGAAGACCCGGTTAACATCCTCCAGCTGGAACCCAAGAGCCCGCTGAGAGGCCGCGACCCAGAAGATTGCTGTGACTCCGTCATTCTGCTCGTTCTGACGTTGAACTTACTAAGTATCTGCTTCTACTAGCGCCTAGTTAACACTTAAACCATTTGGCCACAAGCTACACAACACGAGACTACTGCGTCATTTTTCCCATGTTTCACTTTTTCATGCAGTTCAAGCTAAATTCAGTGCAGAATTTCAACGCGCAACCCAAACCCTGGCTCACTGCCTCCTGACAAGCAAGGGATGGCAAATCATCCAGATCTTCAATCAGAAGAAAGCGTAGCTAGGGTTCTTTCCGATACTCTGAAACGCTGACTTCACTTGCCTGAATGTCGGCGAAAATTTCATGAACACAGAATATTGAATTCTTCAGGATCCGATAACTCTAACTCTTATTCGAGAACATAAACTGCAGCAGTGTTGAACATGAAATTGAGACTCGCTACTTTGATACATGATGCCATTTTCTTGTTCTTCCGGTTTCCGAAAACTCAGCCGTTCTCTATACGTTCTTTGATAATGTTGACCGTCAAGCGATGTGTAGGCATTTTCATGATAAGTCCCGTATAAAACGTCATGCTCTTCGATTTGTAGCCATCAAAATGAAGGCTTGGAATGAGTCGACGACAATGAGTCGACGACCTCTGGCAATCTTCACGTGGTTTTCAAAAAGAAGTTCTAAAAAAGAGATCTGGATGCTGAAACACTTGAAGTTAAAATTAAAAATTACCAAATCTATAAAACTCTAACAATTTTTGCACCACGATTCAAACCGACTTGTGATAAGCGCGATTTTTCACCTGCCGTTACAGGTACAGTTGTGTGCTCATGTTGCAATCAATTACAATACAGCGCAATAGGCAGTAGGGATCCATGATCTTACTTTGCTTTTCGTATTCCTGCAATCAATTGCTACACAGTGTAATAGGTACTAGGGGGTTAATAACTAATACTCATGCAATCAATTGCATACTGTGGCACGATAGTAGGGGCCGATGATCTTACTTTGTTTTTAGTGCTCATGCGATGATCATGTAGTCGATGATCCTACTTCTTATTAATAATATCTCATTGCGCTATTTGTAACCTTACATCTGAGTGCTGAATCACTTGAATTAAAATAGAACATTGCCACACCTACAAACATTATGAAACAAATCTTCTACCACCTGTCACGACAAGTTCAAAAACGTCGTCTGATGAATTTTCATGCTGTACACATTCTACTTTCATCTACAACAATCCGTTCTAGCATTCGTCATATCCCCTACCAGCAGTTACTGTCCTCCGTTTCCTCCATGCGGCCGTCGCACGGTAAGTGCCTCTTGCTGAGAATGAAACACAAAGTTGGACCCGTGCACTTTGCAAGTTGCTGATTCTCCCAACACTCGAAGTTGCTATTTCCTTCGCCAGCTGTCGCGCGTTTCGCGTTCGCCGCTGCAACTCAGTAATCACATCATGCGCTGCCTTCAGTTGTCGAAGCCTCCTCTCGTGCCTTTCCGAATTTGTTTCCTCATCCCGCGGCCGTGCTGGCGCAGCAACTCCCCGCGAGCCTTTCCCTTTCCGTTTTTGTTTATCCCTGAAATGGGTCCCCGACAGTTTTGCTGCTTCCTCTTCCCACTTCCTCCATACTTTCTTAGCAGTACTCCGCTCGAACGTCTCTGCGAGACGAGACTGCGAACCCAACGCTTTCTTAACATCGAAATGCACGTCTCGCCTGTGGATCCCAGTCGAGGGGTCAACAAGGGTACCAACATCCTCCGTTTCAACGTCTTCTTCTTCCTGTACGCTTCCATCATCTACTACCCCTTCAACACCTTTGCAACCAAGTCCCAAATACACCTCTTCCCCTCCTACGTTCAACTTCTGCGCCACTTTGTCCTGGAAGTACTTCTCGAGCTCTTCTCGGGACGCAAACGGGTAGAAAGGCTCGCGCATTTGCTCCTTCCACGCTTTGCGGTCCTTCGCGCGCTCGCTCGGCGATGTGGGCGTAGCTTCTACGGCAACCGTCAAATCCAGAAGAGCAAGCTCGTGGAAGCGCGATGTCCAGCGGTCCTCGGCAGCTGTGGGGAAGTCGAGTGAGAACACGGTGGCGCGCGAAGACATGCTTCCCAACATCAGGCGACAGATTCACGACACCTGTTTGCGGTTATTTTCCTTGCATGGCGAGTCTCCAAATGTCAACATTCTCCGCCTCTCGGGCCGCTTTGAAAGCTGTCACATAGTCCTGCCACCATTTTTGCTATCGCAGCGCCGCCTCCCCATACAGTTTTGTACTACCGAGAAGATCGGAGAGCACGGTTAACGCGATGAGCTCCTCCGTCTCTGTGCTTCCCGGACTGCTCCTGTACACCATGTTGACGGCACCGAAAGGGCAGACCAGGTGCACCGACAGCGCCTTTTCCTCGACGATGCGAACGTGGTTTTCCGCGTCCACATCAGTTTCAATTAGTAGCAATGCTTGTGTGCCAATTTCGCTAACGTACTCCTCGCGGAGAATCAGATGCTTCTCTGCTTCTCTTCTAATCTCCTTTTTTAAAAGGTTTTTGGCACCAACTTCCTCCTTCGGATTGGGAGCCCGAATCGCCCCGGCAACCGCGTCTTCGTGAACCCAATGCGACCTTCCGCGATATCCATTGGCACCGGAAAGACGCTGCTTGGCTGAGCGGTTCCTTTTGGTGTCATTGAATCCGTCTTGCAGAAGGTGCTCGGGAGCAGATAAATCGCGTAAAACGGCACCTCTGCAACGGGAATTAATTTCCCGCCAGTGCCAGTCATGCCCTCCACGACCTCGTATCCACCCGCCAGCCTGTACAGCATCTCGCTCACGCCAGTTAGAGTTGCAAGCACTTCTTTCATCTCGTAGTCCAGGGTCTCTTTTATTTTCAGCACGCCACCGTCTTTTACTTTCAGCACGAAAGGCTTACCATGATAATCCGCTAGCAGCCCGTCCAGGAACTCGGTTGGAAGAGCACACGCTTCTTCTCCTTCATCTCCTCGACGCGTCCTTTTTTCTCCTCCTCCGACAGCCCTTCGCCGATACCGAAAAAAACTTCCTCCAAGTGACCTCTGAACCGCACGAATTCCTCATTTGATGTCATGAAGTCAGAGCGAATTTTCTTACCACACGGTCCATCGAGGAGGGGAAAACGCCTGTTATCTTCAAATTTTTGTTTGGTTTCTGCGCTACCGATCCACGGACCGCTGGAGCCAGGCAGCCGAGAGAGCCAGGCTCTCCTATCGTCGACGTGGCGGCCAAGGTCTGCGCGTCTTGATTTTGCGCATCAAGGTACGCCCCCTCCCATGACACTACCAGGTGAACGTCTTTTTCCATTTTTGGTCCTTCGCTTTCGAAATCTATTTTGTGATCTGGCGAGGGGTAAAAACCTTTGTAAGTCTTATCATTTTTCAAGACATTGCTCGCCACGACTCTTTGTTTTGGAGTCAATGACTCCCTTCTCTTTCGCATGAGCCCAACGCGTGGCCATCTCGAACACCGAAAAAGCGTACTGCAAAAGCCAGTTCTCCCACTCCTTACCGTTGAAATCACGAAGGGGCTTCTGATTCTGCTTCGCCTCCAAAGAGGACTTTGGATCGCTTGGAGGTTTGCCTTTCGCCTTTGGTCTGGGAATTGGGCGCCGCAAAGTGGTTTGGCACTACCCGCAACACGGCCTCATGGAGGAGGCGGAGGACGGGCTTTTCAAGATTTTGTCCTGGGGATTCCAGCGAGAACCCCGTTCCCGAGCACGCGCCCCTCTGCTGGGCTACGATGGCAGCGTGCACAAGCATACCGACACCAGCGTGCAGGAGCTGCAGCAGAAATTAATTTGATGAGATTGTATATGTAAACTCTACTGCTTGATGATTGGTGCAACTTCTGTCTGTACTAGTCGGTTGCTAGTGTTCAAAGATTTCGTTTTGATTCAAAAAAGTCTGCGAAAAATCCTGGCTTTATTTATTTGGAGTGCGTAACCCTTTGCCGGCAAGTGGGCTGAGTTTTGATTCATTCTATCTGGCTATTGACGCAGAACTTGCAGATCACAGAACAGGGATCGGAGTTACGATGGTCACGATCCATTGGAAAAAGAGAACAGAATTAATGGGATCTAATGTTCCTGTGGGATGGATCTCCTGCCAATTTTTGTTCAAAATTTGATCCTAAGGTGCGTCTCTATGATCAAGGGATCCTCAAACGCTCAAAAATGCTACATTCGAGTCGCTTCCTGAATTTGTTTGATCTTTTTCCCTTCTTGTGTGCGATGTAAGATTGAAACTCCAAGCAGTTTTCTATGCGAGAATCTCTCAACATTCATGCTCCAGAGCGGCTGTACCCGGCGGATGACAAAATCATGAGTATAAACATGTACTTACTACCTTATACCACGATGCCACGTCCAAGATTCGTATCAAAGGGAGAGGCCGGGTACTTTGTGGAGAATAGAATGACATCCATCTTCATGAAACGGGCGACGGGGTTGACGTTCAAGGTGTCGGCACGTACGATCTATTTCTACGTCTTTGACTAAGTAAGATCGAAGATGATAGATTCTTACCGAAAAAACTACGATTTTTGGAAAGGCTCAGGCAAGATCTGCTACAAAAAGTATCTTCAATTTTAGTTACGTCGGTGGGAATAATCGAAATAACTGAAAAGGGAGATGCACAAAGGTTGAAGTTGTTGCTTAGAAATGGATGGGAAGGAGAGGGTCAAGAATTATTATCTGTGTGAATACTACCTGTTCAAAAGCTGATTATACGTTAAGTTCATCATAATCTTTCGTACCTTATACATATTTCCGTAGAACAAGAACGACGCAGAACAACAACAAGCAATCGATAGTAAGCAAAAATAACTGAGGAATGACACCAACTATGCAGTGCCTATCATTAACTACGAGGATCAATGAAGGCAAAATCTTGGAAAGTGGAATCAATATTAGTCATTAAGAGGTAGTTGACAAAAATCTCAATCACAATTATCTTCATAAATTTCTTTGATAAGAAAGTACGCGACAAATAAATCCATTGCATGACATGTTTTTAGAATCGGAATTTCGATTTTCACCCCCATGGCATTGCATCGTCTTTAATTACAGTTGATCGATAAATCTTCCCTTTTCTACCCATATTTATAGGGAACTTGTAAGGTGAAGTTCGAAGCAACGCAACAGGATGGTCGTCATTCGCATGAATTACAAGCGCCGGGGAAAGCAGTAAACTCCACCAACATAATCAGCAGGCCGAAAGACGCTGTTAAAGAGCTCACATATCCCGCTTGCGGTAGAACTGATGTCCATCGGAGCTCGTCCTGATTATACAAAAGTTAATTTTTGAGATACTTGGTAAAGAGAAAACTTCTAAGAAATTTCACCCAGTCCGAGTTCGTTCTCCACAAAATCGAATTTTTGCCTGAAAAAAGGAGCGGTCCTAAAACACTTGTTATAGTTCATTTCATGTCCCATGTCTTGTTCATTGTAGAAATTATACCACGTCTTCCTGTAGTCTTCGAGGAATCGCTCCTTGCCCAGAAAAGGGTTGACATCAGGCGAAACTGGTCTAGTCTTTGGGTCAGTGAAGACTGCTCGTTGCGTCGTTGCATACGTCTCCGACAAGTCGATATCATCACGCTTCAGGTAGTCAATCTCACGCACGACAGTGTTCCTTTAGAGTTCGTTGCACAAGATTTCAACATCTCTTTGTTGGACAACTACAGATCCACATACAAAATGGAATGACAACGATATCCACTGTCTTTGCTGACCTTACGCACTAGAGAGAGGAAAGAGTTGTAAATCGAAATCTGCTCGCCCTATGTCCTAGAGCTAAAAAAAGTAAAGGGTTCTAGTATGCCGACGCGAACTATTCAGAATAAGTATACTTTTTGATCATTTCCTCTCGACACCAGTCTCCGTGGGCATCACTCGTCTTGCTCCAATTTCCCGCGCTTCGTGTCGGAAGGGAGTACACCTTCGAATATCGTACCTTCTCCTGAAACTTCACGTCCCACCTGGCGTTGTTTTAATACTTGTAGATGGTTTTGAATCAATTTCCGAACGACAAAGGGAGTACTTCATTGATAATAGATAGTCTATTTGCATGCATTTCTGCATGACATCAAAGATTATTGATGAACAAGCTGCAGCAATTAAACATAAGATCACGACAAGCAAACAGACTGCTAACCTGTCCTCGCTCCAGTTGCCGCAGAGCGTCGTCGGCGTAAACACGTTCTTCGGTCCCCAGGATGCCATTTTGTCGGCTGTTTGATGCGCTAGCGCTAGGTATTCTCTAAACACGTAAAAGTCTGTCCACAGAAGTGCCTTTAAGGCGTGTATTTTTTTGTCTACCCTACGTCTGCAGAAATTTGCAAAAAACAATCATGCCCATGTTAGTTGTCACCTGGTGAATTTTTCAGCGAAAAACTCTACCTTATACTGCTGCAAAACGAATACCTGTTCAAGGATTTGTGCCTTCAATTTTGCAAATATAAAAATGGGAGGTGGGGAAATAACAGGAAATGCCTACAATTCGATGTTGACGGGTTTTTAATCGACTCCTGACTCGTCTTCATGAAACAGGCGCCAGCTTTGCATGCTCGATGATAAAGACCAATTTCAAAACGCATCTCTCACGACCGACGGTCAACGACTGTAGGACGAACGACAGTACGACGATTAAGTAATAGTCTTTGCGAGCAAAGCACGACGATACCGAATTATGAGAAAATGATGTGCTCGAAAAAACATTATCGTCCGACTTAATGCTAGTATTGTCTCTCAAAGAGCGTCTTCACCATGACCACTCTGAAGCATATAGCGTAGACAAGAAACAATGCAACACGAAATAATGAGCGACCGAGAGGTGGATGCTCATTGAGCACGGTAGAGCACAAACAATACTGCAGCACCTTTCCTTCATGGATAAAACGGAAAAAAAAAATTCGAAGCTGATCATTAGATGTAAAAATTGCGCGTATAATTTGTTTGCAATGCGTTCCAAAAGAACGCAAGCGTTTCCCACATTCACGAGAGGACCTCAAAGTCTGCCTCTGCTCCCAGCGACTACATCAAAGTCAGAAATCAGGTGGCCTATGATGTTTCCGGTACGAAGTAGTCCCCAAGCGTTCTACGACACTCTGTTTCGAAGTCCTTTCCCGCGACTCTCAAAAAGGCCTCCGGCACTCTACTCTGGAGAGCCCAATTACGAAGTTTCCGGTTTTTCCAACGTTTTTTCGAGTTGTGACTAGAGAAAGATACTTTAGCTTTAGTCTGAGGGAAGCTGAAGTAACACCTCTTTCGTTTGTTGAGGTTCTTGAGATCTTTCTCTGTTCTTACTATGTGATCAACATGAATTACAGTTACATCCGTTACATCCTCCAAACCATAATTGCACGTAGTTCTCGCCATGGCGCGGGGTCTTTGCCTGAGAGTTTTCGTTGCCACGCTAAGCACACGAGCCTCCGAATCCCTTCACTCGTGACATACTCGTGTTTCGGAAGAAGCTTTTCGAATATCTCAGGTGGTAATCCCGCATTTGTGCCCTCTTCTGCTTTACCACTTTCACCGGTGTCTGCTCCGTCACTCGTCCAATTCCTGCTTCTTTCCGTGAGCATAGACTCGACAACCGCGAGTCGAATCTTCACCGGTAAATCAATCTCGAACCGTGCTGCATCTTCGATAAGTGCCACAGCTTCGTCACCACTAGGATCCAGCTGGAGCATGGCTTCGACGGCAATAGAATAGAAGTTGGGCCGCGGACAGAGACACCAATCCTCGCGCACTGCCTGGAGTACGCCTCTTACCTCCTTATACATTTTTCTTGCCATCAAAGCACCCATGAGGGTGTAGATCATCTGCGGGTCCGGCGGATGCGCCAAGAACGCCCGATACTTTTCCACCAATTCTACGCCCTCTCGCACTTGGTTACACCGTAATGCCAAAGCTAGCAAGCGCGTGGCTAAACTTCTTGCGGGCGCGAGGGGCAAGCCAAAGTTGTAACAGATGTTGAGGGCATGAAGGCACACTCGGTAATCGTCTGGATCACGACGGGCCTTGGCAAAAATCGCGTACAAATCGGTTGCATGCGCGTAACCGGTGTTGGCACCGATCGAACTGAATTTCTGCCGAAACTCGTTCACCGCGATGTCTACCGCAGACAAGGGACGCTCCACCTTCCGCCCACTCGGCAGAACAACTTTCGCCACGGTCGCTGCGCGCTTCGAGGCTGATGCACCACGGCGGGCTGTCTCGAAAATGAAAGAAGTATCCCTTCCAATATAAGGAGGATTCTTTAAGCGTTGAAAGTACGGATCAGCAGGTGGGATAAAGCATCTCTACTGCTCTATGTATTCGTTACATGCTCGCATTCGATAAAGCCTGATGTACGTTAGATCATCGAGCAGAAAAAACTTCTAGGAGACTTGAGATGTTGTCTTTTTCCATAATATCGGCGCTAAGCCACCTTCTCGAACTGGACGTGGATGCGGTCACCGAACCACAGACCTTGCGGGCAGCAGAACCGCTAGACAAGCCGGAGACCAGCATTATTCTTTCTCAGTTATAATCTTTGTTGCCAAATAGTTCGTTGTCGTTCCAGTTGTTTGCCACACCAAATCCTCTTATAATCTCTTACATAATTACCAAGATGAATTGATCTTTCTTCTCCGCGACCTGAGTGTTCTTCTTCATCGTGATAGATCTTCTCCGCTTTTGGACATTCCTCTTTCCCTAGAAAGCAAGGCTAGCCAGATCTGTTTCAGCATCCTCACAGTGGGGTTTAGACCGACTGCGTATGAGAGTATTCCCGATTCCTTCGTCCCTTACAAAACTGTCGTGCTGAGTAGTCTCGCAGAGATTAAAAAAAACAAAATTCCGATCAAGCACTTGCAAAGAACACACTTTTAGTTAGAGGGAATCGCGGCGATTTGCGCGAGTGCCAGCTCTAGAGCTTCGTGGTCAATATCGCAGTCTTTCCTTTGTCAATGATGATAAAATCCGAACTCACAACTGCAACCCACCGTCTGCAGGAATCGCGGTGTTAGATAAAGCCTAACACTCATAGATATTGTTGCGCTGACCACACGTACGACATCAAGATTTTTGGTCGTCCCATTGTGCATGCTGAAGACACGACAGAACAAGAGGAAGGTTGGAGGACCTGAATGGCAACGAAAAAAAGTAATGCGGAGAAAGTGACCTTTTGATTTGCCTCCTCGTACTCGCACTCCTTTGTCGTCTCTTTTGTGCGGGCAATAGCCCTAGCCCTCGTACAGATTGCGACGATGGGTAACGTAAGTGCTGTACTTCGCATTAGCGTTCATTACTTTTTTGTCGCTAGCCACAACACCACAATCAACAGGAAGATGATTGAATTGTGAATGTTGATCTCCAAATTACCTAATTATACGAGTCGAGCCGTATAATTGAAGCATGATAACAGACCCAAACACTTAGATGGAATATGAACGGGGTTGCGCAAAAAACGATAGGAATAGTTGTGAAGCGAGCAAGTGTGACCAAATGAATCTCTTTCTACCGACAAGATTGACCAAAAGCAAAAAACGAGCGTCCTCCTGAAGCTGCTCTGCTGATGTACTACGTAAACCTAGACTATTAGAATCAGTTGTAACTGTAAGAGGAAAAGAATGGACGAAATAAACGAAAGGGGCGGGGGCAAGGATAGTTGTGAGTATCTAAGTCCAAACAAGGTAGGTCTAATGATGTCGGAAGGAAAAAAGTCAAGTTAGTATAATGCAGAATACTTCTCAAGCTCAAATGGAGATTTCTGTGAGCTAATCACGATGAATAATGTAGGGCTTGACCAACAACATCATCATGAGTTGAGTTACATGCTTCTCGTCTCCTAGTACGCATGTAGATAATGCTATTTTTCAATATTTGAAGATGGGAAAATTATGCTTTCCAAGTAGTTCGAGATGAAGCAGAGACACTTCAGCGCAGCCTGACGGACCGTCTTCATCTACGTCGCGATGGCATTCACGGAATGTCGACGGACTCTTCGTCATCCCAGTCATTGTCTAGGTGCGGACTCTCTCGAAAATCTTTTCGCACATCGTAGATGTATCCTGGATCTCCGGGTTTGATGCGGTTCGCCTCGAAGTGCTTATCCATAGCAAACTTGTGCTTCTGCACTTCCTCTTTCGAGAGTTTATTCAGGTCGAAGCTGTCGTAGTCGAAACCGTCTATGCCTATTTGCTTTGAACTTGATGTTGAGTCCTTACTGCACTGCTTTTGCCCGCGCGGCACACCAGGAAGACCAGGAACACCGCTTGCAGCGGCTGAGGGATTCGCAGACACGCCGTCCTGTGGCCTCGCAAGTTTACCCCCGCCACCAGGATCCTGCTTGCTATGGCTGCACGAATTAGGGCAAAGGCTACCCAGTAAAGTCTATCTAAGTGCCTCCCTTGCGACCGTTCGCGATCACCGTAGAAGCAGGATGGCGCACAACTACCCATCAGATACTTGTGCTTAGTTATGTGCTTGGTCAAATCGTGCTTAGCTATCACTCCAAAAACTATACTAGACATCGAATTCAACTACATGCCTGCTCGGTTATGGAAAAGGAGCAAAGAGCTTGTTCGTTCCACTTACTATTCGCTGCCGTGCGATGAGACAAATTTGGAATTCCAAATAAGTAGACTTGACCATCTTTCATTGTAGCAAGTGATCTGAACATAATGCTATGTGGCTTCGTTCTTGAAGAAGCTGCCGTTGTTGTCGTGTGCATGTGTTCCGCCATCGTTGAATTTGGCGATTTGCTTGCGCCACCTGGGCCGCCAGCAGGCGACTTTGTCCACGCAGCGCTAGATGGGCTTGAGCGTTCCTTTGCCCCTACCACTGGCGGTGGCACTGAGTCCTTCCCCCCGAAGCTGCTACTTGTTATCGTTGGGTCGATTGGCGGTATCTGCTCCAAAGGCGGCAGATCGTTCAAAAATTCCTTCGTTCGCTTATCCTTCGCGCGCCGCTCGTCCTCGGTCATGGCATTCAAGGCATTCAGATTGGAAGACGTCAGCGGGTGCTGCTCCGAATGCGCCTCATTCGACCTCCAGTCCCGCTCACGACTGCTCTCACTACGTCTACTGCCAATGCCATTACCTATTTGATGGGCGCTACTCGGAGCCGTTGTTGCTTCTCCCCCCTCCTGCTCAGCTACTCTTGTTCTCCTCTTTTGCAGCTTTGCTATCAAAGATACCTGGGAAAATTTCAGTGGTGATTTACGGAAATTAGAAGACCTGTGCCTGAAACGTCAAAAGTATGCTATAACCCCACTGAGAGCTTGTTCTTGCTCTATCTCTATATAAAAACATTCGAAGCACGAACATACACCGAAGCACTAACAAACATGAATACATTGAACCCAATGCAACAAAACAAAACCGAATACCAGCTGGTCGGTCGAAACCTTCTCGTCGCTGAGATAGGCCTCATTTTTCTCCTTCAGCTTCAATGCAACCTTGACCGGATCTGTATCTGTGATTTTGAAGAAATGCGGTATGTTTTCGCACGAATGGAAGTGCTATTTCGTAGCCTAGAAGGATATCCCTAATGACTAAGTCGAGCCGCAAAAAAAAAATGCAAAGCGATCTCGACACGAGAACCTGGCCCACATAGACTGAACGAAGGTGTAAAAATCAGATAAAAATTTTGCAACTACTTCTAGAAAAATGAAAGAGATTTCATAGATACTTTCAAATCAAGGAGTACCTGCTTTGAGCTTGCTCAACCCCATGACCCGATGAAAGAGCTTGCCCGTTGATGGCTCCAAATACTCGAGCACGACCTGCGGCGGGTCGTATTTAAGACCAAACCGCTTCGGCACGACAACTCGCGTAGTGTCTCCCATCTTGACAATCAAGTAGCAGACCAAGAAGTTCGCCAATAAAACTCGCGGCTCTGCTTGTGCGTATTTATGTTAAGTAATCTACCCGGACACAGGAATTATCCAGACAAAGCAATTCACCAAAGACCGAATACTTGAAATTGGCCTGTGTTTTCGGATTGCACCAACGTATTGACTCTAGTCAATGCGCCACGTCGGAAGTCGCCGGAAGTGCAAGTGATGTTTGAGGCTCCTCCTCACGAACTAAGCAAGGCAGGGAGTCACTAACGCTGTCGGCACTGTCACTCAGAGCGAATGTCGTGTAGCGATTCTGGTGAGATGCTGCGCGGAATCGATTTCAGTGGATGCAATATCTTGTTCTGGTCCGTCCACTCACAAAAAATGGCGAAACTAGAATGCAAATATTTCTTCGCTCCATATACGGAAGCAGGTCTCGTCCTTCTGCTCTTCTGGTCTGCAGATCGTGTTTTCTTTTTCACACATGCGCTTCCTTGATACCAACAAGTACAACTACACTCGCACAGCTGCTGCTTGTTACTCCGAAGCGACTACGGCACTACATTTTTTCCTTTTCGATGTCTTCGGTCTATCATCACAACGTAGAGTAGAACCTTATCTTGTATTACTCAAGTAGTCGAACATCAAAATAAACTACGGCATAACAACACGACCTCTCACGGGCTCTATATCATACAGACGAAGTAAATGCTTCATGTTACCCAATTAGAATCTAATTTCTAGAAACGAACGACATGCTAGTATTGCTACAGCATAAGGAGATCTAAAACAACCCTAGCTCGGCCTCCAATGCTCCATTTTATTTGTACACACGGCGCTTCTTTTGGTTTCATGCTCGCTCGCAATTCCACGAGCTAATGTACTCCGGAACAACTTGCAAGTGCTAGCTCCCGTAACAAATATATCAATCTATTTACTATAAAGCCTTTTCAAAATCCAAAATCAAATTGAGGGTAGATTGGTTCGTTGTATTCGATGCCTAGCTGCGCCTCGCAAAACTTAGAACTTCTACGCGGGAAAAAGGTCATGAGTCTTAACCGTTTCTATAACACTTGCATGACATGATTTTAAGTATCAGACGACAGACGGAATGGCATTATAATCGTTTATAGAAGACTTCGAACTGCAGCATGCAATTTTCTCTATTGTAGATTTTTGCCAAAACGTGGATAGCCCTTCTTAGAATATCTATATCATCTACTAAAGCTTCAGAACTCATTAAAAGATCCTTGGTTTCATCCTTGCACAGTAAAAAACTTGACTTTTCTTTCATTCTTTCGCTTTTTTAGCTGCCTACTCGGCATCCCTCTGGCAACTTTTGCAAAATCACTCCGCCTTTTTACTTACATTCCTAATTACCGTTAGCTCTTGCACGCTAGCGCAGCTCCACATTCATATCCTGTCTAAAAATACCCATAAAGAACTCTTTACTTCATATAAAAGTTTTCTAATTTAAAGACACTAATCAATCGTCTACACAGAAATCACACAATCTCTTGATATGGTAGGCGTGGTTTTTGGGGAAACATGCTTTCACGAGTAGGTACCTGATGACAGCAAAAAGGAAAAGAGTGCTGAACGAAATTTGTTCTTGTTGAACCCTTTTGAAAGCGTAGTAGAGTCTCTATCAAAACATCCATTTCATTGATCTTTGTCTCCATATCTATGCCTCGGAACATCTTATGCAGATTCACTCTACCAGAAGACCGAAAAATTACAGTCTTTTATCACCAGCTGCGCTCTCAGATCTATCAATCTCAACGAACAAAAAAAAACATACCATGGTGAAACAGTAAAGGTTCACTCTCGCTCAATACAGATGTACTTTTTCACTCAAGCACTGCATAACTTTGATGCTCAGCTAATTACACATCATTGTTTTGAGAACTAGTACCACAAGCGTTGACAAATTAAAGAATCGCTGTCGGAACACCAGAACTCGCATAAGGAGTGCAACTACAAAAGATTTCGATTTGCTTGCCGCGCATTAAGTCACACATAGGAAATCATGACGACAGAAGTCTCTCCGAATAATTGCGGCAAACTAGCAATCTTCAGGCAATCTTATGCATGAAACAAAGAATCTTTCATAACTGCAGTAAAAATTTTTATGCGGGCAAAGTATTTCCTCTTTCCTCGGCTCTCCGCAACCTAGCACGCTGTAGCTTGCTTTGCCACCACTGCCTCACCCCGTCACCAACAATTACCAGCATCTGCCCACACGCTAAACCGGTACCCACCACAGCCGCATTCTGCCAGAATGTCGGGACTTCTGTTCGCACCCAACGTTTTACACTCCCGCATTGCTTCCCGATGCTCTCCGCAACACCTGTGAAAGCCGTTCCTACTGCATCAAACGGAGCTAGCAGTAAGTTTGACAATGTTTCTACTCCGCGCCCGCTTCCGGCATCCCCTGTACTGGAAGAAATGGTACTGCTCGAACCCTTACCAAACTGCGAGTAGTACTCATCACTCGCTTTATGCAAATAAACAGCACGTGGGCAAACGGTGTACTCCTTGAATGTCTCGGCCCTGCTCCCATTCGTATGCGCAATCATGCTGAGCAGAGACTCACTCTGAGAACCGTAAAGTGCCGGCATCCTTCCTCTAGAAGTATCATGAATCAACACGGAAAAGAATATGAGTTGAGAAAGTGCCACAAAGTGGTCCCTGATATTATGATATTCGAGCTTGAGGGGCAAGTTGGACAAGAAGGACAGAATCAGGTACGCTGCACTCACACTCAACTCTCGTAAGGAAATGTCAGGTGCAAAGCAGGAAGGACGAAGTCGCGACCCTAAGCAAGTTAAATAAGTAGATTAAAGACGTAGACGGGATGCTACGGCCCTTGGCGTCCCACCCCCCAGGCTCCAAAGGTGGGAGAGCACTGGGGGGGTGGATGCTCGCATCTCCAATAGGCCACCGCGTTAGGCATGACCAAGGGTACCGGTTCACCATACCTAACCCTACTGGAGATCGCATCCAACCCCAAACAGCCAGGCCATCAAGAATGGCCTCGTTCCCTAAAGACCCTACGCGCGCAGTGGGCAGTGCAGAAAGACGAAGGACGGGCTCCTTCCCTCGTAAGGCTCGTTACCCTCGGCTACACAGACTTCTCCACACAGGTGCGTTCAAGAACAGAAATTACTACGACAGATAACAAACATCACACGACGACCAACGACTGGCACAAGCTCAAAAACGAACAAAAGTGTCTCTCATCCCACCTAACCGAGAATCAGACGAGACAGGAACGAAGCATCGCAGGAATAGAAACGACACGCAAGCACTCGACACCAAAAGACACACTAAATCTCTCGTCCCACAAATCAAAAGTGAGCATCGACAGGGACAGACGGAAGTGGCGTTGAACCGAATGGTAATAGAACATTACATACAGTCGGCTTGCTACCTTCAGAGTAAATCTAAACCTGAGATCAATTGGGTTCAACGAAAAAGGAATATATCAGAACAGGTTACTCTCCTGAACTGTGTTAAAAGAGGACGATTAGCTATGTTAGCAATCAAAATAATGATGAGCTAGATTAGCTAAATTAACGACAGTCAGCTCCTTTCCAGAAGTCTGAAAGACTGGTTTATTAATGGGGACATCAAGTTGTGACGTCATAGCAACATTCGATTTTTATTTAATGAACTAAGGTCCGCTCCTCGCCTGGAGTATGCAAGACCTCTCAGAACGATTCCAGTTGCCTGAGGTTGATTTGGAAAATGTGTGCAACAGACTCTAAAACGATTAACTTCACTTGTTGCCCAAGCGAAGGGTAACTAAGAAGGGGAGAATAAAAAAAGACTTAGCTCGAGATCGATGTCTTGCGTAGTATACGCCACTAAGTGAAAACGATTGTCCAGCAAGTTCAGCGAAATTTGTAACGTCATGATCAGAGTTCTTACCAATGGGTGGGGGTAAGACACATCATAGAACCGACACCGACTACCTGCACCGATACCGCAGCGGAAGTGTGTCAGAGTCAGACACACCAGCAGCATACAAAACCGATCATGGATTGGCTGATAAATTTTCGAATTCAGCGTTTTCTTAGGGTTCCCGAGCGAAAATCGATGTCTTTCACGACGGATTGTTTGCCACGAGGAGAGAGAGCGACCTGGTTATACCGATAGTTACTTATACCGGAACTCATGAAGGTGTTCAACTTCAGATGCCGATTGCGTTCGCCGAACAACGCCGAGTTTCCAATAATGCGGCTGATGATTGGTCCACACAACACGCTGTCGTTTTTTGAGTACCTGTGTGCAACTTCGTTTCGCATTTACTTTTCACCCACAAGCAATGATGCAATATACCTGCCTTAAATAGCTGGTATGCAAGCTACTAGCTGCATTGCTTACTTCAATCTCGCAGTTCAATTTCACACCCTCTTGGACACAAGCGTGATCATTACTTCGCTGGACTTTCTTGCATATATTGGCATTTGACCTTACACTAACTTTTTCAACATAAAAATCCGATCGTAGTTGTCACTGCAAGCTTTTTCAAAGCATAGCACTCATCATGCACCGACAAAGCCGCGGGTTAGCGAATCATGTCGTTTGTGTGAAAGCAGAGGTGCACCTCCGTAGTAAGGCTGATCTGCCGGGTTGATAACCGTAGTCCGATGGTTGCTATTGACCCACCGCATGTGTCGATTCTTGTCCAAAGGTTGCGCGAGCCTGAAGAGCTTCACTGTTTGATCAGCTGAGGAGGTCAAGATTCGCCATCGTTCTTTTTTTCGCGGACAGCGTCTCGCGGAAACCCCACAAACAAGACTACTATGCGCGTCTAACTGATACGTTGCCTGGAGACACTGGAGAGCAGTGCGTTCCCCATAGATCTCCTGCAACTCGAACATCTCATCGTAGAGTTGATGCAGCAGCTAAGTGAAAAGATTTGGTACTGATCATGGTGCACCAGTAGATGTGCTGGTGCTGGTTTCCACATTATTGTCATACCAGATTTGCTAAAGGATTCACGACAACCGACGTAGCCTCCAAGAAAGATCGAAGTCGATCAAACCCTGTATTTTGGTACTTTCCAACGGTACAACGGACACTTGATTGCATCCTAGCAAGCTGTACAAAACAAAGGTAAGAGACGATACCTCCACATTCTTTTGAACTCGCTTTCTTCCTTGGTCCGTGTGCGCATGCGCAACAACATTTGCCTCGATATCCGCGCGGTCGACTTCGGCTTTCTCCAGTAACATATCGTGCGAAAGGTGAATGAACGAGAAGAAATAAAATCATAGATATTCTTAGAATTTCGAGCTCCTGATACATGATAGATAATGACGTGATACCGTGCCAGCATGATGCAGATGACTCTTCTTTCTAGAGGAGCGCTCAGAACTTAAGAATATGATGAGAAAGAACTAACTTGAACTCATAATCATGGTTTCCTCAAGAACGCCCACCTCGTCTACCGGCCAAATGCGCAGTGAGCCGTCTCCTGTACCCGAGACAAAGAAGTCTGATCCAAGAAGCTCCAAACAGCGCACTTCGCTGCTATGGCCGAAGTAGTTTGTTACAACAGACTGCTCCCCACGCCGTCGTGCTCCCAACGCCGACGACATCTTCCGAACATCCCAGCGACTGATGCAATAATTGTCCCCGCTAGAAAGAAAGTAATGGGAGCTCTGACTGACCCATCGGACCGCGTAAATCGCCGTCTTCTCGACCATTACAAAACTCAAATTAGGTCCACCACTCCCTGTTCCACCACCGCTGGGTGACAAGCCACCACCAGCATAGGCCGACTCTCCACTCCCTGATCCAGCGCCTTCGTGGCCCGCACCCTGCCCAATGTGCGTACGAGGATCCAACAAATGAATGCGTCCATCGCTACCACCAGTGAGCACCCCATAACTCTCCGACAAGTCGACGGAAGATCATGAAGAGGAGATCATAAACATCAAGCTACTGGTACCAGCTCTCTTCTAATCTTGAAAAAAATGAAAAAAGATATCATATTCACTCTAGTTCAACTAGAAGTTAGTCTTTCCGCCCATAGCTGCAATACAGATTTGTGAAGGACATTGAGATTTCCGATGCAGCGTTCTGCTGCCGGGTCGAAAAACATGCAGGTGCCCAGCTTTGTCCCGACCACCAAGAAGTGCGGATCTCTGAATCGCATCGAGTATACTGCAGACTCCGTCTTCAACGCACACGAGGTCTCCTCGAGCGTCTTCAAATCCCAGAGTTTCAGCGTGTCATCATGTTTGCTCCCGCTGGCGCCAGTTGCGACGACGCCATTCAGGACATCGACACAATACACGCCTTCCGAGTGCGCCTGCGTCTGTACAAGCTGAGGTTGCAGCAACTCGATTGTTTGTGCAGAGGCATGTTCCCTCTGGGCAGTAGGAGCATCAGGATCCCGGTCTGCTGCGCCTGAAGGGAATGATCTGCGTTATGAATGCTCTTTCAATCTCTTCAATACAGCAGCCTGGAAGCTGCGTCAAGTACAAATGACTCAATGACTTAATATAAATTAATCTTGCTCTTAGAAAGACTCGATGAGAAAGTCCAACTCAACCACACATGTCTCGTTCAAATATCTAGGTCAGAGACGACGTCATCCCAAGAAGAAGTTCAGTTCCAATCATGAAATTTGATTGTATATTGAGTCGTTTCACCTCTACCTACGTCGAATTCTTCGAGGTTCCACTTGCATAGGGCCGAGTCGATGCTGCAGGTAAGACACTCCGTATCTGATGTCCAGCGAACTGCAGAGACGTTGTCAGTATGATACCGCAAGCACCCTGTTGTTCCGAGTTCGGGATGCGGTGGCACGAAGTAACGCCGAGAGAACGAGGCATCATCCTGTACTAGACTTTTATACTCTAGAAACTTACTTTTACTCTGTTGGTGCATTATTGAAATTTCTTACCGCCTGTCGTACGCGGTTGATACAAGAATAAACCTCAAACAAGTAAGAATGCTGTAGGTATGTTGCTGGTGACATATGAATGAATGAATGAATGAATGAATGAATGAATGAATGAATGAATGTGCCTAGCGCGAGGTGGTGCAGTTTTTATGTCGCGTGCGACAAATTATCTTCCTTGTTCAATCTTCACTTTCCTTTCTTCATTTTGCTTCTGTTGTTCCACTACTTTTTTGGGCGTGCTTTCTTTTTTTGTTTGCACCTTTGCACTTTTTCTCGTGGCTTCGCATCATGTCTACTCTCTTGGACAACATTCGAAAATAGTCGCTAAAGGAACTCCAACTATAAATACAGCTACAAGCACGGAGGTTGTCGTTGTCCTAGTACAATCTAACTAGCCGTTATTGTCATGAAATTTTCATTTTGTAAAAGCAGAATCCAGGAACAGATTGTTTATTTCCGCCTCACTGCGTGTTTGCTTTTCTCTCTTCTCTCGGGATCCTTCATTCTCTATTGAGTTCTCTTCCCATTCGAGTATCCTTTGACTCATCTGGTCGCATGAGCGGCCACTGCTCCGTTCGTTAATCAACGAGGCTTCAAAGCCTCATTTTTGCGCTATCATGGTGTTTCACAAAGAAACACATGACGATGCTATCGATGTCGTATCCGGACTGTCCACCTTCGCTCCAGATAAAGGGGCTAGCAGTACAATGTTAGACTCACAACCACTCGCACGTTTGGTTCGATTGTTTTTTTTTGCCACAGCATTCGGGAGGCATAGAACATGCACTAGCAACTTATACAAACACGAAGAGGTTTCTATCGAGTAGCACGAGGGCGTATCCAGGAGTTTTAAATGAGACGTCGAGGAGAAGAAAAGTAAATGAGGCGAGAGTCTCTTCTTGTACAGCTTCATCCTCATCACCCTTGTTGGATATTTCATAGCACCAGTACAAAAGGCATGATATACAAGTAACTCCTTTTCTTGCGCTCTTCCGACAATTTCGTGTAATGTAGCGAAAGCATCTGCAAAAGCATGGCTCAGCGACGCATGTCATTACCACTGCAAATGTTTTGGATCATCTAACGTCGGCATTAACCCACGCTAGCCCCTTCTTTACGAATTAGTGATTCCTTCGAAGCCAGTGACACTCATATGTGAGGCGTTACCGTGACCGCACCGGCATACCGCACCGGCACACAATAACTTTCTGTCATAAAAAGAGTTCCAGAAATATGAAATACGATCATTGTTTTCGCCTATGAAAACTTCTCTTACGAATACGAAGGCACGGGCAATGCACTAGATATCTTGGGCAGTGCCTTTTCTCATTTAATATGTTGCTTGTTCTATTTTGCTTTTTGTTCTTTCCAACTGCTAGAGACTTGAGATCATCTATCCATGGGTGGCAATCATCAGCTCTCAGTCCTCCGCTTCCTATTTCTCGTGTAATGTCTATCTCCATCCAATTAGTAAAATTTCAAGAAGCATTCTTATAGTTGAAGAGCAGTCGGGACAACCATCGTGGCAAACTATAGCTAGAGTACATGTAGTTAGGAAGAGCGAAACAAACCGAGATGTGGCATGGAATGATTGAGTAATCTTCTACCCTTTTAAGATACACGCACTCTCAGAGCGCACAAGAAGCCTGCGTGGAGGGCGTTTACTTGTTTGAATGAACGGGAGTACTCAATGCCTGACAATTGACATGGATATCCTTGTTCTACCAGAGATCTTTTCGCACAATACCCCTACAAAAACACACAATGACGGACCACCACCGAACAAGTCCTCGCAATTTTTTAAACATTTCAATCCTGACCACAAAAAGAGACACAAGACATAGTAGTTATCATGCTAAATAAAAATGCAATAAATCGTACACCTACCTGAAGAAGAAGATAACGACATAGTAAATGAGGGAAAAAAGGAATGAGTGCTAAGGTTCGCAAGTTTCTCTCAACCAACATCACTATAAATGAATATCTTTCAAGTGTCAGCAGCTTGTTTGTCAGCTCTAAGATTCCAAGCTTTTGTTGCCCTCTGACATTCCTCTTAACGATTTATTGGCCTGAACAGAGGCAGCTTGCAGCACATCAAGAACGTATGCTGGTGCCGGGGATCGAAAGAAACACGAATCTAGATACTGACAAAAACGAGCGGAGCACACAATAGCTGGTCATAAAAGGATACTATGGGGATGATGAATCTGGGAGACCAAGATCTGCATGAGGACTTCCACACCCGTTAAGGATGCAATCTTCACAATGATAGCAAACAAGTGGCAATATAGTCACAATTACTTGCTCTTCCGTTAGTATTATCTTCAGTAGTAAAATCCTAAATAAGGTCTGTCGCCGCGGTCCTCATACGACATACCAGCCTTGCATTCATGGATACTAGCACTACAATTGTTCGTCGTTTGTAAATTGTTCGTCTTATTTCCTACTACTTTAAGCTCACTGTTTTCGTCGATAGATAACGTCGGCCCGCCAGAACTCAGATAATGCAATAGCACACGAAGCCTGGTTCAGCCTAAGTTTTGCAGTTGCTTGCACCTTCACAATTACAAAGGACGTAATGATCATCTTGACTCCTTGATCCAGATCGTGCTTCTTCTAATTCGTGGACTTAGCTTTGCAAAGCCATCCACCACGCGGGCGGCGCTTTGCTGGAATCTAATCTCTTCGTAGCTTCTCTGCCTTTCGTCAGACATCTGCATCATATTCATGACAAGTGTGTCCGCCAGAAAAGTCTAATTTTGCTTCTTTTCCGGTCACAGAGTCCAACTCGACCCGTTCGTCTTCAGCACCTGTGATCACGGAAACGAATAGAAAAAGGGGATAATCTTGAAGTTGAAACTACAATAATTCGTTCCAAATCTTTCTGACTTCTTTGTTCTAGGCTAGCTGCAATCAAAACCTATCTGCAGCAGGCGAAAGACAAGCCAACAAGTACCGTCATCCTGCGGAGAGTCAAGCACAGGATCTGTCCCTAGTTCCAATGTCTTCGGCTCTACTTCCGGGAATAGGCTCCCGGGCACAGAGGGTGAAGCCCCCGGAGGCGGTGGCGGCTCCTCAAGCTTTGACGACTTTGTCATGAAGCTAAACAGTGGTTTATGTGGTTTGCTCGGTATAAGATTTTCCATGTCCGCGGTGGCTGCGGGTCCAACTGCTTGAACAATTGGATTGGTCTGCAGCAGATTGAAGGTATTGCAGCGTTTCTGACTCTTTGCTTGATTCTTAGCTTCTTGCACGCGCGCATCTGCTTCCTGCTTCTTTCTCTCTTCGGCTTCCAGGATGGAGTCGTAGTCCGTTCTTTTCTCCAGTTTTCGAACTTCTAAGCAGATATTGCGGATCACGTGATCCTTGTCGACTGCCCAGTTATCCAGCTGCCGATACACTTTTAGTAAAATCTTCTCCACATCACGGCAGGCATACTCATACGAGGCTTGGTCACTAGTTTCCACGTGCTGAGTTCGTTGAGTGAATTGACGATAAAGAAAATTGCTAAGTATCATATTGTTTGACCTCATTCCGGCTCCTACGAGTCCCACAGTCAAGCCTCTCAATTTCTAATATAGGTTGATGAGTTATACTGGAACACTAGCAGGCAAGTGAAAGTCTATAGTACGATGACTAGAGGCTCTCCGTCTTGTGTCCCCTCGAGTCGCAGATGTACAGCCATGTTGGTTCGTGTAATTGTTCTGAGGTTCTCACCGTCGTTCCCGCCGAGGCGCGAAACCACGGTAAACTCCAACTCTTCAGTTTGCACCTGCACGTCGTAGAGACAAGCGAAGCGATAATGCCGCCGACGGCGAGGGCGTATTGCGTCCAGCCCACGAATGCCGAAGCGCTTGCGCATGCGACTTTCGGGTGTCCGCCTGACAATAACGCCATCACCGAGGCGAAACTCGTCACGCGTGCCTGCTCTGTACTCGTCAACCTCTGCACTCTTCGCCTCCAACCGCAGAAGGTCCGCCTCGCTAAGTGGGTGCAGCAGTTTTCTCTGCTTAGCTAAATCAGCTTTCAGCTGCGCTTTCTTCTTCTTCGAGGTAGACACCGTATTGCGGATTATGGCCTTGCTTGTCGCAAGAAGCTCATCGATTTGCAGCTTCGCTAGCGGTGACAGTTTCGCCATACGAGCCTCCATATCTGCGGCCTTCTCTGCCTCTTCGGAAGCCGTCGCAGGCTGCTTATTCTTGCCAGTTTTTTGTTTTGCACGTTTCGACTGCCCCTGCTTGTTCCGTGTTTCCTCCTGCTTTGATGAGCCTGGAGCCGACGCAATGTCCTCATTTTTGACAAGCTCTCGCGACGTTGAGGTTGCAGAGAGTTCAACGGCTGGCTTTACTGTTTTCGAGGTCTGTTTGGTGCCTGATTGCACTTCCGTCACTGAATTTGGGCCACCTTTGTCCTGCCAAGCTTTTTGCTTCCCCGCGGCGCAACCGGAAGACTCAACAGCCGCCCCTCGCATTCCGCTTTGATCTGACCCTGCAGCAGCTTTAGCCGTTTGTGAAGAGCCTCTCCCCTGAGCCTGCGTTTTGCTTGTCGAAGCACTCCACCCCTTCTGGACAACGTCCTGCTCGAGTCGACCTTTGCCAGCGACCTGAAAAGTCTTTCCGTGTGCAGTATCAAGCGGTGTATAACTATCTGCGTGCCCAAGCGCAGGCCCTTTTCCCGCTACGCTAATATCAGCAGGGTATCCGTCGCCGCCTTTCCACATTTTTCCCTTGACGCCCTTGCCAGCGCCCTTGAGTGCATCCGCGCCGCCGCTGTAACCTTTTGCGGTCGGCCACTCTGTCTGATAGTACTGCTGCTTCCCTCCAAAAGCTGCCGGGCCACTCCCTCCTGCGGAGTAGCACCAGTCGCCAGTTGCGGGCTTTCCTTTTCCAACAGCGTAGCCTCTTCCTTTGCTATAAGCTTGTTTTTGACCAGCACACGGCTGCTGCGCGACCGTGTATTGTGGGCTCGCATTGGAAGCGTAGTGCGGTTGTTGCTCCGGATGCGGTGCGCCGCCAGAATTTTGTAATCCAGCATGCGAAGTGCCATCGGTCTGCTGTGGATTGGCCTGAGGCACATTGGATGGATGGTTCACCGCGTCAGTCTGCATCCTTTCAGTTGGCACCCCCGCAGCTGCTGCCTCAGTGGGCGGAAAAGATGACTGTGCTCTTGGTTGCATTGCAGGTGGGCCCGTATTCGTATACTGTGGCTGCGGTGGATTTTGTTGCTGTCCAGGTTGAGGCCGTTGCTGCAAAGGCTGCTGACGCGACTGACTAGAGTTCTGCGACAGTGAGTGACCGTCTCCGAGCGGGGTCGCATACATCTGGGATCCAGGATTACCCTTTGCAGGCCAAGGTGCGGCGCTAGCTGCGTTGACTGCGCGCGCCACCAGAAGTTCCCGCAAAACTCGATTCTCTGTTTCCAGGACCGCTGCGGGTGCGGACGCGGCATGCATACCGGCTGCAAAGGCTGTCTGCTCACGCATCGCAACCTCCCACGCGGCAGCATCCGCCAAGTTTGTAGCTGCAGTGGGCATTGCTGGAACGCCTGTTTTTGAAGAATCGCGCAGATGTAACTCCACTATTAAGACATGAATTGACGGCCATCGGAAGAAACTACAGTACCCTGATGCTTGCCTTACTCAAAAAGTTTATCGGTGTGTTATACGCAGACGGCACCATGTTCAAAATATGCGCGTTTCGCCTAGATGAGAAAATTTTTAAGGAAGTACCAGCGACATCAAGGTGTGAAGCCATCTTGCCTTGGCTAATTCCAGCTGGAATGTCAATCGCGTTTACTTCTCAACAATGCCTTATGGTCCTCAGACGAAGGACACAGTTGCGATTTTGGCTGTGCACAAACTGTCGACGAGTCGTGGTAGCTTGTTTTCAAGTACCTGAAAAGTAAGGTCGTGGTCATCGAACTCGAAGATATATCAAAAGAATCCAAAAAAAAATCATCTGCAGCCCTGACACGCAACTTTAACGATTAACCATTAATACAAATCACGGAGAAGACGATAGATCTCAAACTTCTACTGCACGACCCAGATTTTTATCTAAGAGCAGCTGACAATAACATTCTTATCACCTCGACGTCGTCCACAGCTTCGCCGGATTCGCCAAATGCTACCTCGCACGAGACCAGCACTTCATACTTGATGACACGAGTCACTATTATAAATAGATTACATCAATTATTGCAGCACAGAATCGGCTCCATCACTTTTCAATCGCAGGTCTACATACATGCCAGAGCTACAACACAACGGACTTTTTACGGATGCAGCTACGGCCAAAGATCTGTCTAAAATCTCTACCACATCAACTCTCTATGTATACTAGCTACGCCCTTCGATAAATTACTAGGTTCCTTTATCTATTATCGTCTAGAAGCCTCTACGCTATCACATGCAAACACCAAAAAAAGCAAATGCAAACCACCAAAATCTTAGTCTTATTTGTTATCTTTGTAGTGACAGATCGGTACTGAAAGCTATCCTTCTATGAAACAACAACCAAAAATAGGGGAGGTGTCAAGTTTTGCAACAAGACCGGAAATTTAGAAAGAGGTCAGCTTTTGTGTGAGTGGTATGCCATGGGGATGTGGACTAGGCGCAAGCCACGAGTCCGACATACGTACACTCAAGGGACCTAAAAATCTCTACATCAAAGTCAAATAATCATTCGATCAAACGCGCGCGGAACATACGCGCGCGACTCCTACCACTCACGACTAAACCCAACTTCCTATCTGTCACATGACTGACCACATGACGACACCACCTGTTTGAAGCAACAGGCACTTATAGCAATGATTAGCAGAGAAGTAACGTAAGATCTTTATGTTTGCCAGGAGGGGTAATTATGCAGGTAGACAGAGATCCAAGTCCTACCAGTTCCACAATCACCGTGTTCTTCTAGAAGCCATACACTAGTGAGGCCCAAACAACTAAGAGTCAGCGTACTAACTACCACAAAAGCTGATGAGCATCACGCAGAGAACGTCCATTCAAGATTTTCACGGATCACCCACCATCTTTAAGCACGCATGCTTTCGCGTTGTTGCGCATTGATTGATCGTGCAAGAAGTAGGCACATCTTTCTTGGCATACACTGTCTGAAGAAGATTCTGTACATTGATAGAGATCGAATTTGTTTTCCATGAAGCATTTCATTCGCAGCAAGTTGATTTTTCGATCTTTGCGATAACACATCGAACATTGCAGAATGGGAAGCCGGGCATCTGGACGCACGACCAAGCGACATCATATCGCGCGGGTCTGCTCATACCAGATACTACGATCTTTCTTCAGTACTGTACAATTAGGAATCAGTTGTGCCTGGTATGCGTGAAGTAACATTCTCCCAAAATAAGCGTGATGATATACTCCGCGAGCTGTCAAATGCTTCGAGGATCTCAGTATCGTTTCTACCAAGTCTTCTTTCGACAGAATTTTTCCAAAGCCAATGGTATTTACCAATGTTGAAGTAATTGTGCACCGATTACGGAATTTTTCCAATCTGCTTGTGTGATCTTTTCAAATACAAGGCGATTGCGTCGGAAGAAAGAGGAAGTCTCTGCAAAAGAAAAAGCAAAAATAGAAGAGGTCAAAGTACAGAGCGCGAAGACACCTCGTCATAGTCATGCCACATTATTGTACTAAACAGAGCTGCGTCAAATGCTTGCTTGTAATTTCGGAGCGTCACGACGAATCTACTCCAATTGACCAGACATGCTCGTGCCACATGCTCAGATTCCGCGTGGCAACCGCACGGGTAGCGAACAGTAGTAGAAATTCGCACCGCGCTCCCGAACGGACAGCGCGAACGCCAGCAGAGCAAAAAGAGCTTTCACCATCGTCTGCACGCGCCACGCAGTAAAGCCGTCGTTGGCGAAGGTCTGTAAATCGTTGGATTCTTTCCAGCAGCATTCTGCACACTTACAAGCGCAGGGCCACTGCGCTGGATCCGGCGTTATCTCTGTCTTAAAACCGGCACCGAAAGCCAGAGAAGCGCTGCCAAGACCCAGAGAGCCGCTAGTTGGCGTGTAGGTGGCAGAAACTGGGTCGGTTCCGGTCGCGAGCATGGAAAGGAGCAGCGGATCGCTGGTTGTCCCCTTGCAGCTCGTAAAGTCTTGATTATATCCATTCTTTATCCGCATGTCTCCATAGGCAGTTGCCATGCACAGGCACACAGTCGCGATATTCGTTATCACTTGGCCCGCGCACACGCCCGCCTGTTTTCTTAGAGCATCAAAAAATACTCACGCGCAACGCATAGTGGTCGCGTACTCGGACTTTGCCTCCAGTCGTGAGCATTTCTGGTATAAGCCTACCGTACTAACCATGCTTGCGCTCAAGAAACACCCTTCATCAGAGCCACCAACATATAAACAAACACCTCCCCTCGTAATTGTGCTAGAATTGTACACATAGTTGCTGCAAGGAAATCTTTCATAATTTCACGAGCGGTAGCCGGTTTTCTGACAGGAACATAATGTTCTCATATCTCGAAAAAATGCCACCTCGCTCTTCCCCGCTGCCGTCAGCGACCGCTGCCCCGGTCATCCCGCTACCTGCGCCTAGGTAAAATGAATGACTTCAGGGGTTCGTCGATCATTGAAAAATCTTGTATGAAATTACTTCGTTGCCCTTGCCGCTCATAAAAAACTGCAGATACTATAAAGCGAATAGCTTCAAAGCACCATAATGGAGCTCCCGCTGCCCGCAGGCCAGCAGCGGTAGGGACGACAGACACCTTTTCCTTCTTCGGTTCAGCCGCACGTGCACCTTCTTCCCTCAAAATCGCGAAGTTGTTCTCATATGTGTCGAAGGCTCGCAGATGTTCGTAACACTTCACGACTCTCAGCAAAGAGCCCACCGAGGCTATCTGAGTATGAACGACCATCAAGAATAAACATCGCCTATTTCTATGTATAATACTTTATTTTGTTGAAGGAACAATCTTTTCCCGACCCCTATGCGTTGTAGAGATGAAAGTACTTTCATAGCACATAACTTAGTAACTACTGCTTTTGCAATGCAGAGATGCACAAGCAGTACCTGTGCCAACGCGAAGGTTATTCTGCTGAGACCGGGCTCAAAAAGCTGCATTAGCTCTAGGCAGCGAGTGCTGTCGGACCAATACCCCCACACGATGTACAGCACAAAAAAGGCTGCCGCAGCCAGCATTGCTTGGAAGCCAAAAAAAAGCTCGTCTTGTGTTGGAGAAAGAATGATCTCTTGTTTTTATGAACATGAGGAAACTACTACACCTTGAAGACCTTCATTCGATCATAAAGGAGGATAAACAGTGATACAACTATGTAAATGCATCTACGATTCCGAGAAAACTACGCGAGCCCCTAACATGCGCAACTGCGTGGTCTCTGCTTGTACTACAAGATCGAATATGTCTCGCTCTCCAGGTCTTTCGAGGCGCAAGGCATGGCTTTCAAAGTCCAAAGTCGCGGCTCGTAACGCCGCACTATTGCCTCGTGTCGCCATTGCCTCACTCCTCATCTGCCGCATTGACCCCGTTGACTGGGCTCCGCTCGATGATGACGCCTTGACGAGGGGGATGAGAATAAAACGACGATTGTGAAATGTAGATGGACAAACCTATTGAGTAAGACAATGAGGACTTTTTGCGACGGACTCCAACGAGACGAGGTACCTTCAATTGATTTCCGCTCATTTCTACCCCGTACTTATGCGCAAGCTCGGGTTTCACTTGTTTGAAGCTTCCACCACTCTGTGCTGACTGGACCTTTTGTTGTTTAGATGAGTGAACTACATTGACGGAAAAACACTCGATGGATGAGTGTCCTGGACATGAAATTTTCACGTCGAGGCTTTACTAGCAGCTTGTACAATTTACTTGTTCACCTTAGATGCTCTGAGAATAAACATCGCATTGATTTCCTTAATTTTTTTGGTGCTGCCAAAAATCAAAAAAAGGATGAACTACTATAGCCAAAGGTTATACAAACAATCCCATTCTCGTGTTTACTCCTGCATCAGATATGAAGTTGTTCTGCCGGCTCCCTGGTGGACCGGCTGACTCCTCGTTGATGTCCTCCGGATCGATCGAAAGGTTTATGTACCTAGTCGACTCAATAACAGTACTTCCGCGTATTTTTCGTCACCACGGCTGTATGAGATCTCTACTATTACTATTTGTGTATAATTGGGTATGCCCAGTGCATCCATCAAGAAATTCATGTGAATGATTCGTGTACATTACAATCAGGATTTTCTATACGGCTGCGCGTAGTTGCTTTGGTTGTAAGCAGTCTGGTCGCCCGCACCAAACTGACCCATGCTCTGAGTGGGAAGTCCCGCACCCGCTGTCTGCGCGCCCGCAGCAGGTCCAGAACTACTCGCGCTTCCGCCGCCACTTCCACGCCCAAATGGATCGGGACTCGAAGTTCCGCCAAAAAAGTCGGGCACTCCACCTGCAGAAGTATTAGTGTCACCTCCGGTGTATCCGGCAGCCGGAGTTCCTCCGCCGCCGGGTCCTCCAGGCATGCCGAATTGCCCCTGATTCTGCTGTGGACCGCCTGCCGGGAATTGTGTTCGCGGACCTCCGAACGGCTCTCCTGCACTAGGTTGCTGCTGTTGCGGGAACGCACTCGGCATCTGTTGCCGCTGTTGTTGTTGTTGATGGGCAACAGCGCTTGCCTGTTGCGGTGGCGGGAAGCCACCACTTGCAGGTGGTGGCAATCCACCACCATATCCACCAAACGCCGGTTGCTGTGGTTGATTCTGCTGGGCTGCGGATGGACCCGCGAAGGCGTCCTCCGCACCCATAAAATGAAAGCCACCGCCGTCAGCCATCTTGCTCACTTAATACCCGTATCTATTTTACATCATGAGTTAGTTGTCCGCCACGAGTTCGAGTTGTAATCCTCCCCCGACTTGCAATTCGCGTGGTTGCCCCGCTGCCTCTGTTGGTGCTTTTCCGACGTAATTGATCTCGAAGAGCCATGTACATTTCATTGAAAACTGCCGGCTCTTGGTTCGTTTCGCGACGGAATGTAGCTTTCACTTAGTCATATAGTTGCAGTAACTTCATCTATTATGTTTTATGTATTTCGAATCCAAAGTATTCTGCTTTTCTTTGCTGCTTTCAACATTCAGACAGCTGTCACTTCAATTGAAGACGCAGGTCGTTTGGTGTATGCACTCGGTATTACTCTTTTCGCTCGGCGGAGCTTCCACTTTTTACTCTGTCACTTTTTCCCAGATGTGTCAATCCAGCGAGCTGGACACTTTTCACTAGAACCGTAGTCTACGACTAAGACCCCGCAGCTATCATTCGCCGGGTGACAGCAGCCATTTAAACCACTTGGGTGCCTTGAACAACAGCAGGAGTGCCACATCTGAAAAGCAACAACGAAAATTACATTTGCATTTCTAAATCTACATATAATAACTCAGCAAGCATAGTTGACCGGGATTGTATCAGGCAAAGAATGACTCTCTACCATCTGCTTTTCGAGGAACGGTCTCGTCGCCGCCAATGATCGTGGTGCGATGCAAGATCCGCAGGCCCTGCGTCCGCCGATCTCCTTGAGTGCCTGGTGAGGCGTAGTGAGCAAGACCCAAGTTATCGTTTATCGCAAAGTCCCCCTCCACCCACTGCATACGCAACCCCAAGCCGCTATCCATTGCCCTCTCTAAAGCTTCTGTGATCTCGTTTTGGACGTCGGTTGATGCCAAGACCATCGGTCTTTCTGGCAGCTTCACCTCGCGGGCTGGCCCACGTTGTACAACCAATTGTGCGCTGCTACCAAAAGCATCGTGGGAAGGCATATTTCCGGTATTTTCTTGATCCATACTTGTTCTCCTATTTGTTTCTTCAGTTGAGTTCTTCTGCTGCTCGAAGTGCGCCTCTGACACAGCACTCTGCCTTGATCTATCCTCGTCTTCGTCAAGGACTAGCCAACCGCTGCAAAAGGGTTCGCCACAGTGAAACAACAAGGTCGGATCCTGACGGAAGGGATGCTGGTACACTAATGGGTGAATAGGCGCTGCTCTTCGACCTGTGAGCATCCAATAGGTCGCCCAGCGCTTCCGCGTCTCTTCGTCCTGAGTAGCATAAAATTCGCGTAATGGCATGAAAAGAGTGTCTCCTCCCGCAGCAACGGAATCAAAGTACATTGTCTGATACATAAAGGGCGTGCGCATGAAGGTCCCGTCGATGTGCCAGCCTGACCTCCCGACGTTGGTGCATCCTTCCCGCTCGTCATTGGATACGCGAAAAATATCCGGGTGCGGCGAGCGCGGATGTTTGTAAAACGTACTCTCGACACGGCCAAGACCCTCTGAGAATGCGACTTGACGCGCGCCTGAGAGTCCCTTTTGACCCCGGAAAAGCAACAGCCGGTGTCTCCGAATGTCTGCTTTGACTTGCGCAAAAAAGGACGAATTCCCAAAATCCTGACGCATCAAGTCTATACCGACGACTTCCGCACCCAACGCGCGACCCGTCAATGGCCGCACCTGATAAAAACTATTTTTCGATGACGACGTCATTCTTGCATCCCGTGTTCGGCAAACCTGACTAGAGCCAGTCGAATCAACAACCTTTACCTCAACATCGATCTCGGACCCAGCCGTGCGAGCACAGGCATTTCCTTCATGATCCAAACCCGTGCTGGATTTTTCCGTCTCAGGAACTTGCTCCAACGTGGTCTGTTCTGCTTTCAAGCCGATGACAAAGAATAAGGTCAGCAACACGTCGACAGCACGAAACGCCATTAACTTGTAACTTCATCGAGACGAAAAGTTCCTTCACTTCTGTAGTCGCCGATGTTGTATGGATAGAAAGCAACTTCTTTATCTTTTTTTCACGATAATTTTTGTTCTGCACTTTACCCCCCAAGCGATCATTGAGTGTGACTGAGCTCAGAGCAAAAAGAACTATTCAATCAAGTTAGTGCTCATAATTTCACGATGCATCATCGATGGACCGCCTTACTATAATTGATTACCTAGTATACCTAAAGGGCAAAACAATGAAGCTTACACGAAGGTCAGGGGAATCGGGTAGCGAAGCTCACAGTAATCCTGCAAAAGACCATCAGACGACAGACAATTCTGGTGGTATCTAACCTTGTCGATGGACCATGAATACATTTTTGCAGTCTTTCTTCACAAGTAAGTCAGATTTTAGGAACATCATCAGTGGGAAAGATCCCGAGCAAAACTGCCCGCTCGTGCAAACGCAAACTCAGAGAGCGGAAAAATCGTATTCAAAAATGTAGTTGCGCGGAATCACGACAAAGGCGTGAGAAAGTGTGCATGAAAGAAATGAATCACTATGTCAGACTCAGCGAATAGGAGAGAGTGGTTATGTTTTCCGCATCAGAACCGAAGGCGTAGTCCTTGCAACATAAGCAATCCAGCTGCTGAGGCTATCCCGAGTCCCGTGGTACCTAAAAATATAAAGCTGATTAATGAAAAGGTTCTAGTTGGTCTACTACTAAGTTTCTGACTACGAGTTTTCTAATAAAATGCTCGGCATGCGACATCATTACACGTAATTTATTTAACAATACCAGCCAGTGAGAGCGTGTTTATTGTTCCCTCGAATCTTCCGATCTTTTTTGGAACCGGGTGCACTTTCTTATAAGTCCCTTCAAAATAGTGCTGACATTTGGCTACGTCTCCCGTGTCGGACATACCTGTAGAATCACATGGGGATGGGCTTCCGTCCTATCGAGCAAAAAGCTTCATCGTATACTCATGTCGTACTCGTACGAAACCTTATCCAGCCGCAACCCATTGTAGGCAACGATCAGAAATAGATGAAAAAAAACACTTCCCGAGGGAGAAGGAGACTTAGACATGGTCTCAACAGAAAAGTACATTCAATTCCATCGACAACTTCTTTCGTAAAGTGTATTGCCATCGGATTGTGTGGAGTCACGTGAGCATCACCGGGGAGCGCTGCCGCACATATTGCCGCAGTCACTCCTCGGCCCCTGCACTGGTTGTAAGCACGGGTATAGTGCATATTGTCAAATCGCATTTTTGTGAGATCATCTGTATTGGTAAAAAGTGCCATGATCACAGAGCAATTCTCATACGACCATATTCGCAAATTCGAATCTGAATGCAAAGTATTTGCTAGATGCGGTAGAGATGGTATTGGTATCACACTACACGAGAAATTATTTCAAACTTTTTGTTTAGAGAAACCTTTGCTTGGATTCGCAAGCGAGTCTTTTGGCTTCCAAATCAGGCTGCCATAGCCTGAATATGGAATCGTTGCGGCCATCTTTCGGAATTACCGCCGATCAGTGTGCTTCGCTCCAAATACGAAGATATTTCCTTGCAACAAGTTGATGTCAGTCGGCGAAAGCAGAGTCAGCTTACGGCTGTCCCCGCTTGGCGATGCGTTACAGCCGTATCTTCTTCAACGCGGAGACGAGTGTCTTTGTAGCAGTCAGGGGCGCATATTTGCTTCCGAAAAACAAAACGATTGCAACTTTTCCTAGACCGGTGCTTGCTCTATGAAAAAGTCATCGAATGATTCGTCATCATTCAACGTACAACATGTAGTGAGAACATTCAGATTGATTCAATGTAATTCAGCAAGCCATTTTCGATTTATGGAAAAAGAACAGTAGTTATGAATCAAAGGTCAAAAAAGTTCAAAGATATCTGTCCTGTCGTGCTAGGTACATGAATGAATATTTCTTTTCTTTACCTTATTTAGGTACTCGTGAAAGGAGTTTTCAGGTCATGGGTTCGCTCAAGAGCAGTTCCATTCCGTTCTTGATAGTACACAGACAATTTCACACGACCATCCTCGCATACATCACTCCATCGCAACGGCAATTCACATTGACACTCGAAATCATTAGAACCTCTTTGACGCCACCACGTCCAAAATGCAAACCATAGGATAGCGCTCTTGACAAGATCCATTCATTCTTTCACTCAGTGCTCTATCTTTTTTTTTGGTACCTGCGTTGAAAGAGGTTCAATAGCTTCTATTCCGAACGCGTAAGCGACCACATTGTACTAACTTATATCAACATATTAGTTTTACCTCATATAATCTCACACAGGTCTACAATGGTTGGAAGTACAAGGTTGATTGATTGATTGATTGATATGCCTGACAAGAGGTTGGTGTAGGGACCTCCAGAATACAGACTTCGGCGGAAGTCGACTCCACAGCGCAGCAGCAGCATAATAAATCCCTTTGTGGACCATGGAAAATTCGTTCCTTCTAGCTCTTCCAGCGATTTCGAGCCATTCAACAATTCAACATGTTTCTTGTTACCCTAGATAGTGCGTGTGGTCAATAGCGGGGTAGAACTGATGGCGAGCAAGGGTAAAATATGAATCAAATTCTGACATTGGTGCTGCGTCCTAGATTGATCCATGACTTTGATTGAGTCGTCCTGCGTCGTTGAATGATATCTAAATAGAATGGACGAGGCGTCGTTATCGATGTCCCATATCTTCGCAGGTCTCACTTCCGAAATGAGTGACGATACGGATACATAGAAGTTCGTAAATTTAGGAAAGTTTCGATATGAAGATCGATTCAGATTCAGATCGATGAACGATATAGCGACGATGCAGCTCCTGGAGGCCGCGCCACAATGTTCTTCTCCCTATCAATGTTGTCATACTACATCAGCTCTACGTGTGCGCTCTACGCCAAGAATATTCTACAAGCTGAGCATGGAAGGAAAACCTTTTGAACTTACCAACGAGGAAAGGCGATGAAGATATTGTTGCACGGGATAAACGTAGATTTTTAGAGGTGAAAACTAACCGGTTGCTTTACTTAGTGCTTTGAGCGTCGCGGGACCTAAGCCTTCACCTAAAAGGTGAAAGCCAATCAAGATTTGCAGCACGCCTCTAAGTGAAAATAAGGGGGAAAAAAACTATCGTCCTGTTAGGAGATGAAGATATTCTAAAGATGCCGTTACCTTACCCACAGGCACGTGACCTGAAGGAATAAGGATCAATGGGACGAAGGAGATCACCGTAAGTAGGATTATACACTGATTTCCGCCAAGGAAGTATAATATGCTAGCATATGCCTCCCCCTTATCAGAACACCTAGACCTGAAGGAGCCCCCGAGCTCTCATCTACACACTTAATGAAAGGACGAGCCAGAGGCGGCTTTGTCGCAAAATCCTACTTACTTGATTCACCTTCATTCGAATAACCTCCATCTTGCCAACAAGCTACGTTAACAAAAGTTTACTGTGCCCGAGCTGCTCTCGGACAACGTTATAAAGCTGTGGTACATAATGCACCTGTGCGGCAATTCAACGATACTATATCAAACATCTAGATCGTGGTTTGCTAGATTTCGAGTCAAGTCAGACACGGCGAAGCGGCTTAAAAAACTATGGTTGTGTAATAATAGCAGGAACCTCCTCCATTTGCTCCTAGGGGAAGCTCTTGTCGTTGGTAACGGCGCCACCAAAAACAAGAGACTCCTCGTCTGTGTGCTCTGCTTCAACGCTTTCATCCTACTACTTCCATGCGTAATCAAAACTGCGACATAAAATTACCCCTTTGTTGAGTAGTAGTTCTGAGTAATATCGATCATCTAGTTCATCCGAAAATCTGAGACAACTTGAACTTCATCGGATAAGGAAAACTTAATCTTTGAACTGGACTTATTTTTACAATTGAATTTTATGCTGTGAAGTTCGATATTTTTTCACATAAGACGTGTATTGTCGTAGATTGAAAATTTGAGATAGGTTTCACGAAGATATAAGAAGGTTATGACTAATATGAACATCGTGGGATACTGTTGTTGTTACACGAAAATTACATCCGTTTTGTTTGTTTTGCTATTCTTGTACTACTAGCATTGTTCTTCCACTCGACATTACGGATAAACGCGCTCTAGTAGGGACCCCATCTGTCCATCATTCCTTTTCCTCCGCGTTCCATCATACCGCGTGGTGGGCCCCACGATGACCACCAGTCCCAGTCATCTGTAATTTTAGAAGTGGAAAGACACTAAAAACAAGCGAAATTGATGATAGGTTGCAAAACAAGTTTACAGAATTGAGCAGTTTACTACAGGAGGAATCAAGAGCGGAGAAAAAACGACTTGCGAATAAGAATGAGTCTGCCATACTCAAGTAGTACTAGTAAAACCAAAAAGAATATAAAGGGTTACCCCAAGTACCCCAATAGTCGCCCCACTTGCCGCCAAATTTTCCCTTTCCTTTCATCATACCCCACGGAGATGACTTGCCTTTTCCGCCTTTACCTGAGATAAGTTTTCTTGTGATTTATCAAAAGGCAGCCTAGAGCGGAACTTCTTGTAGTCTTATGTAAATTTTTCATGCTCTGGAGGAGCGTAATCGACTGAAGCAGGAAAAAATACTTCTAAAATTAGAAAATACCTCCGCCGTATCGAGGTTCCTTGCCCGCTGCCTTGTCCACCACGATAAAGACATTCGGCTTAATTTCATATTTATCTCGTGACAAGACCTCCTCGTAGGTATCTTTGTCCTTGAAGGACACAAATGCAATACCTGAAATTTCACTGGTTGCGAATGTGACCAAAATAACACCCTGTGGCAAATAAAAATTCTGCTTCTACCGAGAAAAGAAAATGGTTGGAAAATGAAGATTAAAGATTGTCGAAACTCGAATTACGGTATTAACGACCACAACTAACACTACAGTAGTTGAGAAGCAGACTACAGTAGTTGAGAACTACCTTTGTGGGCTTGGTCTTTTGCGTCGCTGTTTGGATTTTTCAGGGGTACAAAGATATCTGTGAGCTCACCGAACTGGCAGAAGTAAGCTTCGAGATCCTCCTTCGTAAGTTCTTCAGAGATTCGAGTTACAAAAACCTGATAGAGGCATCCAAATCATGATAGATAGGTGGATTTGCAATCATAGTGGTCAAGAAAGTTCTTAAAGGTAAAAATATTGATGCTTTGAAAGAAAGCTCATAACAGAAAACTATACACGAGGGACACCTTTGGTCTTCCACAAGTGACCATTTGAGTTTCGTGTTGATGAAAGTAAAATAAAAAATGCGCGATATCAGGAGTTAATACCCGGTTTGATACTCTGCCACTGCCGCCACCGCCGTCACTCTCGTGCGAGGCGCTACTAGAGTGGCCGCCGCCACCCTTTCCTCCTCCCCAACCCTTCATGAGCCAGGGATCGTCTGAATATTGAGAAAAGTGTCAATTTCTAAGGAGATTTTGGCCTGATGTAAAAAAATGATGCATACTTGAAATTTTTAATGCTAAGCAACTTGAGCACACTTCATTTGTAAAACTTTGTGTAGTCTAATCGGTGTCCTGGCGTTTCTACAGCTAACATTCATCATGTCCATCATGGTCATCGCAAGTACAAACAGAGGAGTTGGTCCTCTAGTTGTTATTATGATGTCGTAGTGTTACCCCACCAGCTGGGGGGAGCGTACTTAGGTGAAGTACCCCACCAGCTTCCGTACGGATCGGCGCCGTAACCTTCAGATCGCGATGATTCACTTTTTGAGTTCATTGGCTTCGCATCGTCTACTACGACTTCGTAACCGAGGATTTGATGCGGTGCGTTCTGCAAAATCAATTCTTTATCGACTGCTTCTTCGAAGGACAGAAATGCCATACCTATTTCCAACAGGTGTTTTTTCAGGGCTGAATTCGTTTTGGTGACAAACGAATTCTACGTGGAGGCCGGTTACTTATGTGATGATGGCACCACGTCTTCTCAAACTACTAGTTGTGAGTGTGATATGCCGGGTCCGGTTGTGGGTAATAAAAAGGGAAGGCCGCCGAGACACGCAGCGGGAGGAGAGACACGTGAGACGCTTGTGCTACTGAAAAAGATGTTGAAGATGTTTTGTACTGCTAACCTTTTACGATGCAAGTCTAGTTATTATGCTTGCCTGGAAGAAGATGCTGCTACTTTTGAAGAGGCAGAAGTGGTAGCTGAATGGGTTGCTAGTCGTTTGTTGCGACTGTACTAGTTGAGTCGCAAACAAAAAGTCCCGAAGATCAAAAACGTCGTGTGGACACAACGCCAACTTGTCTGCTTCCGAAAATGCACAGCCAGGCAGATTATCACGAGTGGACGGTTGTTAGACAATGCTTGGACGTCAGCCGTAGTTCACCTTCAAAATGTACTCGCCGTTGTACACTCCTCCAAGCACAGCTGCTGGACAAACGATCTCGAATCTTAGAGGAGTCTCCTCTCTTTCCTCGAAACAGTGGCAGCGGCAGGAAGCACCACGACAAAAGAACAAGCCAAGAACAGAGCGAGTACTAGTTAGTTTTTGCAATACGGGAAGGCGAAAGGACTACTTTTTGTCGGGATGACAGCAACTCCCGGCCGCGGGAAGATTCGCAATTGACCGCAAGCTAATACGCACCATGATCAAGAAGCATGAATTCAAACATGATCTTAATTTTCCTAGGGATTTCTCATTCCTAGAAGATAGGGTCCAGAAGTTTTATGATGTTGACGTGCATGCATTCAGACAACAGATCAGAAAAATAGATAGCATCACAGTAGTATTTCTCGTTTCTCGATACGCGCGACCACGACCTTCACGAAAATTCATTGTTTCAACGAAATTCTCGTTCAACTCCATCAGAATTCGGTTCTCTTTCTTCCTTGTAAATCACGATCTTGTCATCTCCATCAGTTACTGGAAAGATCTCTAACAGAAAACTCCGATCAATTTTCGCGGTGGCCCAATTTACCCCCTCGTACTGCTCGTTGGGTGACGTAACTCCTGACAGATCGACTCGAGTTCTTTACAAAACGATCAACTCGTCGATCACGATCTCTGTCTCAGCCAATAGATACCGAAAGGAGTAGGAAGTAGAAGCAGATTGTAATTGAAAGAATTCGGATAGCGAATTAGTCTACGACACTAGGCATGAAAAGAGCTCTGCCAGGGACTGCCGTCATGGCACAAGAAGGTGGGAAGAGAATATCAAGAGTGAGACGAAAATAGAAATTAGAAGAGAGGGCGGAAAGAAGGAGCGGGCAGAGAAAAAGGAAGGAGCGAAGTAAGGGATCAAAATATCCGCGTCATAACTCGTCCATCTCAAACACGCGCTAGCGGATCCACAATCGCGACCTCCTCGTTTACAAAAAACATGTCCATCACAATTTTTGTGCCTCTCGTACTTGCATCTTTTCTGCGCTACAGCTTGCAATATCCGATAGAAGTCGTCGAGATCTTACAGGGAGCTACTTGTCGACACGCTCCCCTCAACGAGCTCTCGCCTCAACTTGTACTCTTTGTGCTCTGCTTTTGTACTCTATTTTTTCTAGTTCTCAGTCTCCCGTGTCTCCCGCTCACCGCTCCGCGATGATCTCTACGACGACTCAACGAGGGAACGACAAAATATCCAATTTTCATTCTGGAATATTCTAATCGGTGGATAAACCTTTTTTACCAATTTTGCATCGGTTTTTGTAGTTTTTGTGTCTTTATATATCAGATCTGCGTTTGACGTTGTCAAACTATGAGGCATATTTCGTTTTCAAGGCACGGCTTCACTACAAAGGTAAGTTAGGTGCGTTTTTTGACACAGAATCATTCAAATCGATTTTGCCTTTTCCGTCCTACCGTTGTACTCTTTTACCTAGGAACTATACATATTTTGAGAACGTTTTCGGTGGTAACGACTAACAAGTACTCTTATGTTAGACGTCACGATTTGATTATGCTTATACAACCCAAATGTCAAAAACGAAATAATAAGATTTTGATATGGATGGTGATGCAAGCAGCGAATGAAACAACTGTAATGAATTAGTTAACAAGTAGACTCTAAAAAAATAGGCGGGTAGACGGACCTCAAGCTCTGTAAAATAGAAATAAAATGTGGAGAGAAGTTTTCTTACCCTTATGCTGCGCTCCATTGGTCATAGGCATGTAAAAGTCGCATACTCTGCCAAATCCCTCGAAATACTGCCGAATGTCGTCCTCCTTTAGTTCGGAGGCGATTTTTGTAACGAAAACTCGATTTTGCTGCATTTTGGGCTAGTTGTACAGCAACGCTGCGAGTAATACGTCCTTGAACCAGATGAAATATTTGCGATATTCCGCAAGTCGGGGTGTACCAAGGTTAAAATTATTCGTGATTTCTTCGCTCCAGATTGCTCCTGCGATTACTCACCGAAAGAGCAACCCACGGGCTCCTTCTCCAGTAAGTACTCACGCGGCTCCTTTACACAGCCCCCGTGCTACCTTACTTCCGGCGTATATTCGGCGCAACACGCTTTTGACTGAGTCAGCCAATCACGGGAGTCGGCAATGTGTGATGATGAGATAATCAAATATTTGCTTGAGCGTGGTCTTTTTCCAGAACAAGAAAGAAAAATTCGTTTAGTACATCATATTGCATGAACAATATCATTATATTTCTACAGAGAATACACTTGTAAAGTCACCATATTTTTTAAGAAATCAAGCTCCTGGCATTCATTAGATTTTCGTTCCTCCCACTACACTGCTCCCTACGTTCCTTCTTTGAGTGTATCGGTCATGACTGATACTCCGCACCTTGCCTAACCCACGACCATACGCTTTCACTGTTGGTTGCAATACAATTTCAGTTCGTCAAGTCACGAAAACGTTTCCAGCTTGCAGAAGTTTTTTATGATCTGTATGTAACGATAATTATTTCCAGCATCTTCTTTGATCCAGATACTATATGGAGTCGTTGCTCTATGCAGCCGTAATTCAAACAACCGGAAACATCTGCCAATTAGCATTCATAGCATGAGATTTTGATTTGCACAAGATTTCCTGGGATATCCAGGATTTAGAAAAATCAATCGACACCTTTACAAGAAGAGTAAGCTGCCATCGCGAAAGAAATCTTCTTGATAGAGATACAATAAGAGGCCACCAGTAAAAAAGCAATTTTTTTCTCACATCAGGAATTGCAATTCCGGATGCCCCGAACGCGTTTGCTTCAACACTCGGCATGCCTGTCTTCTACCTGCTTGATCATGATCCGAAAGATCCCCCACCTTTCGATACATATTAAAGGTAACATCATGGTGATCTGGGATGGAAATGAGTTTGATCCTTCTAACTTCTTCTCGCCAATGATCCAGTGGATCGTTAGAACCCGAGTTAAATTGCACAGGAATCGCCACGAGAATGAAACACTTTTTGAGGACCCTCCACTAATTTCGATTAAATCAACTTTGATTGAACACGCAATGACATTGGTTGATGCTGGAGGCGTCTCCTTGAGCAGAGAAAAAACGTTCGTTTGATATCACGTGCTAACATCAGTGGTTATCATTGTTTTGCGTTCCACCTCAGACTCATGTTCATGTGGAAACAAGCTCATTAAAGTATGTAATGTCAGGGTGAGAGTCCTCCCCTAATTTTCTCCGCATACCCGCATTTCTTTCAAGCATGAAACTCGCGCGGCTCGTCCCTTCCAGCGACGATCGGTATCTGAATAAGTATGGAACAAATGCATAATTTTTACACGAGCTGAGTATTGGTTTCACGTCGTGTTTATGAAAAGCTGTAGGTTATCACTATCGTCGCTAATCATTTCAATTCGAGCGCTAAAAAATGGTAGAAGTTGTACCTACTTATTGAAGTTGCGCAGGTGAAGGTGATTTTTCGTCCGGAGGATGCGCATTCTACTGATCAGACGATTGTGCAGACCGTGGAGGCGCCACTGGTGTGCTAGGTGTACCGAACATGCTGAGTGGACCCGAGTCATTTCGTGGCGTCATGGATGCTGAAAAAGCAGAACATGCTTGTTGGTGGCTGGCTGCTCCTGCTGCAGAAGCTGAACTGCAGCGACTTCGCGCAGAATCCATCGAGAAGAGTCTTGTTCGAACGTCGTCACCCGGAAAGCGGTCTTTTTGCCCAGCAGAAGTCGCAAATCTATCAAACGGTGGATCGGTAGACTTCTCGCGGCCACATTTTTGATCTCCTCGACCCGAGTTTGAAGTTTTTCGTCCTCGTGGTCTTCCTTCAGAACTATAATACGAGTTGGACCTGTGATGCCTCTTTCGATTCTGATGCCACTCCTCTTTGCTGCAACTATGGCGTTGGTGTCGATGACCTATTTTTCTCCCTGAAAATTTCCGCTCCGAAGGCCGAGCACTTTTTGAAGGTGCTGCACTTACAACTTCTTTAGCGACTGTGGGAATGATGCCAGTAGTCACCCACTCGCGGCCGCGAGGTCGCGGCGTGCGTTCTGCTTCAGCCTGTTCCTTACACTCGCTGCTCGCCTGAACTAGCAAAGACATTAACCCTTCGTTATCTTCAGAAGCAAGACGACCGCTCTTCGAAGAGGAGGAGGCATTTTTCTCCGTTCCCAATGAGGGAATAGCAATATTCTCTTCCAGTGCCGATATCAAATCGACGGCTTGGAAATCCAGAAAAATATCCCTTCTCTTACCTTGGGAGACGCTGTCACTGTAGCGCGCAGAAGTATCAGGAGTATCGTCTTGTCCACGAGCGGCGTATGTGCTGTTATTCTTAAGAGTGGACTCCTCTTCAGATTCAGCTACCCCTGCGTCGTGATACTTCCTCTTTGACGCCGACGCAGCATTCAATTCCTCATCCTCCTCGCTCGCGAACATGTCGTAGTCTTCCTCAGGTTCAACTACTGCGTCCTCTAGTTCCTTTACGACTGCCTCTGATACTTCTTGCATACCAGCAACTACATGATACTCGTCTTCAGGAAGCATCTCGTCTACGTCTTCCATCGAATCTTCACTGAGCTCGTGCTCCACGTCCATCGCTTCATCCTTGTAAGAGAATTGCTGCTGCTGGGTTCCTTGATCCGCCCCAGTTTCAGAATCTCTTTTCCCTTCGCGTTGTAAGTCCTTGTCTGTTAACCCGAGGCAAGCATGTGCCTGCTGCGATGAAGAGTCAGCACCGAGGACAGTAGCATCCGGAGCCACATTTACAACTGAGGGATGTGCGTCGCGTCTTTCTGCTCTATCAGCATCGGCGTCAACATTATCCTTTGGCGAGTCTCTGTCTTTAGCGGCTTCGTGGATCTCCTTCAGCACAGGCATATCCCGACGTAGCCCTGACTTTTCCGACGATGCTACGCGTTTTTCCGTTGTACGTAGGCTTTTTGGTGAGGATGCTGTCATCAATCGTGCTCTTCTCGTCGCTGGTGAAACTGCCTGCGGCGCACGTTCACGATGTGCCGGTGTACCTTCTGTCAATCCGCATTCAAGAGCGCCCCCGTTGCTGTCGACGGCCACAGACTCAAAAACATCGACCCAGTTTTCACCAAGATCGGTTGCCAAGGGAAAGTCTTCCGGTGCAACGCCCCCAATGACAAGATAAGCCTGATCTACATGGTAGTCTGGAAAAGTTCGAGAAGATAGAAGGTCTTCTGCAGCAACGGGACTACGGCTCATGCGACTGCTCAAGCTCACGCCTTTTTGTTGCCAGTAGTCGCTGCTTCCTGAGGCTTTACTGTTATAGCCATGGTAAGAGGGACCCGTCGTTGCATGGTAACTAGATGATTTGCCTTTACTGAGAGCCGCAAATTTCTTTCCATCCGCAGCAGTCGGGACAGGGAACTTGTTCCCTGAAAATGAAGCCCCTTTCTTCGCCATCGCAAACGCACCACTTGGACTGCCACATGTAGCTCCTCGTACAAGTCCCGTCCCTGCTGGCTGGTGTTTGTTGTCGGTACTAGACGGGGAGAGGCCCTCGCTCACCTCCACGCCTCCATGCATAATTTGTGGCAACGGCGCGAATTTGACAGGATCCTTCGGTGGCTGCACGGGAGTTGCATTCGCCAATATCAACTCTCTTCCATCGTCCTTTCGGTTCTCTTTACGACTCACTGGCGTGGCGTCGTCGCATATTAACGCGGACGACGGCGAGGGAAAGCACGGTTTATCTGAGGATGCTACTGCGTCTTGAATCAGGACAACTGTCGGGTCGGGCATTTTCGTAAACGGTGCAGGCATAACGCCGCTGCTCCGATTATTGATCGGCGTCTCGACAGGATTCTCTTTGATAGTTTCTAGGCCCGCCACATCACTGATCGGTAAAGTTGACCCGGCGAAGGCTGATTTTTCAACCGAAGGGAATAAAACAGGTATTGTAGCGGCCGCCGTGTGGCCCGTATTGTCGCTTCGACCTTTAGGCGCTTCCAAAACATTGACCTTTGGCGGCGGCAGTAAAACAGAGGCCAATCCTTTGGACCTTTGGACCACGGGCGAAAATTGTGGTGCAGAGCTTAGCTCGGGTGACGATTGCTGTCCTGACGGCGCTGATGAGGTACTTGACTGTACAGATGTCGTTTTCTTAAGCTTCGGAGGTGCCAATACTCCGGCTTCGGCAGCAGAAATTCTCGGTGGTCTCCGCACGGAGAAGCGGCCCTTTCCTCCAGGCATACCACGTGCTGACCCGCCGCCGTACGGTCCGCTTCCTCTAGACACTTTGGTAGCCGCATAGCCTGCGTGAGGAGTAGTGCGAGAAGTTGCTCCCATGACTGCTTCCAGCCTGTACGGCTTACGGTCTACGCCTTTTATCGGCGTCCCGCTTGTATTACAAGCTGACGAGGAGCTACCTACGTAGTAATTCTCCAGGTCGTGGTGACTTGCGCCGTATGCTGGCTGCGCCGAGGACAAGTGCCAAGGGCTCGGTGGCATTTCTCTTTCTAGAAAGCCTTTCCCTTTAGAACTTAAAGCGGTTTCTTTCTCCGGATAGACACCTTGTCTCGCGGAATCGACCACGGGCTTGCGAATTGTGGCGTCCATGTCTTCCGCACAGACAGAAGCTGCCGGAACTGCAGCCGGGGAAGATTCCATTTCTGAGCGCTCCATTTGTTTTCATTAAAAAGCAAGGAGATATAATTTACTATGGTGTTCAAACTTTTTGAAAGATTTCCATTACCACAATTTACTATGGTGTTCAAACTTTTTGAAAAATTTCCATTACCACATGGTAGAAAATACAATCACACATTGATACTCGCAAACAAGTAGTAGGTAAGTGTACTGTTCAATCAGGGATCGCTTCTACTTGCTGTTTGTGTTGCGTCTCTCGTCCAAACATAGACACAAAAAGAACTTCAATGACAAGACACCTAGCTTAGCTCAAGAGCGGCTGCTGCCCAGAAAATTTCTAATCACGACTTTTTCAGACTCACCGAGTCAGCCGAGGCTACTTAAACAGTACAAATAGGAAGGACAATGGTAAAATCTGTCGCCTTTCGTGAAACAAAACTAGTGCACTATCGACTCTTTTCATATTGCACACATTCTCTCGCAGCCTGTCACTGTAATTTTCGAATCTCAAATCTCGATTAGGCAATTACAAGAACTAGCATGGACACAAGCATAGGCTACTACAAGTACTTAATAAAGAGTTTATTGAATCCGACTTCAACTCCTAGAAAATTTCACTCGCTGGACCACGGTGGATTTCGCATGCGCCTTTTTTCGCTCGGATCTACTAGCTTTACAACATTTTAGAATCCAATTTTCGTGGCTTTTATTTCAGGAGCGATCATAGGTAAACGAGATCATAACGCACACTTTCATACAAAAATCAGAATGATTTAATAAGAAAAGAGTGCAACATAAACTGAAGCTGTACATGGACTCCGTCAGACATTGATGCCTAGCAGGATTGTAGACAACAATTTGTTAGTTCATAATCCAAACAGAGGAACTGGTCTCACAACTTATCGGGATCAGTTCTCATCCACACTCGGTCGATCATCCGCTCATAGCATCGCACAAGCCAGAATCTCAAAGCTGCATTTCTAAAATTCAAAAGATGGACCGACGAAGTCTATTTCTCGTCAACAACTACCAGCGTGAAATGCAGATTCTCGCGCCTACGCTACAGGATTACGTGTAGGCACCGGATTCACACAACAAGTTAGCACGTTGTGGCAAGAACATGAGAGTTTCAGGCAAGTTCGATTACTTTTACAACACACCAAAAATATGAACACTTTCTAAGAACCAAAAGAGAGTTCGGACTTGGATCGAGCTTTATTTCGTTTATGTCTTGCTGTGGGACTCTGTCATTTGATTTTGTTACATTACCACGAGATTTTAATTTGCATTCTTCTATATTCACGAGCGTTTTTATAGGAGCCTCTAGAGAAGGACAAGATCGATGGATGTATGTTTGGACTCTGTGCATGGTACGTAAGAATGAGTACTTAAGCGGACGAACTTTTTTACCTATGGTATAAACATAGTGTGCGAACTCTAATTATTGCTTCCGCAGAAGAGAGCTCCAAAGCAGCAACTCTCCGTCTACCGAGCGCGAGTAGATGTAGTCTCTGTCAGGCTGTAACTGCACATCTACGAGAGGCGAGGACCAAAAGAGATTATGACACCAATAACGTAACACACCCGACTTGTTTGCCTCGACCACAACGAGTCGCATTCCTGCACTCTCTCCCCAGGCTGCCAGTATGTGATTCACTCCTGTACTTAACAGCCTTTTCGCACTGAATCCGATCACAGTTTTTCTAACAGGCTCCTGTGATAAGACACCGCTCTTCCTAGTAATAATTATGCTTCTGTCGTCGAGCATTGTTGTTGGGGACAACAACCAACATGGAACTGCACCGGGACACGTGATGGAAGACCACTCCTCTAAGCCCCAAAGATGATGGTCATCCAGCTTATTGCAACTAGCATATATCCTATTGCTTAGAGTTGTCACTCGCGGAGAGGTGTCGCCTGTCTGCTGCTTTTTTTCCTCATTTGCACGCCCGAATGTGCAAGCGACGAAAGTTAACCGGCCGGATGGGAGCACTTTCTGTTCTTCAACCGCGACTGGGTAGTCCGTTGCCTCGTCTCGCATTTTCTTAGATGAACATGCCATGTTATGGAGTGCCGCCGATAATAGCTCTGGTGGTCGTTGTGGATGTTGATGCGATAGTACCAGTACGGCGGCGCGATCATCACAACGTTCTAGAATTTCGAGCTGGCGCAACCCCTGGAAATACCCTTGGCGTGCTAGTTCCTCCTCTGGCGGCGCAGCTTGAAATAGTGCTGGATGCACATCAGTAGCCTCCATTCGGACGGTTCGAAGTGTTTTTGAGACGTCAAGGCGGTGAATGTACCTCGGCTCGAACTCTTCACTAGCATAGAAGACATCATAGCCACGTGCAACAGAAAGAACCAAAATTCGCGTAGCGCAAGCTAAGACCAAAAAAGAAGAATTCCTTTCTTGTGCTGCATCACGATGTTGGTGGCGCCTATATTGTTCTACTTGCGAGTCAGGATCCGCAGGCAAGGACTTTGAGTCGTGTCCATTGCGTGCAGGTGAGTGAGCTCTCGGTGAAACTATTCCTTGCTGACCGAGCAAGCGTTGCCTAGTTGTCGCCCGCGAGCGGGGTGTACAGCCACCACGCGAGATTTTGCCAGGGGATACAGAGGCCACTGTGACTGCGCTAGATACGTAGCGTAGGAAGCAGTTGCATCGAAACAGTGCGTCTGGAAGTCCATCCTCTGGCGCAGTGCTGCTGACAGAAGAGCTACCGGCTATAGTGCCTAGCCCAGAAGTAGAGGCAAGCGAAGTCCTGGACATTTTACTGCCGCGTCTTCGGTTTCCAGATATTGCGTCTGCATCTGCCAAGAGCAGTCCCAGGCTCACGCAGAGAAGCTGCTGACCTAAGAAATTGTACACGTAAAGATGCAGATCCAGAGTGAGGCACGCAACGTGGCCACTTCCAGGATCTGCGGCAAACGCGCACACGCCTCTTTCGAGTCCCGGAGCGCGCAGAAGCCGCAGCTTTGATTGCCCAAGGCACGCAGGAAACACCGGTCGATATTGAAGACTAGCTTTGCTTTTAATACCATCTCCAACGGCTAAAACACTCAATTGATCATCCAGGTCGCGCAATATCAGAGCAGGCGTGCCACGAAGGCTCACAGGAAGAGTGGATTCAGTATTCTCTAAACATATCCGCAGTTCCTCTTCACGCGGTGCGCTGAGTTTTTTTCCAGCTCTGCGGTTGCAACGGTTTTCGGACCCTCCTCCGATTTCTTCAATTGCGCGCACTGTACTCGCTGCCCCAGCACTTTTCAGTAAAGCCAGCGCACCACCTGCACCGTCTCCTGGGATGATCACGCTCACACGGAACGCGCACCAGCCTTCATCTGCCATCGCCGCAGAAGCATTAGCCAGAGCGGAATATGTGAAAGAAACCTGCAAATCTTTGGTAGGCTGGGTTACACGCTTCTTTTTCTTCAGAGTAGTGTCATCAACTGCGGTCGTGGTGTCCGTGCCTTCTACAGCTTCCAGAAGCCCTGCTGTTCCACCACCTGCTAGCAGACGCTTTATCTTTCCAGACTGCAGTCCTTGACGCATCGCATTCGCAAACAGTAACCGTGTCGCATTTGAAGGCACATTTGTCACATGGAAATAGAAACTGTCTAGTGCTCGAACTGCTACCGTAGCAGCGAGCGAATTCCCGCTGCTTTCCGTATTCCCTGAAATGACCGCGTTTTTACGATTTACGAAAATCGAATGCCCCGTTGAAGGCGCCCGAGCCCAGTTACTTCTAGCAATCCAAGACTGCGATCCTCGTCCGTTCGAAGAACGAGTTTTCCTCGCGCTTCTGCTTCTGGTTTCTTTGTGTATAGACCAGTCCGATGGACACCACCGTCCAAAACTGAGTAATAAGACACCCTCCTGCTGATGCGGTTGCCAACAACGCAAATTTCCATCCGTGTGCACCCCGAAGATGCAGCTTGCGCGCTGCGTACCCATCTCCGTCACACATTGCAAGTGCACCAAAGCCGATTGCGTGCCTGGCGGTGCCCAGACCGACGCACGCACGTCGGCCGACAGTGCCGCTGGGTCGTTTGGGGACAGCCGAATTTCCAAGAATGCTCCGCTCCACAGCGACACTAGGATGTGATTCATGCGCTGTCCAAAGTCAGCGCCGGAGAGCTCGCACGCAGCCAAACAGCCCAGTTCATCAGCATTCCTAAGACCAAAGCACTGAAGCTTCACCGGTATCAAATCGGAGGCGTTCCGAGTACCGGCACTCGCGACGACGCGATATACGCTACCAAAACCACGCCCGCCGACGAACACGAGACCCGATTCAGCTGAGATAGCCAGTGCAGCAACCACACCGTACCGTGACCACCAGAGAGCTGCGTCCATCCACGGATTGTTTCGAGTTTTCGACTTGCTCTCTGCACGAGTAGCGCTTTCCGCTCCGATCTTAGTATCTACCGGGTGCTCACCCAAGCCTTCCAGTTCACCACTTCGATGGAGATTCAAAATACCAGTAGCAGCTTTTTTGCGCGCTTCCTGCGACGGTCCATTTTTGTTCGGATCAGAATCCAAGGCCGGCTTTTCCGTCCTATAACTCCTCTTTTTCTCAGCGAGGGCGTTCTTCAGATCCTGAGAGACTTGCGCTTGTGCCTCCACTGCAAGCTGCGGGAGCTCCAGCTGCACAGGCTTGCTTGCTTTAGTCAAGCTGCACTCTCCCCCTGCGTTTCCCTGCCACTCAAGGAGAATCACGCTGTGCCTCCTTGCGGTCCCAGCCGACGGGTAAAAAAGCGAATCGCCTTGTTCACATCCGTAGAGAGCACCTTGAACTGGTATCGTGCTTTGCTGGCCGCTCGACCGCTTCGAGTCAGCGTCAACCGCAGTGCTGAAAACAACAATAATCAACTTCGTCGATTTTGCTTTGCTGGCTGGAGTGGAGGAAACTGCCATCTTTTCGATTTTGCATCCTTCACCAAACTGGACTTCAGCGACAGCATCAGCGCTGCTGTTGCGCACTGCAAAAATGCTACCTGCGTGCGTTCCGACTAAGAAGTGCTGCTCATCACCAATCGTGGCCATGCACGATGCCGGTGCGCCGAGATCTATTTGTGGTGACGAAGGAAGGAAAAAAATCATTACGGGCGAAGATCATCCGACCATTTATTAAAAATGCTTTCAAAACCTTTCTAGGCTTTTGTTCCACTTTAAGATCAATCACTGGCGCATCGCAGCACGTATTTTTAGCCTAAATATGCCATCCAAGAGAAGTAAGGTACGACTTCATGATAAGGATAGAAAATATCTTCAACTACTGCATATTCTCGGCGAATACGTCTCCCGGCGCTTTGCCAAGCAGTGGACTCGCACGCAATCGCGCCATGACTCTGCGACGTGATATCTCGAGACTTGCATCGCCAACTCTCGTTGAGCGTTTTGATCTGGGCCCTTGGCAGTTGACATTACGTGCAGAAGCTGCAATCGGCGACGTTCAGAGCGAGTGCGAGAACACAAGGATGGGAATTCGGCTTCATTTCGACTACCATACGGTGACGCATCTCCTTCAAGCACGGTGATGGACCGGTTGAAGGTGACAGCTGCGGCTCCAATCTCAGGCTGAAAACCAGGTGGTTCGGGGCGACAAGCGGACGATGAACTCCCACCCACTTGAATCCCACCTACAGCTGCCGCGAGTTGGTCTTTTCCGCGCTGTGCATCAGAGAGCGCCGGCCATTCATGCACCGGTTTCGCTGTCACGTCGTTAGCTTTCCAAAAGGGTTCTATTGGTTTCGGTGTTTCGGCTTTCTCTTGTAAAGTTGCTCTATCTTTCGACGAATTTCGCGACTCTTGTCCCTTTTCTTCGTCCGTCCCTGCAGGTACCACGCCGCTCAGCGGCTGCTTGGCTTTCTCCTTCGAGGAGCCGCGGAACATACGCCCGAACAAACCCATTTTAGACTCACCTTACCTCTAACGAGGTTCTGCTTCTAGTTTTTCTTGAATGTACGATCTTTTACACCTAAGAAGAGGCCGATCCAAATCTATATGCGTGAAGGAACAAGTGACCATATCCACTCTACCGAATCAATTTGCTGATTTTTGTAGGCTCCAATTTAGTCAGCTCTAAAAACACCACAAGGAGCTCTAAACAGCGCTGTTGTCGGCAAAATCCGGCCGACCTTCGCGTCAGACCCTAGCCGGATCTGCTGAGCTTCATACGCTTGTCTTGTGAGACAACGGTTAACCACACAAGGGTACCAAACAACCTTCACAAACCAAGCCTCTAATCCGGACACAGTGCGTATCCATCAAGGCATAGACAAATCGGTACTTAAAATTCCTGTAAATGCGTTTTGCAAACGGCGGAGCAGCTACTTTGCGGCGGAAATCATCATCTTACCGCTGACTGTCTATGGCCTATGTAGTGAAGATGCACACCGACGGTGATCGAAGACGCGAGGCGAAAATCTCAGAATCTGAGGTGCACTACCTCATCCCAGAGTCCTCAATTTAGATATATCTATGCTGTGTGATAGGATATATCTATATGGTCTATGTAGTTCTATCTTGTAGCTTCGAGTTTTATTCTCTTATCGCTCGTCAATGAGCGAAGCTTACCATGGTTTTTGCGAAGGCGTCCATCCTATTTTGCACTAGTCTACACATCTAACACTTACTTACACTCTATGCAAAAAATTCAATGACAAAAAATCATTTGTTATGTAAGAGAAATCCAATAAAAGCCGACAAAGTACCACATAGTAGGTATGACAAAATTTTGAAACAAGCCATAATGTCAGACACGGATATTATTTGCGCACTACGTGATCCATTCACGCAACGCTACACTAGCATGCGCGAAACACAAATCATTAGCAAATAAGTATGCGCCAAAACGGATTTAGCTGTTCCAGACCCATCGATGCAGATTCTAAGCAACCTCTAGAAATATGCTCAGTCGTGTATATTACAGTCTAAAGAAAAAAGCATGCAGTTCGCGATTGACACTCTGCATCACTTTTTCGATGTTCTCGTGGACGAGACTTTGTATCTTGGACTTGATCCACTCGAAGTTCAGGAAACTCATTTCTTTGAGCGTGACGCAAGGAAAGAGCTGCAGAACGGCAAGGTTCTCCGCTTCCTCCGCGAACGCGTCCGAGCCTTCAGCTGCCGGTGTCTCAGAGGATGCCGACTGACCAGAAGATGCACCTCCACCTTCTTGATTCATCGAAGATGATGATGGTGTTGAGGAAGCACTCGTGCCGACGTCAACACCGTAAAACTTCCGAACGAGAACAGGGTGCGGCTTCACTAAGACGCCGTGGAGGTCGACGAGGACTTCCACCTCTACCATATTTTTCCAGCTCACAAGCACTGGTATCCGCACGGACAAAAATTCGAAGAGCAGCTGATGCCTGCGAATCAGATCCGCGAGCGTTTCAATATTTGCAATGCGCAACCTGTGTTGGTAGAACGTGACCTCGTCTTCGACCTCAGAAGCCGAGCGACGACGCTGTTTCAGGTCTGCCACTGTTTCGCGCCGCTTGGAGCCGAAACGCAGCAAAAATTGATCACTCTTCGTATGTCGCGGAAGCGAAACCGAGAGGCCAAACGGAAGGCTAAGTTCTTGCAATCCGAGATGCACAGCGCGCAGGACAAAGTCCAGTACTTCGTTCAATCCGAATTTGACCGTTGTGACGTGTTTTCTCTCGTGAAGCTGCAAAACGTTGAAACCATTGTGAAAGTCAAAACTACGAATTTCGTTCTGCCACATAGCCGCTTCTTCTGCTTCAGCTTCTTCAGCACGGCGCTGCGGGTTGCGAAGTTCTGCATCAAAATTCCCATGATGCTGGTGCTGATGCGCTTGTGGTTGTGTGCTGAATGGTTCTCCAACTCCGTTGCGTCTAGACGAGTCGTGCCGCTGTAGAAGCTCTACATTTGCCCGCGGAGGAATAACTTGGTCCATGCCGTACGCATGCTGCATCCAAGGTCTTGTTGGGTACGGCGCGTCCTGTGTGGGGCCGATCAAGCGGGCAGAAGGGCCAGCAACTTGTGCCGTCACATTGCCGTGGTACGCGTCTTGCACAAGAAAAGGAGGTGCGCCTTGCTCGCGCGGGTGGTAGTATCCGATATTATGGCTGCCCATCGGCGAAGAGGGTGCCCGCATACCTGCAGGATTTTGCAAAAGCGACGTGCGCTCATGATACCTGCGCAACTCGCGCTCGTTATCAAGAAGGCGTCCAGATGACATGATGTTGTCCAACGGGCCACCTCTGCTGCCGACTTCGGGGTTACTCATCGATCGTCGGCGGTGTGCGGGTTGCGCAGCTCCTTCATCTTCGACTGCCATTCCGGCCGAAGTCCCAGAGATGCTGCGTCCCCTCGAAACGGCTGAGGGTGGAGACTCCTGCCGTTGCACTAGCTCAGCACCTGGCTTCTTTTCGGGAAGTTCATTCCACAGGAAGCGCCTCAGGCGACGCTTCTGCTTGCGCAGCGCTGACGCGACAACTCGCCGCATGGCAGTGCCTGGTGATGCCGCCTCGTCTTGAATCACGCGATCCTCCTCAGTTTCGCCGGCGATTGTTTGTAAATAGCGATCTACCATGGTGTGCATGTACTGATTCTGCTTTGCTGCTTCTCGCCCTATGCCTCCCACATCCGCCGTCACCATGTAAACATGGACGCTCGTTTCCGAATTAAAGCCATGACAGCCCGCAGCGCGTGTAGCAATCTCTCCTGGCTCGCCGCTTCTTGGCTGTGCTGCATCATGAGTAGTCGAGGACGCTGCTGCGTCTTGACCCTCGTTGCTAGAAGAGGCTGCTTCGTGTGGCGTGTCGTCGGGCACCCCCTCCGGCGCAGCGGGTCGGTCGGCGACATCCAAGAGGCGACACGTGACCGGGTAGTGGTAGAGATTGCTGTTTCGCGGCCAACTCCGCAGGTCCAGTATGATTTGATGATATGTCACTCGCTGTCGTGGCTCCGCTACGCGGAACAGCTCAGTAGATGACATCGACGCCACCTCTTCTGGCGTCACGTCGTCTTCGTCTATTGTCTTGCTCTTTTCTTGTGCGTCCAAGTCATCTTGGATGCCGGCTCCATGCACAAACCACGACTCCCCGTCAGCGCCAACGCTGGCTTGTCCACCCATCGTCGTTGGCGACGTGCTGGCCGCTGCCATATTAGCACTATTGTCGGAGCTTGCTTCCGGCTTCTTACGAATCGCAAAAGTGTCGACCTTGGCTTGCCGCTCCCACTGTTCCCCGAGAAACGCCCATAGTGGCACCGTGCTCTCTGAGCTTTCTGCTTTTTCCTCAACATCATCTTCTGCAAGCAACAAGCCCCGAATGCGCTTTCGACGGTCGGCGGCCAGACCCAACGTTGACGCAGCGGAGGAGGGCACCGATTCCGCGGGCGAAGATGTTGGTCCTCCAGTACCGAAGCCGCCTCTTGACGCCGGCGATGAAGACACACCACTTCGCTGCCGCATTGCAGCTCGGAGGTGACCAAGATATCCTTTAGCAAGAGCAGTATCTTGTTTGATCAAGTTGTGAATAGTTTCGACCGAATTCCAGTAAGTATTCAATGTTGGGACAAAAATGCCGAAAATGGAGGACGACGACAGAATCCCCACGTGCTCCAAGATACCGAGCAAACGCTGTTCCACCATGGTTCCTGCGCTTGCGAACAGTTCGCGTTGTAAGTAGTTTAGCCAGGGATGACCGGCATCAACTTTGATCTTCAGTTGAGGAACCATTCGCACATCCAACAAGCTCTCTGCGAATGCTTTTCTTTTGCGCTCCCGCTCCGCGTTTTGCACCTCTCGGCCAAAGTAGGGCGCCGCCAAATACTGCCGATAGCGGCCACTCGTCGACTCGTTTCGTCCGCCCCGAGGATAAGCAGCCGCAGGTCCGTAGTGGAGTGGCTGCATGGGTGGCGCACGACCAGGGCGTCGTGGTGTTCCAGCGCCTGCTGCGGTCTGTTGCAGAGGTGTGGATGCTTCCGACATCAGATTGGAAAGGAGGTCGAGGCCCATATTCGGGAAATACGAAAGCGCGCTACTAAACTCATCCGGCACATCGTGTGTACCTCGATCCCCATTTGCTTCTGGCGATGTTGGCGTTGTGTCGTCACTGGTAGTTGCAGTAGTTGTTGTACTATCAGTTCTAGCTTCTACGTGCTTTGTGGTTTCACGCTCAGACGACCGTGCGGCGTAATCGGCCGCTTCTCGTACAGCTTCCCGCGGCCAACCAACCTCTGGCCCTCCAGAATTCCGGAACAATCCGTCATGGATTGGATCCGTTGCAGGCGAAGTGGCGTGTTCCCCATAGAGGTGCAATCCAAAGTCACCATGAATATCGCCGTGCTTTCTCCGCCGTGCTTCTTCACGAAGGCCTTTGCGGTTCAGCACGAGAAGCGGAAGACGCAAAAAAATTTCTGCCTTCACATCGTTCAGAAAATTTTCTCCGCCCTCCCGTGCACACTCGACGAATTCATGAAATTCAAGACCTGCAATTTCGTGATGCGGTTTCTTCTCCGGCTGTGCCGGTTTTTCGCCGAACACATTAAGAATCATCAGCCGCTCCCGGTTCCCAAGATGACAGTTGACACTACCAACAGCGGGCAAGCTGTGCACCTGAATGAAATCTCTGCGTGCATTCAGTTCTCTGAGAAAGATTTCCAGTGCATCGACGAGGCCTTTCAGCGGGACTCGAACCGCACCGTCTGCGTCGGGTGGTCGATACTTGATCGCTAATCCCGAGGGACAGTCGGGTAGGTAAAATGCTCGCTCCGAAGACTGTTCACTAGCCTCGGCGGGTGTAGTGTCCAGCTGCCGGCTGTTATCATGCAGTTGCCTCGCTCTTCCAGACTGCGGCGCTTGATCGATAGGCAAATTTGCTCTGGTCGCACTACCACCGCAAGCAGCTTTGCCTCTGCCGCAAAGGCGGCTCGCAGAGTCTCCGCACCGCCGCATCACTGCGCGACTGCGATCCGACACGAAGCCAGTGAGTCGATGGCTGAAGGACCGTTTCGGGCGACGAGCAGCTTGGACGCGCAACGCCTGTTCACCGTTGTCACTACAGCCTTGCCTCTCATCAAAGGCTAATCCCCCACTCGGTGACTGGGCATCTCGTAGCCGTGCGAATGTCGTCAGACTAAGGACAGGACACTCGGGAAGATGATCCGCAAACCGGTCCATCCAGTCTGTGTGTGTCGCGGGAAAAGAGAATAGGTCAGCGGAGCCCAAACTGCTTGATGGTGCGGGACTGCGCTTATTAGAAATCATTTTCAGTACGGAGCGAATCATGTTGACCTACTTATTGGCAAGCATGGAAGAATAGTTCTTCTACAATACAACTTTTTGTCTGATTTTCACTTAGAAACTAGTTGTGACTGCATTTTTCTCAAGACAATCAGATCACAATTTCATCCACCGGTGCATAATGAAACCAGAGCGGAAAAACGAAGTCGAAACCTCGCTACCGGCTGTTCTCTTCCAGGAAGCTGTAGAGGCAGGCTCTGACGAAGCTGGATCTGCAGCACTCTCGGGCACTCGTGGGGATGAAAAGCTTGATGCGTCATGATCAGTCGTCACATCTTCCGGTGAGGAAACTTCTTTGCGAGGAAAGAGTGCCCATAGAACATCTCCATTTTCCTTTTCCCCAAAATCACTTGAACTGGAGTAGTAATTCGCTGCATTACCGGTACTCTGGCTGCTTCTTTTCGGTGCTCTATTTGCCTCGCCCGGACCACTGCCACCACCGCTTTTCGTGACTGCCAGATGGTGATAGTCCTTCAATTTGGCACGGAAAGATCGCAACAAGTCTGCTCGAGATCTGCTTTGCATCGTTTCTAGCTCCTGAAAAACCGACTCACGTGCTTTGCGAGCGCCAAAAAGACTGCATTTTACATCGGTTTCGGAAACTACAGCAATAGAATCAGCGGAAGGAGCAAAAAGAATATCACGGTCTGCCAAGTGCTCCACTTGCGCTGGAGACCCATCGATATTCGGTAGCGCCGACGGATATCCACTGCTCTTGCGCAAACCTCGGTGCACTTTTCGCTTGCCCGTACCGGCAACTCCTAGGACTTTCGAAACCATCAATTCTGCTCGCGTTTTCTTCCCAGTTGCCGGCTCAGAGGGGCCATTCGAAGTAGTTGTTGGATCTGTGTTTTCTACATTTCCTTGTTCACCTGTTCCACCACTCTGCTGAGCAGCAGTTGCGAGTTGTCGTCCTCCCATAGCTGGTGTTTTGTGAAAATCCGAGATATCGCCTACAACTGCTTCCTCGCGCACTGCTCGAATACCGAATGAACTGTAAAAGTCTCCTACGCGAACCATTGGTTGCGGAAACAAAAGAATGTCTTCGGTGCGCTCTGGCCTCCCCGGTGCACTCGAGTTGCCCCCAGGAACATCTGATCCACTATTCGCCGCATTCTTGAAGTAGCTTGAGACTAATTGATACCGCGAGTACTTTCGAATGAGAGCATCCTCTTGGTCACCGTCGCTGCCCAGAAGTGCTTCGCGGCCAACCGTAAAACCTAACAGCTGTTGCCACGTACCAGCCTCGTCTTCCTCGTCGACAGCATCCAGAGAATCCATATCGTAGTCGTCATCGGCATACCAAGGATTTGCACCTCCACTATCGACTTCAACGTCGACAGCGCCAAATCGTGGCACAGGAGGGCCTTTAGCCGTGACGAGGAGTACGACCGGGAAAGCAAAAAGTCGCAACAGTAGCATGATCGCCATTTCACTAAATCAGCAAGCAAGTAGTGGCTGCATTGTGTTGTTCCTCTCGTTCTCATCTTTGTTCTTTGCCATTCAGACTAAGCCCTGGATGAAAAATTACAGACTCCGAAATTGTGCAAACAGAATCGAGATCGTACCGATTGTCGATGTCCGATGTCGTCCTGTTCTTGTTTCGTGTAAACGCCTACAATAAAGCCGTTGTTGTGTAGCTGGTTTCGTTCCTCCCCACGGTTACAAGACACGGGCTCAAGACTACAGGCTGTGGACCACAGTTTTCCCGTAACACGCAAGCAATTCATCTTGATCTGTATACATCGAAAATGGTGACCAAAGTTTTTCTCTAGACATAAGGCGTGAAGTTTCATGCTTCTACCAGGGGAAATATGTCTCTGCGTCGTGTGTGAGTGTGTGTGAAGACAAGCTAGCAACAACAAGGGTTGCCTATGCATGTCCCACTGCTCATATCCCTAGTTTCGTCATGTGTAGAGTATAACACGGTAATCAAAGGTAAACATGTGTAATTAGCCAGACAAACCTCAAAACTCGAAAAAAAATCATTTCTTGTTCACACATTGATTGTGATGCTCGAAAGCACAACGAAGCCATTGCTTGCCATCAATCGTGCATTTCTAACCAGCGGAGTACGATTTCTGACAGGCGGAGTCTATCTGAAATCAATCGCTTAACGTGAACGTTAAGGAGATTCTTGGTTCCATTGCTGCACAAATAAAGTTATGAGCAAAGAAGTACTCGGAACTATCTAAAAATCCAAAATTACAACGCAACACGAAATGCGTCATGTGATGAATCTTTACTGGGACGATAGTATGATTTGCGCTTCGGAATTTTGCTGCCTCCCCTCCGGTGGCGGAGGAAGGTCCAAGGTAAAGCCGTACCGCTCGTTTGTGTAATTACGCTTCTCGCTGTAGAGGTTGTCCTGCAAGCGCATTGCGAGCGCTTCGTCCTCTATCATTGCTTTTGGGGCATGCGACCTTCCTGCCATCGATTTCTTCTCCGGCGATGGGAAGGGTGTGGGCGAGGCAGCCAGGATGTCGGTGAAAGATTTCTTTCCTTTCTTCGATGGTAATGCTTCAGAGGAGTAGTCCACCATGGGTTCCTTTTCCGATGCTGTTGTTGCCTGTTCTTCCGATTCTGAGTTCTCGACGTCGCAGCCTGATGATTCGTCGTCGAGTTGAGTGGAGGCAGCTGAGGCCAGACTCGAAAACTCAGTGTTGAGTGAAGAGCCTGTCCCTTCGCCACTTCGTACCAGCTCCGGCATCTCCTCTTGCCCGGTAACTGCATCGAAAACACTCGCCAAGTCAGCAGTTCCAGCACCTTTAGTGCCAGCTTCTGACTCACGTTTAGCACCATCACTAGTGGAGTAATTTCGTCCTGGCTTCTTCGCTGCATCACTAATCTTGAAGATGGCGCCGCCGGCTCCAAACTTTGAAGCTTCTGATCTTACCGAGGTGCTATCAACAGTGCTAGTGGTTGAGACGCTGCTCTGCTTGGATTCTGGCTTAGTGGCCACATCCTCTAGTTTCGCGGCGAGTTCTTCCTCCGCGCCAGGCGGTAAGTCGACCCCTAGCACTTCAGCAACCTGTCGAAGCACAAACCGGCCACCGAGGTCGTCTTCCTGGTCGCTCGGCGTCGTCGAGAACGAGTTACTACGCGTTGAAGCTGCTCTCAACGTAAACCTTTCGTCCTCGTAAGTGACCCGCTTTCGCAGCGCGCCCTTGCTCTTACTGCCATTGGCAATCGCTGGCCGTGGTTTACTAGAAGAAGTTGTGGCCGCTGTGCGATCATTTATGATCTGCAACGAACTAGTACTACCACCTGTTTTAGTACTATTGAAACCACCGTGGTGACGAGAAGGTTGTTCCTTTTCTCGTACAGATGACGTCGCTCCCGTCCCGCGGGCATCACTGACCATAGGAGACGACAACGCACTTGACACGGGGGAGGCAAACGCTCGGCCTTCGATGTCCGCAAGGTATTTTCGAATATTCTGCGATGTCACAATGCGCTCGATAACGTCGTTAGCGGATTCAACAATCTCCACGTCGTCGCCAGACTTAGTCGCGCCCGCTTTCACGAAGTACCTGCAGCAGGCAACATTCGAAGTCGGAGAGTCCTCTAGAAACGTCTAGTATTTATTAGTATTTTGCGAATAAGGACTACGGACGACCTGCGAACCATCGAGGGAAGTTAGCCGGCTGATAGTATTCATTAGTGTTCTGAATTGCAGATATGCTGCATAAACGTTGTCAGTCAAGTAGTATGCCTTCCTTTTGAAAAACAGCACCAAGTAGATTACCTATCCTGCAAAAGTCGATGACTTTTTGATGCCTCCAAGACTAGGAGTTCCGGATGCTCACGAAAAAATTGCCGCATTTCCTCTATCTCAACGACATTCACTCCAAAGAAGTGCCTCGCAATCGCTTTTTTCACAAAAATGTTGAACTCCCGACCCGTCCGACACATTTTGTCGAGTTGCTCGTCGCCGATGCGTTGTGCCACAAACCGCTCTGCGTCTGCTGTCCACACGTACTCGCTTAACAGCCGAAACACGCCACGATGCAATTGGATTCCGAATTGCAGCAAAAAGTCCAAGGGAGTATCCGCTTTGGGACAAAATGATAGCACCAGCGAGAACAAAAGACCCGGCGCTCCCCACAATGTCACGCGCACGGTCGGCTTCTTATGATACTGACGCGCCGCCGCGATAGCGGGCTGTCGTTGTAGGCATAATCATTAAAGATGTGAAGGAGTAAGCCTTCTACATGTTCCGGTAAGGACATGATCATCATGAATGTTGACGAATGGACTACGTAAATCTCATGTGCTTGAAAATTAAGAACATCTCTTTCTTTGCAAAGAATATCATGATGACATCGTTGTTAGCAGGTGAAAATACGTCTTCGGTGAGATCGCTCTTGTTTTCCAAAAGGCGCTCCGCTAGTAATTTCGCTAGCATGATTTCCATTGCCTGTTGAAGCGCTGCACATTGCGACAGTGCATGCGAAGCGAAACTTGGGGCACACTTGTCCAACAGGGTGTCGAAGACGGTTTCAATCGTGGGCACGAAGAACCAACATCGGCGACTGCGCTCAATCACAACGTTGTCCTGTGCATGAATTCTCGCCAGAAAAGCGCCTACCGAAGACAGGACTCGCGCCAAAAATCCCTCTCCGCTGCTGCTCGCGACGAACTTTTTCGCACCATTCAACTGCTTCTTGTGACGATTTTCGAGAAGGGAGCCAACGAAGCCACCTAGCGCCCGAAAGCACACTAGGGCAACAGCCACGTACGAAATGAGCCACCGGCACCACAAGCCTAGTTCGACGCGGCGATCGATACGAACCGCGCGTAGAGGAAAAACTTCCCGTCCCAGCATTTTGACTTATCGAGATGTACTTCAATATCGTTTGAAACCTAGAACTGCGTATTCATTCAATCAGCAAATTCATCCACCGGAATAGGTGCACATCGTGCAGAGACGAAATAGCGATTGATTGTAATTGTTGATATTGACTGAGGGAAGAATCATAACGAGCGACAATTCTTTTGAAGAAACGGTATGCGAAAGGTTGCTTCAAAAAATTTATTGAAAAACACACCTTGATCCTACATTATGGGGTTGGAGAATGTAATGATGTAACGCAATACCCGCATTCAATCTCAAAGAAACAGAAGGTATCAGATTTTGTTGTTTACAGCGGAAATTACAACGGCAAAGTTCCCTAAAGAATATGAGAAAAATACCCACCCTCGCAGTTTCAGCCCCGGCTCCCAGTACCGCTGCCGAGGCAACTTCAGAGAGACCACCCAGACAGAAAACCCGGACACGATGTCGCGGTGACCGAACTTAGACAGCTTTTACCAGGTTCACGAACACTGGGTCTCGCAGAAAGATGCAGCGGGAGAGATCCGTGGTCCTTGTTCTGAATGTTGTATGGTCGTATTATGGAAACATATTGTCTTTTGTATTTGGCAATCTGAAAGTCATGATTTTGCGATTCGCAAGCAGCAAAACAACATGAGCGCGAGTGCCTTCTCTACTTTCCCAAATAAGCGGATGCTATGCAGCAACGAAGTCCCTAGGGCAGGCCTGTGGGGCAGGCCTGTGCCGTTTCCTGCATGCGGGGGCTATCACACGACGCGGGCGCTAAGACCTTTACAGACGGGCCCGCGGCGTTTCTCTCTTCGGGCCTTCTAGGCTTGCCCCGCGCCCCTTGTCGGTCGGACCCTGAGGAGCATGCCCCCCCCTTCGCCACATCCCAAGGGACTCACAAGGGGCGCAGGGCGAGCGCGTTACAAGTGTCGGGCTTAGCGGGGGAAGGGCGCCACATCTTAAGCCAGCGGGACGATGCGCCAGACAGGGTGTCTTACCAAGCTTCTGCGGCCTTCCCAGAAGATGTTCGCGATTGAAGTTATCTCCTTGGCCTTCTTTGTGTGCGTGTGCTACCTATACCGGGCGCACTTCTGAGAGCTACAGGCGCACAGGCTTGGCCTTTCCCGTTAATGGTGTTCCAGACTCTTAAAAAGGAGGGCGGGCCCGTGTCTAATGGTGTCGCCTGTCGTCTCATTCGGTTTGTATCGGTAGCCGGAGGGATTGTAGAGGAGACGGGCACGCCGAGCGAGCGGCGAAACCGATAAGGGAATGGCGGAAGCATCTGAACAGAGCCCGGAAAGACGGAGGCGGAACCGATAAGGAAATGGGAAAAGGAGAGGGACGAACTGCCTGGCGCCGCGATCTAGGGACTGGCCTGCCAAACTGTGCAGAAAAGTGGCAAAATATCGAAAACGGCCCAGGAGCACCACTTCCCCCCAACGGTTTCGCGTAAGAGCCATTGGCCGCCGATTAAGAACCTGCCGAAAACCTTGCCAGTGCGAGGCTGGGAAAGCATCCACCACCCGGGCCACCCCTGCCCAAGGCCTTCGCGATGCAGTGAGCCACGCGCAGGACTGAGGCGGCAAGAGATGCCCGCTCTGTGTCCCGGGATCGCTGCCCAGCCGTAGCGAAACCGATAAGCAGACGCCAGAAAAGCACAGAAAAGAAGAGAAGGCAGCACGCGAAACCGATAAAAAGGCGGACGGCTCAAGAGCAAAACGCGGCCACGCCTTGAGCAAGACCGGGGGAGGCAAACGGGGGAAAAAGGGGGCAGAGAAATCGACAAGGGAACCGAAGCAGCGCTGTCCCTTAACGGTTTCGCCTAAGAGTTTCGCGGGGATCCACTCGAAACCGATACCCGCACGAAGTTCGAAACTGCTAAGGGACAGAACTTAGGCAAGCCGAAACCGCTAAGGGACTTGCAAAACGGCCGGCAGCTATTTGCGTTTTGTCTTGGCTTTTTTGGCCTTTTTCCCGCGTTTGTGTTTTGTGTTGTGGCCACTCCCCATCTGTGAGGCCTCGCCTTGTGTCTCGCTTTTTGGCGGGTTTGCTCCCTAAGTGTTCAAAAGCCGAAGCCGATGGATAAGCGACCCAGGCGAAACCGATAACGGCACCCGGAAAGCCTTCGCCGCCCTGGAGGTCTTGGACGTGTTTCCCCACCCACCACAGTGAGAGCACAGGCCACAAGCGCGCAAGCCTCCGGGGATACTATGCACCCCGCCACCGCGTCGCCCTGTCGCGGTGCGCAGGTGCGTCGCTACTTTGCTCCGCTTGCACATCGGCGCGGCGACTGAACAGAGAAGACAGCCGAACAAGCAGAGCGACGCAGCAGACAGAACGACCAACGGAGCGAACAGAGCGACAAAACAGACAAGACGACCAAGCAAGGAGGACGACAGAAGAGACAGAAACAAGACCGAACAGCCAGAACGACGGAACAGACAAGACGACGGAACGGACAAGACGACGGGACAGACAGAACAGACAGAACGACAGCCAAACAGGTGGAACGACTTAGCAGAAGAGACGGGGGAACACCCTCAGGCCGTTGGGCGGTGCGTGGCCATGCTTCAGCCACAGCCACCACGGCGCGCCCTCGAATCACAGGGAGGCGAGAACGGAGCGAAGAAGGGAGCCAGAGGAAGACGACAGCCGCGAGAGCTCTTCAGAGAGCCCAGCCCTGCGAGCTCTGCGCGGGTTGGCTCGCATGTCGCTGCTGTCTCCTCCTCTCTCGTCCCTTTCTCCTCCCCCGGTGATTCGAGGGCGCGCCGCGGTGGCTGCGGCTGGCGTGCGCCGTGTTGTGTCTCTCAAGCCGGGCGAGGTCTTTGGACTGGCTCCGCCCTGTGTTTGGGGGCGGCTGCTGGCGGCCGCGGCTGGGGTGCGCTTGGCGGTGTCGTGGTGCGGCTTTTTCTTAGCCTGACCGATGGCGCAGCCTTCAGGACTTGAGAGCAGGGAACACCGTGGGCGAATCTTCTGAGAGAGACCCACCCAAGGAATGGAACAAGCGGAAGCCAGCAAGAGCTCGCCCAAACTGGTCAAATTTGACAAATTTCATACATGTCCGTCTATCATTTTGGAGAAGCTTGAAACAGATTGAAAGTCTATACCACAAACTTCGGGACTCCTTCAAGGCCCTGGCTCGCTTTGGTAGGTCTCCGGCGCGGGTCCTCTTCGATGTGGGTGCTCCTCGCTGCGGAGGCCATTCCCCCGCGCAGTGGTCGCCTGCGGTGTCCATGCATTCCCTGGCATACCTTGCCGCGTGTCGCGGGTGGCGTAGTGACAGGCTACCAGGCTACGCGCGTGGCCTGTCGGTGGCAATTCATAAGATAGCAAAATAAGGCAGCGGATTCATTTCAGTGGAGACTGTAAAAGAAGAGCACCCCGCCCAGCTTTTTCGGCTCAGAATCTAGAGGGGGGCCGGGCTCTAGAGCTGGGGACTTTTTTCATTTGGGATAAAAAAGCAGGACAGGGCTCAACTTTTTTGGCGCAGGATCTAGCTAGAGGGAAGGGATTTGGCTGCGAATCTATTCCAGAGAGGACGGAGAAAATAATAATCCTCCCGCCTTTTCTTCCCAGAATCTAGACGGGAGAGCGTGGGCGATAAATTCACTCCATAGGGGACCAGAAAGCTGCCCCCAACTTTTTCCGCTCAGAATCTAGAGGCCTCGCGAAACTCTTAAGCGAAACCGTTAAGGGACAGTGGCAGTTCTGGGCCGTTTTCGATATTTTGTCGCTTTTCTTCACAGCTTGGCACGCCAGTCCCTCGACCGCGAGGCCAGTCCGTCTCTCTCCTCTTCCCATTTCCTTATCGGTTTCGCCTCTGTCTTTCCGGGCTCTGTTCAGATGCTTCCGCCATTCTCTTATCGGTTTCGCCGCTCGCTCGGCGTGCCGTGCCCGACTCCTCTGCAATCCCTCCGGCTACCGATACAAACCAAATGAGACGACAGGCGACACCGTGCGACATTGGCTCGGCCTCCTTTTTAAGAGTCCGGAACATCCTTACAGGCAATGGCTAGCCCTGTGCGCCTGTAGCTCTCAGAAGTGCGCCCGGCATAGGTAGCACACGCACACGAAGAGGGCCAAGGGGATAACTTCAATCGCGAACGTCTTTCGGTAAGACCGCAGAAGCCAAGCAAGACGCCCCGTTTGGCGCATCGGCCGCCAGCGGGGCGATGGGGCATGCCTTAGCTCTTCAGTTACACGGGCGACAGTTTGTCTGACGCATCCCCCCGCCTCCCGTTGTACCCCGCGCCCCCCGCCCCCCTTGTACAAGGTTACATGGTTGGGCACAGTCCGGGGGCGCACTCTTCGGCGCAGGCTCGTGATATGGGTCCACAGCCGCGTAAACATTTAACCTTGTACAAGGGGGGCGGGGGGCGAGATGTTCAGGCGTTTCCCCCTCGTCCCTGGCGGCCTACGGCCGCCAGAGGAACGACGCGCCGCGCTGCGCTGGTGGGCGCTGGCGGGCGCGTGGTGTGCGCCGCATCATCCAGCGCGAACAGCCCAGCAAGGCAGCCCGCTGCCTCCTCGTCCCGGGCGGCCTACGGCCGCCAGAGGGACGACGCGCCACGCTGCGCGGGTCGGCGCGTGGTGTGCGCCGCATAATCCAGCGCGAACAGCCCAGCAAGGCAGCCCTCTGCCCCCTCGTCCCTGGCGGCCTACGGCCGCCAGAGGGACGACGCGCCGCGGCACAAAGATTAGACACACGGCAGGAGC